GAACCAGCCAAGTCCGTCCCTCCCTCCGCCCCACTCCCTTCGTCGCCGCGCTCTGCCACCCCGCCCCCCCGCTCCCCTTTCGCGCGCTTTTTTAAACGGTACAGATGTGACGCCGCCCGCTTCCAATAGGTGGCGCGCGGGTCGCGACGCGCCGGGAATTTTAAACAGCGCGCGCGCACGAAGAAGGCAGATTTCGTTTCGCGTTCCGTTCCGTCCCGCGTCCCGCCCGCGCGCCGCGAAGCCGCGACACAATCAAGTATTTAACGCTGAAAGGGCGCCGAAGGCAGCCGAAGGGCGCGCAGGTTTCAACAGCAGACCGATTCCGAGAGTCGTTTTCGTCGCTCTGTCTCTCTCGCACTCATGGGGCGCCCTTTTTAGGTGTGAGAGAGACGGAGTGACGAACTCTCGGAATCAGTCTGCAGAGACGGTCTGCGCACAAAGCGCACGTCTGAGAGCGAGAGCGAAAGAGAGAGGGAGGGAGAGAGAAAGAGAGAGGGGGGGGGGCAGAGGGAGAGAGAGGGGGGATGGGGGTGAGGTTAGGTGAGTAGATTAGCGACGTTCATCGCATCGCATGCACTGCTTCCTGGCGCGGCTCATCCCGGAGATTCGCCTAACTAGCGGTGTGGCGGTGTGGCGGCGCTGGCGGGGGTGTTGATGTTTGGCGGTTTGACGCGTCTCGCGCCCGCTCGCGCCACGCGCACGCATGGCTGGAGGCCAAAGTGGCACCGCCCGATCGCTGCAGAGGGCGCCCAGCCAAGCCAAGCTCGTCCTACCGCTGCGTACGCTACGTACCCAAAGCGCTGGCCGCCACCCCGAAATGTTTACCCAAAGTGTCATTAGTTCGATAACGCGTCGGCGGCAGTGTGCCGGCAGGGCGCCGTACCGGCAGGGCGCAGCGCGGCGGTTCGGCCGGGAATAGACTCCCCGTGACTTGTAGAAAAATGAAGTTAGTCTGACTTGATCGACTGATTCCCCATGTAAAGTCCTTTTTGAATAAATTGTCATCGAGACTTTGCCCCAAGAAAACTTTACTTAGATGAGTTTTGTTTCAATTTTTTTTTCTTTCGGTTTCAAGTGTTTTCCCGACACAAGAAAAATGCGGGGAAATGCTATTTTTTCTGCAACAGGAGTTTAGCTTTCGCTGGCAGGGTGGCAATCAGGGCGCGCGGTGCGTGCGCGGTGCGTGCAGTGGTCGTTGGCCGGGGGGGGGGGGGTGCTTCCTTCCCTCTCGCCACATCCGATCGAGGAGGCAGCGTGTTTGCCCTCGCGATGAGAATGAGGCATTATTTCTGCCAGGAGGGGTCACTGTAAGAAAAAAAATAATTTCCGTACTTCAGTACGGAAATGAGACAGAAAATTGGGTACGGAAAAGGTATCGATCTTCTGTGCAGCGTTTAGGGGCACCCTGCCCACCGCCCAGGCGCGGTTGGAACGCGACACCAGCAGCGGGTTCTGCGAAGTCTCCTTGAGGATCCCGTGCAAAGGAGGCGAAAAAGAACAACTGCCCCTCCTCCCCTTGACACCTAGGTAGCCGCCTGAAAGGCAAGCAAAGAGTAACACTTTGCCCCAGTGAGTAGACAAAAAGTGGTACTTTGCCCCGCCCCCTCAAGCGCCTCTGGACCCGCCACCGGAGCCGCGGCAGGTGTCTGGCTTGTCCAGCTGTTCAGTGCCGCGGCGCCGGGACTCCAGGGAGCCTCTGCCCGACGCTGCAGGCTGTGACTGGCTGTGACGCGGCAGTCACGTGACGCAGGGCCTTCCGGTCAAGCGGTGTCCGAGCGGTCCGAGCGGTCCGAGCCCCGGCGGCCTGGTCGGCCCTCGGGTGTCACTCCATTCCGCCCCGTGTCACTGCGTCGCTGCGTCACTCTGGCCGACTCTGTTGGCGTCCCTCGAGGAAGCGGACTGCCTCCACTCACTCGGGGCTTGGAAAAGAAGCCCGGGAGCTGTCAGAAGTGCGGTCCAGGCGTGGGTCCAGGCGCCACAGACGCAGACACCCCCCCCCCCCTTCCCGAATTGCCCCGGCCGGCAGTTCAATGCATGCTGATGCGACGGCGGCGCTGCCCGCGGACTCAAACGATAAGTGTCTGTGGTGTCTCGAAAGTGTCTCGAAAGTGTCTCGAAAGAGTCTCGGAAGAGTCTCGAAACGAAAAACGGGGTCAAGCGTCAAAGGCGGCCGCCTCCCCTCGAGACCTCTCCGACCCCCCAGGCTCACCACCGCTTTCGTCGCTCTGTCTCTCTCGCACGCACGGGGCGTGCCGTAGGGGTGCGAGAGAGACAGAGCGACGAGGACCTCGGTTCGGCGCCCGGCGACGTGATGGAAATGCCCTTATGAATCGGACGGGCCCTTTTGACAAGGGCACCGGCCTATCTAAATTGTAAATGCCGAACTGGTGAGCGGCACGATTTTCCGCTTTTCTGACTCCGTTGCTCGGCCGGAAAGACGCACGCAAGCATTCTAGATATCTAATCCTTCATTTTCTCTAGGGTGGAAGGCTAGAATTCCCTGCACGCGCTGCGATGTGAATGTCGAATGTGAGCCCGACACTTAATAAAATTTGAAACGTTAATCATGCAATGAACGTGGGCCGGCTTAGTATCGCAGCGCGGAGGCGGGGCGGGGCGGGGAGGGGAGGGGGGGGGGGTTACTGCGCGGACGACGATCGGCAAACCTCATCAATTCGTAACGAGGAAAGGTCCGAGTGCAGCGCGGGTAATTACGGATATCCCACTCCCCCTGCAATGACAGGCGCCAGGCCGAGCGCCGGGCGCGGAAATTCGTCCCCGACTCAAAAAAAAATAATCCACACAAAGATTTGGTAAATGACTAAATAGAGACAAAAAAAAATTGGAAACCTGGGCGAGAACGAAAATACAAATTTCACTCACCATCCCTCTGGGGAACCAGTTGCGATTCTACCAACTGTGTGGCTGTCAGTCCGCCGCAGGCCTAGGGATGACCGTTGCTTTCGATTAACTCTCGAGCAGAGAAACCAAAGCAGCCGACGCGGGTCGCGTCTTCCACGAGCGCATTTCGGGAAGCGGGCGGAACCCCCAGCCTTTCAGACATTGCCCAGATAGGCCGGACGTTGGCCAAAATTAGATCGGCGCCGTGATAACCGCCGTGGTTTCGTTCGAGACCGCCACTGCGCCACTGCAAACTGATTCCGCTCTTTCGACGCGCGCTGTCTCTCTCGCTCCAGGATGGCACGCCCCATGAGTGCGAGAGAGACAGAACGAGGACATCGCTGTGCCGGATCACTCGGGAGCACGCCCTTCAGCAGCAGCATGCTGTCTCTCTCACACTCATGGGGCGTTGCGCGGCGGTGCGAGAGAGATGGAGCGACGGAGCACGGTTCGGAGCGAGACGACAGCGCGAAAGTAATCCCTCCGCCATTGAGTGTACGCAGTGCCACGCAGTGCGGCTCTCCGTGCGACATGATTGTCATATTTTACGGTGGCGTGATGTGTCATTAGCTCTGGGAGGGCGCACACATGTCGTGATAAAGGTTCGACGAATCGGCACTCCGCGGGGCGGACACGTGGCGCCGAAACAAGGGGGATCTAGAAAGTAAGAAACAGATCTCCCTGCCGGCCGGCTGCAGACTCATTCCAAGAGTCCTTTACGTCACTCTGTCTCTCTCGCACCCGTACGGGGCGCCGGTGAGTGCGAGAGAGACAGATTCTCGGAATGAGTCGGCCCCGCCGGCCGGAACTGGGTTGGCAATCGAGCACTATCACTGCGACACGCGGCCGGACACGCGTTTTGCCGCCGAGCGAGTGACTGCCGATGCCCGATGCGCCATTCGCGCGATACGCCGATGGTGCAGTGATAAGCGCGATAAGCCGACAGCGCCAACGCCGCGGGAACGAACCGTTCCAGCCGCCTTCTTCCAGCCGCCTGGAACGACGGCCTGGAACGAATCGTTCCAATCGCCTTCCTCCAGCCGCCTGGAACGTCGGCGGGAACGATGTGAACAACAGGAACGCGCTACAAAACATGGACTGAGACACCTCCTCGGCAAGACCAGGGACCAGGGGAGAGCAGGCCCGCGTGTTGCGACACTTTGCGCCGCTCGCCGCTCGCAGTGGCGGCGTGGCTTTAGAACGAAGACAAATTGTTTCGTCGCCAGGAGGCGCCCCGCCCCGCCCCGCCCCGCCCCCCGGCTCCCTCCGTCCTCGTCGCGCGCGGCGAGCCCCGACGAGTGCGAGCGAGACAGACACTGGCAAACTCATCACCGGCCCGGCGGGCCAGGCTCGGGCCGGGCGGCACATCAATGCAGGTGAGATCGAGTTAAGAACGGAAGCCAATCATCGCAGAGGAGGGAAGGGGCTGGTGACATTCACGGCACGACGGCGAATCCGCGGGACGGAAAGTGGCGAAAAACAGCGCTCTCCCGCAGCAGAGGCGCACAGTGTGCGCACACTCACTCCACAGTCGGTTCACCCATTCCATATGACGCAACAAGGGGATTTCTGTACCGAAATTTTACGCCAAGTGGAGTTTGATTTTGCTAAGTATCCGTATCGGCGGCCGCGGCAAGGTATATTTTGTAGCGTGATGGGCGAAGGAGGCGGTCGGCACTCGCTGCTTTTGACCTTCGCGAACCACTAAGCGGACATGACGCTCCCCTCGTCAGCAGCGATTTCCATACAGATCTCGCTAGAAACTAGGAGCATGTCTCTTGACCGCAACCCCTATGCATTTCTGCTACGAACGAGGAATCCATTGGTGGGGTCACGCGCTCGGTTCGAGTCCTGATTGGCGACTCTGGAGCTCAAAACGCGTCCAGAGTTTTGGCCGCCTGGTCCACTGTGCAATGGTCATCGGCCAAAACTTCCGCGTGTTTCCCGTGACTCAAACACTGACGCCCGCCTAACGGCCAGTGATTTGACAATCTAACCCACGTGACTAGTTGGAACCAGGAACAGGATATCTCCCGGCCCGACAACGACGAAAAGGAACCCATTTTGCAGTGGCGAGTCCTGGAGTGCACTGGACTCACCTGTGAGGCTGGTGAGTCTGGAGAGTCTGGTGAGGCTGGTGCTCCGGCGCGGGGCGCTGGTGAGCTGGTGACGCGCTGGAGGTTTGTAATGGACCGGGCGGGCTCCCGCGACTCTTATATGCGTTCAGCCGCGCCCGCCCGAGAGGGGATGCCCCGGAGGGGGGCTGCGGGGGCTGCGTGGGCCGATAGTGGGGGGCGTGGCGGGCAGTGGCGGGCCAGGCCGGGGAGACAGGGTGGGCAGAGCATCCAACAAGTTCGCCACGCGCGTCGCCACGCGCGGCCAGCCGACGGTTAGCGCACAACAACTTTTTCTGGACAGGCGAGCGATCCACCCTGTCGTGTCGTGTTGTTTGTTCCCGTCCGTGATTGTTATTGCGATTATTATTGTATTCGCTGACTTTGTTATTGGGCGCAACTTTCCGGGCGAGGGGGGAGTGGAGTCTCGGCGCGTGGGGTGAAGCGTCGCCGCATTATTGCGACGCGTGGAATCGACAGAAACAACAATCAAAGCTCCCGCTCCGTGCCGTACCGACGAATCAATCCAGGCAGCCTCCGCCCACGACGGAGAATCGTGGAGGACTCGAACCCAACGTGTGACCCCACCAATGGATTCCTCATTCCAAGAGCAATCCATTGGTGGGGTCACACGTTCGGTTCGAGTCCTGTTTGGTGACTCTGGAGCTCAAAACGCGTGTGGAATTTCGGCCGCCTCCACCGGTCTTCCGGCCCTCTGTGGGGGTGGTCGGTGCTTCGTGCTTCGGCGCTCGTGCACTGTAATCCACTGCAAATCCACTGCAGGCAGCTGTCGTCACCGCGAGCGGCCCGAGCGGCACGCGAAAGGCTGTTTATTGGCCCAGATAAAACCTATTGCCGAAGCGATGCCGCGATTGGGGTGATTGCCACCAAAGCTTCGCCAAGGCCGTCGCTGCACCAAGGCCACACCGCCAGTGGACTGATTACGAGAGTCCTTTTCGTCGCTCTGTCTCTCTCGCATCCCTACGGATCGGCCCATGAGTGCGAGAAAGACAGACGACTGTCAGACAGTGGAGCAGCGAAGCGCAGCGACGACGGGAGCGCCTGTGAATCAGAGGGTAGGCAACCCGCGGCACTCGCTTGCGCGACGGGCCGGCCGCCGTCTGTCTGTCTGTCTGTCACTGTTTGCGCGACGCTGTAGACTCTGTTCTGTTGTCTCCGTCTGCCGTGAGTGTCCGCTGGAAAGAGAGAGCCAACCTGTTGAACTCCAAGCCAACTGTAAGAGCGCGCGTGCCGCGACGATTTACAGCGTCCACGGCAGTGCCTTCGGTTCTCCTCTTTGTGGCGCGCAATTTGGACGCCCTCTGCGCCCTGGAGAGACTGGACGGAGCTCCGACCGGAACGTGGCGCGGCGTCGTTTCCTCTCGGGGAATTCCACGTGTTTTCGCGGTCTTTTCAAACGGAGCGAAGTCTGCCGGCGGGGAGGGGCGGCGGTTGCTGCGCGGCGCGGGATGCGGACATCTGCATGAACTGTCTGCCAAGAGGAAGGAGAGGAAGGTGAAGGTGGGTAGGAGGGACGGCGCCGGGATTCTGGTCCCGTGGGACGCGAAGAAGTGCCAGGAGTTGGCGAGGAGTTGGCCATGCGTCGCCGCGCGTGTCTGCTTGATGTGAATTCCCCACCGGCACTCCAACCCGCCCCGCCCCGTCCCGCCCTTTTTATAAAAGGCTTGGCCGCGTGCTGTGTGCTGCGCAGTGTAGCCTGCACTCTGCGTAATCGCGAAGAACGGCCTCACGGCACGGAGATACCCCGCGAGCGCGGAAGGCCCCCCGGCCGCGGCGTATCGCCACACTCATCACCGCGCCGCTAAATGCACAATGCAAGCGGGAGGGAAAGGGGGGGGGGGCGCCCGAAGCAAGTACTGATCGGGACGAACGAGCGGCAGTGAGGGCGCGGCCAAACTTACTGCAGGCTGTTGAAAACAACAAACACAAAACGCGGGAAAACTAAAAAAAACACTTGCAAAATAACAAGGTGACCTGTCCTTGCGACGCTGAAGAGAACAAAGCAAAAGCGCACGCATGTGGATGGACAGCCTTTTGGGCAGTCAGGTGTGTGGGAAGGGTGGCCAGGGCAGCCAACCTGCCGTCAGAAAAAAGTCGGCTTCAGAGGGAGTGAGAGGGGTGGAGAAAGAGAGAGCAGGGAAGCAACGGGCGCAGTTATGAGGTGCACCCCGTGGAGTGGCGACTCTATGCAAAGCTGGGCGCGGGCTTTATGTCCTGCCTCCCCTTCACCCCCCTCCCCCTCCCGCTCCCATTCCAGGCACAACCGCTGAGCCAGTCTGGCGTCCATTCTGGTTTGGCGAGAGAAGATGACGTTAATTGGTAAAACGATCTGGTTAGAGGCGATCTCGCAGTCCCCCTCCACTTCGCACTGCCGGCATGCCGCGGCATCGCGATGCATAATACAAAGGGGTGCTTTTCGCGCGTCGTCGCGGTCGGGGTGCGGACGCAGCGCGTTGCAATTTGTATCTCATTCGTCCTTTTTTTTTTCAAATAAACAAACAACAAAAGTGAATAAGTAGTTGCCATTGCGATGACATTCGTTCGACAACTTTTCGAAATATCGCGCATGGTCAATTTATTGGACGGACACAGAAAGGCTCATTTTACTTTAAACTACCAAAAACAAAATAAATAAACAAGAAACAAACACACATGTACACATAAATTTACAGTATCTGACTAGAAATGACACTCATTGATCGCCCGGAGACGTTTGCTTAAGATAATAACTAGAATATAATACTATAATACTAGAATGGAATAAGTAGATAGTAACTAGAATAGAGAGGATAATAATTAGAATAGAATGAGTAGATAGTAGAATAAGTTGATAAACTAGAATTACGTACATCTTTGGTCCCGCTCCACCAGCCCAGCGAAGCAGAGTAAGTCCTACTTCCGCACTAAAAAAATAAGTAAACAAGTACCCCTAACGTAAATAATGAAAAAACAATAAATTACACTGCGGCAAGCTGCTTCCAGAGAGAGCTAGTCCAGCTCCAGGTCCAGGTAGCGGCGCAGGGCGTGGGGCACGCTCAGGGCCTCGATGCCCTTGGGGAGCCCCCAGGCGAGGTGCAGCTGGTGCCGCACGGCGCAGCGCGACAGGTGCTTCAGCTCGGGGGGCGTCACGCCGAGGCGGCAGAGGGGCACCAGGGGCGCGCCGTCCTGCCCCGCCAGGCCCAGGATGACGTCAGGGCAGTGGCGCAGCAGCGCCGAGTCCGCGGCCGAGGGCACCACGCGCAGCAGCACGCGCAGGCACGCCAGCGTCTCCTCCGGGAAGGGCTCGCCGGGGAAGCGCTCCCGGAAGTCCAGCAGCTTGCCCAGCACCACGTCCACGGGCGTGGCGCGCGCGTCGTCCACGCTCTCGCGGTCCGGGAACTGGATGGTGGCGCCGTGGCGCAGCAGCAGCAGCAGCGTGTCCACCTTGGCCACGTCCAGCGCCATGGCGGCCGCCGTCAGCCCGCCGCACGCGCGCATGGCCACGTCCGCGAAGCGCCGAGGCCTGTCCTTGGCCTGCTTGCCCAGGCCGGGGCCCTGCTTCGCCTGGAACACGAGGCGCTGCCCGTCCGCGTGCCGCAGGAAGTACTCCAGGGCCTGCAGGTTCTCCTCGCGGTCCGCGAACTCGCTCTTCCACCCCGACAGCAGGTGCGACACCTGTTGGAAACGGCCAAACGGGATGGGGAGCTTTATCGAGAGGTGGTCGACTCCCTCCAGCCACGTGTACCTGCCAGGCGCGGACCCAGAACAAGTCGCACTTTGCCCCTTTAGCTCGGCAACCTTTGCGTCATCCCCCCAGGTAAGTACCTGCGTGGCCAAAGCGACCGACTCATGTCACTAGACGCGTAGGTTGGACGCCGATGACGTCACGCGGTGTCGGTTGCCCTTCCGGTTCGTCCTCGCTGGCCGGCACAGCCCGGCACAGCCCGGCACAGCCCCTCGTCGGTCGCGAGGCGTGGGGGCGGAACCGAGAGGAACCCTACCAACTGCCTAAGCCGCTGCCGTGCCGTGCCGTCTGGCTACCACTACTGCGTTACTCCACTGACAAATATTCTGCTTTCCTTCTCGGAAACCAGCGGGCCTCACATGTTCCGGATTCCGCGCCTAGTGACGCGGAAGGATCGCTCCGGCGCTCTGCCTCTCTCGCACCCCTGCCGGAAGGCCCCATGAGTGCGACAGAGACAGAGCCTTCGGAAGCGCTCGGCTGTGCCAGACCACTGTTGAGACCACGCGAGGATGCGGCAGACAGGCCGCCGGCGCCGCCGTGCTGCGACCGTGCTGCCAAAGGCCGTCTGTGAGCACGCCGGCCGCGCCGCGCATCCGGGACGCCCGGGACGTCCGCGACCCTCGTCACGGCCGGCAGCGCGTTGTCGCAAGCACGCCTCGCTCTCCGCACTACCAGGCACTACTCACCCTGGTGCCCACGATGGCGCCCACGGTGAGGCGCTCGAACGTGTCCTCACACGCGTGCAGGTCGCGCAGCAGGCGCGTGACGGTGTGGCTGTCCTGCAGCTCCCAGTCGTAGGCCAACTTGGCCACCACGTACAGGATGTCGTGGAACTTGCCCTTGAGGCACACGTTGCCGTTGGCGTCCCTCGTGGCGGCGTGGTAGCGCAGCGCCGCGCACACCGTGCGTCCCACGGCCTCCTGCGCCGTCACCTTCACGGAGAGCGTTAACGTGTCAACCTTCGATCTCCGGGTTCGAGTCCCGGCAACACCAGGACAAAATTTTCTTCTGTCACTGCCGCCCAAGTCAGACCGCCGACGCTCACCTGCTCTGCGCCCACGCACCCCACGATGACCGTCCCGAAGTAGTCGCACAGCTCCTCGCGCTTGTACCGCGACACCAGCGCCCCGCGCGGCAGCTTGGAGAACACCTTCTCGAAGAACACGTCCAGGATGGTGTCCATGGCCATGGCGAGCGGCCGGCCGGCGCGGCCGAAGTTCGGCCGCGGCTGCTCAGGTGTCCGGGACCAGGGCGCCGACTAGGGCGTGTCCGCGGCCCGGACGGCCCCGCAGCAGGGCGCCGACGGCGGCGGCGTCCGGGACGGCGAGAAGCCGGGCAGGCACTCCATGGCGGTCGCCGTCGCCTGCCGCTGCAGGTCAGCCAACCCTACGATGCACCTGGCCAACGTCCCGTGCCGACTAGACGCGACAGCGCTGCCGCTATGCCAGTGCATTGTTGAGGGGGAGGGGAGGGGTGTCTTTGTAGGGCTTCCCTGACGCCCGGGCACGTGACTCTGAGGCCTGAGGAGAGGACGCTCCCCTCTCGCTCACTCTCTTAGCGCTCCTCATGCAGCGCTTGCGGTGGGCCGGTGGCACTGTTACGCTGTGAGGAAGGGAATCGGACAAGTTTTTTGGTGAAGTAACTTGGCCGAACTGTGCGTCGTCTGCGGGCTGTTATTATCAAAATGAAAACAAAAGGAATCTCTTTTTGTACCGCTTGGTCACTTTATTTCGACATGCAGATCAGTTAAACTTGCACTGAATTTTTGATCTATCTCCACGTTGTATATCTCTTCTGAAATGCAGTGAACGAAAATGCAGTAGTTTGCGACAAGAACGAATAAAAATCTGATATAATTTACCCTTTACGGAAAACAAATGCTACAATAAATACACTATCTCGCGCCATGGGCACATCTTTGTAGCCCAGGCTCTTATGAAAAAAATAAATATCTGTCCAGCAGACATGTTGTAAACTACGGTATAGTTTCCATCTCAAGTCTATGTACACTGTTATGTCCATTTGAAAAATAATCGCATTAACATCTGAAATGTCGATTCCTCATCCCAGACATGTACACTTTACGTTAAAAATCACAATGTACAGCATTGAGAACGCAGAGCAACACGACTGAGTCGGCGAAACATTAAAACATCGAGATGACCAAAAAAAGGGTAGATTTTCGTTCATCTTTTTCGTGCTTTGCCAACTAATAATTACACTATCTTACATCACAAAGTCAGGTTTATTTGGTGGGCGCTATGGAAGACCACCATCACTCTGGGTCGGGCGCGGTTTTGGCGTAGCCTAACTTTTGCAGCACCATCTTGATCTCCCTGTACACGGTGGGGTCCTCGATGGTTCCCGGAATCTGCAAGCAGAAGCTCCCTTTTACAGCCGCCGCGAGAATCGTTTCACGATACATCGAAGTCGATTCGATACCACCCTGACGTGTTCGAGCTATCGAGGGCTCTCTCGATATATCGCGGTATTAAGATATCTCTCCGCACACGATATGCCTTATAATCAACACGATAACTTTTCTAGATATCGGCATGATTACCGATCCCAACACCTTCGATATCACGATATGTCTCGAAACTCTTCGATATTACTCGATGTGCAATGCGATACGACACATCGCTAGGTCGTGATTGCCATGGCCCACCTTGACGAACTTGTTCCTGGCGAGGTCGGCGATGGACTTGCGCGCCGTCTTCCCCGACCGGGTGCGCGGCAGCCCCCGCACGGCGGCGGACAGCTTGAAGGCGGCGATGGGCCCGATCAGCTCGCGGATCATGCTGACCAGCTCGCGGGAGATCTCCGACGCCTTCTTCTGGGACCCTGCAACCGGCCAGCACGACAGCGTTCAGGTTCAGCGTCCACATTTCTCCCTCAGGCCGGCTCTGGATCTGCCAGACACTCACCTTGCCTCATGATGAACAGGCACAAGGGCACCTCCCCCCGGGTGGGCTCGGGCACGCCGACCACGGCGCAGTCGATGACGTCCGGGTGGGCCATGACCACGTCCTCGAGGGCCGACGTGGACAGGCGGTGCCCCGACACGTTGATGACGTCATCGTCTCTCGCCGTCACGTACACGTAGCCGTACTCGTCGCGGAACCCGGCGTCCATCGTGTCGTAGAAGCCCTGCCGCCGGAAAATTCGAGTTGGACTCGGTGCACGGTGGGCCGGCAGACCGGTGGAGGCGGTCCAAATCCCGGACGCGATTTGAGCTCCAGAGTCGCTACAAGGGATTCGAACCGGACGTGTGACCCCACCTATGGATTGCTCTCCGAACGAGGAATCCATTGGTGGGGTCACACGCTCGGTTCGAGTCCTGTGTCGCGACTCTGGGGCACAAAACGCGTCTAGAGTTTAGGCCGCCTTACTGGACTTGAAGGCCACTCACGGGGTATTTGGAGAAGTAGACGCTCTTGAACCGCTCGTCCGCCTTGTACAGTGTGCACATGGTCCCCGGCGGCATGGGCAGCTTCACGACGATCCTGCCCAGCTCCTGGGGCGACGCCTCCTCGCCGTCCGCCCGCAGCACCCGCACTGCAACGCGTCAAATGGGTTCGAGAAATCGAAACGCAAACGCGTGGTCGATGGATCGATGCACTCACCGTCGTAGCCCGGGAAGGGCATCCCCGCTGAGTATTTGGGGGGTTTGGTACTGTGGTTGAGTCCGACGCACGACGCCGTGATGGCGTGGCCAGTCTCTGTCTGCCACCAGTGGTTGAGAATAGGAACCTGGACAGGCGGAAAAGCTAATGTCAAACCTTCCAAAGCTATCATTAATTTTGTTTTTTGGACTCCATTTTACTGAGAAAATTTCAAAGGTACCATCTTAGTCAACATGGTATTACGGAGAAAGTAAACACAATTTTAGTCCATTTGACTAAAGTTTTGATTGAGTTCCTGTTGTCCATAGTGTAGATTCCATACTCACTTTGAAGACAGATTCCGCCCACTGGAGCGTCTCCTGATCACAGTGCTCTCCAGCGACAAAAACGTTTTTTAATCTGCAAAAAGAATGTCAACAAACTTCATCCGAGCGCCTGCGTTCCTTCTGATAGGCCAGCCCGCAAGGCACGAGTGTCTTGCGGGACTGCCTACCGTTGCTTCGCAGGGGCTATGGCCAACAAAATGGAGTTTTTAAGAAAAAAACGAGAATTTGGGGAGTTTTAGTAGCATTTTGTCACGACTACTTACGACTTGGTGGAGTATTTTCTGCCCAGCTTCACCATGGGGTCGGCTCTCCTGATCAGTCTCATCGTGGTGGGGGCGGTGAACATGGCGTTCACTTGGTGCTCTTGGATTATCCTGCAGGCAAACCGACCTCAGTTGTAGCTTCAAAGTCAAGGCCACTCTTATCCTCCACACTCTTAAATCCTAACAAACTCCTTTCCGGCCCTACAGAGAAAATTGTGTGTTTTCACAAAGTAGACGAGCATACACAATGCTTCGCATAGCAAAGTAAGCACCCGATAACGTGTGATCCAGTCCCTGCTCCCAGGCAGGATTAGGTGTTTGAAACGACGTCCATTCGACGAAGAATTGTCGAAAAATTCATCGATTCTCCGTCAAACCGATGTCGTTTCGAACCCCTAATTCTGGCTGGGTAGAGATGCTCTTACCAAGATCTAGAGAATTCCACTTTCACAATGAAACGCTAGTCCGGCTAGGCTCAAGATGGTTGAGAGATAACCCCTACATCTGCTCGAGATACTTGGTGATACAGTGCGGTGACACAGTGACGCAGAGAGCTTGCCTGAAGTACTGGCCCGCGTCGGGGGTGCGGTCCGGCTTGCCCTCGTACATGACGGACGTGAGCCCGGCCAGCAGCGGGCCGTAGCAGATGTAGGAGTGGCCCACGACCCAGCCCATGTCCGACGCCGTCCACCACACATCGCCCGACTTCATGCCGTAGATCGTCTTCATGGTCCAGCACAGCGTGGCGAGGTGGCCGCCTGTCGGCCGGAGGATGCCCTTTGGCTGGTCTGCACCAAACACGACGCAAGGGGGTCAGTACAAAGTCCCACGAATAAGAGAGTTCGTCAGATGTTGAACGCGCTCCCGGCTGCGCCACTCGCTCGGACGGAACTCACCTGTGGTTCCGGAGGTGTATAGGATGTACAGGGGCCAGTTGGCCTCGACGGGCACGCAGGGGTGCGGCGCGGCCTTGGCCACCACGTCGCTCCAGTCGAGGTCCAGGCCCGGGGTCAGCTCGGCCTCGAACACATTCCGCCGCTGGAAGATGATGCAGTGGTCGGGCTTCACCTTCGAGGCTGCGACGGCCTCGTTCACAATGTCTTTGTACCTGCAGCAAAGAGTGTCCATCAAAGAAACTGCAGAGAGCGAGACAGAGGAAGGGGGGAAGTCTTGAGACTTACCGCACGACCTTGTGGGGTTCCACCCCGCAGCTGGCCGCAATGATTACTCTAGGTTCGGCGTGCTCGATCCGCGTGCGGAGTTCCCGTGCTGCGAAACCTGCAAAAGGCGAAAAAACTCTGCTTCATAACTCCTGCAATGCCGGATGTGGAGCCACTCTGACGGCCTCCGGCCTCCACGCGGTCTGGGCTAGAGACCTAGAGGATGTCTCTAGTCGGGCCCCCCGGCGAGCTGTCTCGGTGGCATTCGAGGCCGCGGCTGCACTCACCCCCAAACACGACTGAGTGGATGGCGCCGAGGCGGACGGTGGCCAGCATGGCGATGATGGTCTCCGGGATGAGCGGCATGTAGATGAGCACCCTGTCTCCCTTCGTGACCCCCAGGGCGGCGAGGGCGCCGGCCAGCCGTGACGCCTGCAGCGGAAGGGCGCGGGTTCAAGTACTGGTTGCTGGTGGCACGCCGGTTTTTTTTTGCGTTTTGTTTCCTTACTTGGTCCTGCAGCTCGCCGTAGGTGACTCTCCTGGTAGTGTTGGTGACTGGGCTGGCGTGGATGAGGGCGACCTTGTCTTTGTGGCCCGCCTCCACGTGCCTGTCCACGGCGTTGTAGCACGCGTTCAGCTCTCCGCCGACGAACCTGGCGGCGGGGAGTCAGTTACGCACCGCCCTCCCACAACTATCGATGCCACAACCAACGACGAACGGTTCCTGACTGAGTATCCCCGGGCATCTCTGTCGTAGTATGGAACCCCCATACTCCCTGCTCACCATTTTGTGAAGGGCTGGTTGGTGTCGTCGATGACTCTGTCCCACCGCTTGGTCCACGACACCTCCTCGGCCACCTCCCCCCAGAAGGTCTCCGGGTCGTCGATGGACCGGTGGAACGTCTCCTCGTACGTCGCGCTGTAGAATCGGTTGTGTTTCACTATCAAGTCTGTCGGCAGGGAAAACAAATCTTTTAAAGGCACGTCGGCAGTCGTTCCTGGCATTCCCCACCGCGGCGCGGCTAATGCGATACAGTGCGTCAGACAGCCCCCCCCCCTCTTTCCCCCCCCTCGCGCACACTACACTACTTTAATTCAGGGGCGCCACCGGTTGACATCGTTTGACCGCCTTCCGGTGGACACTCTGGCCCGGATGCTAGCGACGGCAGTCGGCCGGTGCAATCCAGTGCAGTTTGACAGCACAGCGACCCGATAGCCGGTTATAGGAACATCCTTTTGGCCCAAAGCGCGTGCTAGGATGTATTATTTTGATGGGAATTCATACGCTCTAAGTCGCTTCTTTAAGTAGGATTTTACCTCGTGCATGTTAGCTGTCAGATGGGGTGTCGACCGCGACACACACAGACACAAGACCACACCCTCTGACGCACGAAAAACACGGCACACACACGCACGCACATAGCGTAACGCGCACGCGCGAAAGAAGGCACAGCACCGTAAGAATCACTCTTCGCATCGCTCATTAAGCAGGCGTTCACCCGCTGCGTATGCAGATGCGCTTCTAGCGTCTTCTGCCTGCTGCGCACGTGATAAGCAACCTAAACTGGACATAATTATCGGCCGATTGCCATAAAGATTATTGATTACAAGAAACAAATAAGTTAAAATAAGTTCGCAGAGCACGCTGTGGCCCTACAAGGACTCTAACTGCCCTGTGCTGGCCGCGCCGCGCCACACTGTGATTGGCCTACTTTGTTTCTGTCTCATTTCAATTTGTGATCAGTCCGCACCACTTTTAAGGAAGGCCTCCCCTCGCGGCACGTTTTCTCTCTTCCTCATTGCTTCCGTTTCTAACGCCTGAACCCGAAGGATCGTTTCTCTCTCGCACCCGTTCGGAACGCCGCATGGGTGCGACACAGGCAGTGCGACAAGACAATTCTTTGTAATCAAGCAGCTGACGAGACATGGCAAACAGTTGCCCAAAGCACACCACTGGTTATCGATTCACTTTGACCGCTTATATTCCTCACTTGCTTCAGAGGACGAATTTCAAAGTAAATTAAAAATTAGGCGGTAAACCCAAAGCCTCGACCCGAGTCGAGTGCCGCGCATTCAAGTCGAAGGATTTAATCCAATCAGTAACGCGGGCGGGATTTGAAATTCTGATGCGATTCGAGACTCAAGGCGATTCGCCCACGCTTCCAACCTGCAGGAAATTTGTCTCACCAGCCAAAAAAGCGCGGTGTGAGGGCATGTCTCACATAATCGGTACAAAAGCGCAATGATAAAGAATGTAACTCCGAGGCCAACGACTGATATTGCAGATTCGACGACCCAGAGGCCCTGAAATCAATCACTGCCATTATCGGCAGCTACGATGCTGAAAATACTCAAGGCACCTACCGGCTAGTGCAACTAAATTTCCTTCAAAGCAACAAAGTCAAAAGTCGTTGAAAAAAGTTGGCGGTGGTCTTAAACTTCATTTAGTTTGTTTTTAGTTTTTGCGTGAAATTTTGAACATTTTCACAGGCATACTAAACTTTTTATTTTACTTTTAGCTCCTATTAAATTTTAGCTATTGATAGATTGCTTTATTCTTTTCTTTATTTATTTTTTCCATCATGATTGATTGGGGGCGTGGTTACTGTCACCTGCTGTCAGATATGGGTCCGCAGAGCGTGCAAGGACTAAAGCAGCCTGTCTCTCACGCAACGTAGCGCCCCACTCACGAGTGCAACAGAGACAGAAGAGCGGAAACAGTGCGTGGCATATCACTACAAATTTATTTTATTTTTTTGATTATTATTTTTCTAAAAATTAGACGTGGGGGGAGGGAGGGGCCTAAGCCGGATTTGAAAAACGAACGAAGTCTGTCCAGAAATGTTTATTCCAAGCCATTGGCCATTTAGGAAAAGCCTGAACACTCACTCAAATCTCCTTCTCCAGCATCACAAAACACTGCTCGAAAACAAAATAATCCTTAAGGCGGTTCTAAGATTGTGCTGTCATCACGAGCTCGTAGCCTAGTCTTTGATCCGGTCCTATCTCGATGATGTCGTGCAGACTTGTAACAGCTGGTCTTCGGACAACTAGTTTGCTTTGGTTTGGGACCATGAGCGCAACCGGAAATAAACGCGTATAGGACGTCTTAAATGACGCCCACCCCAAAGAAGGGGGCAAAGAACAGTTCGAGGCCTCATCCCTCAAGGGCCGGCACCGCTGCGGTGTTGGCGGCGAGGTGCACACGCTCACCTTCATCGTTGAGGTCGCGGAGGTCGCGGATGTCATCTCTGCGGGGGTACAGGAGGACCCCATTGCCCTTGGCGCCGTCGTTCATCGGCGCGATCTTGTTGGTTCGGTCCCCGTTGACGTGACTGGGGCTGAACATGTCGTCCGGGACGGCGCGACTCTCCTACACTTCCGGCACTGAAAGTCCACCGCCACACTCGCGAACGGGAAGAGGACGCACGGGTCGGCGACAAGGTCTCAGTCCTCACGGGGCAGCACGTTCACGTCGTCGGCGGGGGCTGTGAGCCACTGGCGACCTGCGACCGGCCCGCGGGCCCGGGGCCCGTCCCCAGCCCGCCCGCCGAACGCCCTCCGCGCCCCGCCACCCCGGGGCCCGGGGCACGCCGCGGAACGCCGCGGAACGTCGCGCGGGTCACCGTGGCGGGGTCGTCGGCAAGCACCTGGGTGTGCGGCGCGGCCGGCACGGCCAGGGCGGCCGGAGGCTGCAGCCGATGCGACCGACGCGTTGGACCGAGCCGCCGTCGACGCCGACCCGCTGCACCACCACCCGCACCAGCACTCCCGCCGACGCCGCGCGATAAGGACCAGCGGGCCGATTCCGAACGGTGCCCCCGTCGCTCTGTCTCCCTCGCACTCATGGTGCCCCGTAGGGTGCCCCGTGGGGTGCGAGAGAGACAGAGCGACGAAACCGCTGTTCAGACGCGGCCTGGACCCAGGCTGGACCCGCCGCAGCCGTCGGTGCGTCAGTCAGTCAGTCAGTCACTCGGCCGTCGGCATGGCCGCGACGTGGACCTGGTGCGCGGCGCTGTTGCTCCTGGTGGCCGTGCTGGCCGTGGAGGCCACGCGCCGCCCCTGGGTGTCCACGGTGGACCCCCGGCCGAACAAGGGTGAGTTCTCCTCCACAAAATATGAACCGGAAGTAAAAAAATTGGAATTTCTCTCCATCCCAAACGGCTCTATATTTTTGTAAAGCCCTTAGTGGTTGCTCAGGGGGTTGGGCCCTGTCATCCGAGACCAACACTTTTGAATTCGGAGTTGGATTCTTTCGGGGTTCGATGAAGTCACGAAAAATAGTGCAAGTGGGATTTCGTTTATCAGTAAGCTGAGCTATTCTCTCACCAACTCACAAGCGTTTTTCCTGAAGAAAATAAAAGGACCTGCGTAGTGAGCCTAGGTGAGCTCAGGCTCGGCGTGTACAATGAGTGCAAGAAGTGGCAACCCACTGGCCGGGTCAAGCTCATTTAGTCCTGGCCTTTCCGAGCCAGACTGGGCCACGAGGCAGACGCGACGCATACTGAGTCGAATTGACGACATGGAACTAGAGGGGGCATGCGAAAGCGACACCATGGAAAGCCACCGTGCTTCTAGTACTTCTTCAGTGCCTTTCTTTGAGCGTTTAACCACTTGCACTCTATCGTGAAAAGAGCGTAAGAGTAATCAACCCCTATCCTTCTCTTATAACCGCATGAGGAAAATTTCCTGTCACTGTGTGCAGGCAAGGGGCCGTGCGCCAAGGGGCCCGCGTCCTGCAGGAAGGTCTGCGCAGAGGAGGAGGGGGCCGGGGGCCACTGCAACCCGCAGGGCGAGTGCATCTGCAGCGGGCACTACAAGACCACGAGGGCGTCCACCCCGTCCACCACGGCCACCTCGGCCACCTTGGCCGCCACGGCCGCCACGGCCTCGGACACCACCATAGAAGCGTCCACCGACGCGCCCCCAGAGGCGCCCCCAGAGGCGCCCCCCGAGACGGACGCGGAGACGGAGACGACTTCGGACGCGGACAGAGACGCGCACAGGCCGGCGCTCCATCCCGCGTAAAATGACCAATAAAAGCAGAATTTACTCTCTAGTTTGTCACATTCGAGGGCTTGAACGGAAAATTTTTCTCTGAAATGTTTACGTTGCTCAGCTCACAACCTCGGGCTGCAATCCTGACTCAACTGACGTTGCAGGTCACCACAACCGACGAGCGGCGCGCCCTCCACGAGAGCGCCTTCCGGCGGCGGGACCAAGCTTGCACCCAGGCCCAGTTCGACGGCGTCGACTCCCCGTCCTGCAACAGCCTCGGCGACGGCCGCCACGTCCGCCACGTCCCCGACGACGCGTCACCGCCGGCGGAAGGTTTCGTCCACGACGCCGGAGGCGCCCTCCTCTAAGCCTGCCCCGACATCGCCGGGCACTCGCCATGAGAAACCCCACACCCTAAACCTTTTCAACCTAAACCCTACGACCTAAACCTTAAGCCCTTTAACACTGCACCCGCGTTCTCGCTGTGCGGAAGTACGCGTAATCTGCAATCGGCTGTGGGCCTGTTCTTTCTGCCGCGCTCAGCGTTTTTCGCAGTAACACCTCGCTAGCGCGGCTAGCACGGCTAGCGCCACCGATTCGAAGCCGACGCCGGGTTTACGACTTGCAAGTCAGTTGCCTCGCCACAAACACGCTGAGCGGCAAGCCGTGGCGAGCCGTGCCGAGCCGTGCCAGGTGGCGGCACAAGTCGAAAGTGACGAGTGACGTGTTCGATTGGTTCGATTGCCCGGACGTACTCTTTCCCCGAAGCACGTACACAAAGTTACCACTAACAGTAAGACAAATTTTGAGTCCTAGCCTAGCAAACTGCTATAGCAACTTGTACCAATTACGTCAAAAATAAAAAAAAAATGTTTTTCATCCAACCAATTTTATCACTTTATTATTTGGAGCTGCCATTTCTCAGTCAGAATAATTCTGAGTGATGGTTCGGGCCGGGCTGGGCCACGCACGCACGCACGCACGCCGCCACGCTCCGGGCCGCCTCTCATGTTTGCATAACATGATGTCAGCGCGAACGCTCAGCGCGCAGTGTGCCTCCGCGACAGCGACATCCGAAGTACGCCAAGCTGCACCCGCCAGGCCGCCAACGACATCGCGATGGAGAGCGTTCGTAAATTACGTAAGGGCGATAGGGGGGGGTCCACAAAATCTTACGTCCCATGTTTTAGGTATAGGGACGGTTAGGTTAGTTCCCTTACGGAGGGGTAGGGGGGTGCAAAAAACCCTAAAATGACCCTTACGTAATTTATGAACGCTCCCATGGCGCCAGGAAGCCCCGTTTGGAATTCGGGAGCAGGAGAAGGCACTGTCTAGACAAGGGCATTAAAACTGTAGGCGTATGCCACACTTTGTCAGGCCGCACAAACTACTGACATTGAAATCACTTAGTCCTGCACTCCCATTGGACTGATTCAGAGTGACGAACGCCCCCTGAATCAGTCCACTGGGCACGTCGCAGGGCGCCACGCCGCCGCGCCCACACTGCAAGTCCTGCGGGCGTGGCGCGGCGTGGCGTAGGGTAGGACATGGCTGGCGCCTCGGCGCGCTCGGCGCCCGGCTGGCGCTGGCCTTGCAGTGTAAGCGGAGCGCTATTTAGTGTGCACTTTCCGACACTTAGATTAGCAGTGTGCATTGTACGATACGGGGCGAGGCGGGCGAGGCGGCCGAGGCGTACACACATGCCATTAGGGCCACCATTGGCACCAGACGATCGGCCGCTCATTTGGAAGGCAATGACTGTCCCCCTCCCCCACCCCCACAGACGCCGCGCCCAGCCCCACCGTCGCGGACAATTTATTTCCATGTCGAACACCTTAAATGTTGGCCGCACTGCGGACCGATTCCGGGACTCGTCGCTCCGTCTCTCTCGCACTCCCGGAGCGTCCCGTGCGAGAGAGACGGCGAGTCAGTCTGCCGGTGCGTGGCGCGCCGAACGCGATGTCTAGAGAGCCTTAGGCGGCCCAGGCAAGGGCGGATCCAGAGACTGCTTCAAGCGAGGCGCGCAAAGTTGCCTACCTGCAGGGGCAAAGCGTGGCTTGTTGCCTACCCCCATTACCACTACGGGCTAGACCGCAACTCATTCCCTGGATCCGCACCTGGTCTTAAGGAGAAAGACGCGAAGTGGGTGACATCAGCGCGCTCGGATTGGTTGGTTCCGCCCAGGGAGCGCTGTGATTGGTCGGTTCGGCGTGGCCGGGCTGTGGCCGGGTTGTGGCCGCAGCCCGGGTTCAAACCCGAACGCCAATGCTAAATCGGCCGACCACCGTGAGGTGCCACGCCATGTTCGCGTTGTTTCGCGTCCAGTTGCTTTCCGAGCCACGTTCGGGCGGCATGCGAGATTGTTTGCACCCGCGAGGGGCAGACTTTGAATCGTAGTGTAGAGTCCTACACTAGAGTCCCCCTGTAGCATTTCTCACTATGTCTCTCTCGCGCACCCCTTCGGCACTGGCACAAGTGCGAGAGAGACAAAGCGAGGAGTGCGGGCTGCGAATCTCTCCCTCTCCCTCTCTCTTTCCCCCTCTCGGCGTCCCCGCCCCAGGCCAGACGAGGAGTCCTCGAGAGGCAGGTATATTGCTTCCCGACAGCTCATCCCCCGCGTCTGCCAGCTTTAGACCGCTCTCTGCGCCCCGAGGAGAAAAATCCGTTTTCAACCGCCGCCGGTCACCCCACAGCCTCGTCTCAGCCACTCCACGCCGCAGACGGGGCGCGTTTCGCGGCTGTCTCTCTCACACTCACGGAGCGTGCCGTGCGGGTGCGATAGAGACGGAGCGACGGAACTGACTCTCAGTCTGCTGAACTGTAACACAAGCCGCGTCTTCTAGAGGGAGGGATCTCGAACGCTTCCACGGAAACGAAACAAACCGGTGCGCGAAGCGCGAAGGCGGCAACGGCAACGCGGCAGCGGGCTGCGGATGCGGTCCGGGGTCAGGTGGACTGTAGGGCGTCCTGCTGTCGAGGAGGGGGGGAGCGGGCTCGCCGCTCAGGGGCGGAAGTGGCCGGTCGAAACAATGGCGTATCGGAGACTTGTTCACACGGGCGGCAAGGCCCGGCAGGCCCGGCCCGGCAGGCCCGGCACACGGGGCAGGCCTCGGCAAGCCTGGGCAAGCCTGGGCAAGCCGGGGGAGGGGGGAAGACCGGGTGGCGGCAGGCAAGGAGGCCGACGCGCGGTGGATTTGCCCCCGCGCTGCTCGCGCGAGTGTGTTTGTGTGGGTGTGGTTTGTGAGTGTGTTTTAGCACGGTCATCGGCCCAGTGTGTTTATCCGTGCGCAAACCTGGCGAGGTTCGAATCAGTCTTGATATTGCCTACCTGAGGTTGGCAACCCTCCGATGGATGCATCGTGGGAATTTTCACCCGCTTTATGGGGCGTGGCAAGGCAACGAAGGCAACCCCGCTCGCAGTGTGGTGCCGCAGCGCGGGCTGCGCGCCCTTCGTCAGCGAGACGCACGGTTATGCGCCACGCCCGCTGCAGCCCCACCCGCGGTGCCGCCGTATTTTCGAGCGTTACGTTGTTATGAAATAGTGGAGGCAGGGGCGTCGGGTGAGGCGTCCGGGCGGCGCACCGCCTCTGCCTCGCTCTGCCTCCGCTTCCTAGTTTCTCGGCGTTACGGCCCGGACGCAGCCCGCCTGCGCCCCCGCCACGCTGCGCCACGCCACGCCACGCCACGCCACGCCACGCCACGCCACGCCGCCACAGCAGCGCGTCCACCCGAAAGCAACGGCCTGTGACATGCAGATGCGCCCGGCCCACCACGATTCAGCACCCTCCCCGTCTCCATCAAGGTCACCAAATTTGAGGGCAGTGGGGAACAGGCGGCGGGGCGGCTGCTGCTTATTTTATGGCGTGTTTTTCTGGCCGCACTTGAGTAAACAGTGCGACGCAAACTCGACGAAAGAAAGGGGAAGCAAGCGAGGTGCGTTTGAGACGCCAGCTTTGGGACAAAGTGACGCGTTCCTTGCAGTGGGGCATCCCTTCTCGCACCTCCGCGGACTCACTCCGAGAGTCGTTTTCGTCGCTGTCTCGCTCGCATTCATGCAGCATCCCGTACAGGCGCGAGAGAGACTGGCGACTCTTGGAATCAGTCTGGCGGCCCTCCGTAGGGACGTGGTCCGACCGCCCCGTCATGACTCGCCCTGCCTTCGCCCTGCCGTCCTTCAGCTGTCCATGTTTCCCGGGGCATCCCTGCGTGGCCTCTCTGGCCTCTCTGTCCGGCGACTGCCCGCCCCAGCCTCGGCCGCGGGCCGCTTTCTGATTGGTCGCCATGGCTCTGTGTGGGCGCCCCGCCCCGCCCCCGCGCCGGAACAGAGCCAGCCCGCCAGAGCCCTCCGGTCCCGTCCGGACGGTCCGGACCCCCGTTCCGTTCCCGGGCGGGACGACGAGGGGCAAGCGCCGGACACAAACCACGCGTTGCTCGCAGATCGCAAGGGTCCGTGACGTCAGAGAAGGCCAGGGCCTCGGCCAGGGCCAGCGTTTAGCTGGAAGGAAGATGACTGATTCCGGGCGTGCCGCCGCGTGCCGCCTTGCCACGGCCTCCACCAGGGTCCCCACGGCCGTCCCCGCCGTCCCCGCCCACTTCAAAAGGCCGAGAAATGACGATGCCACGACCAAAGTTGCGAAATAGCAATTTCCGGCTCCGACAGCCACGGCGCGGCGGCGTGGACGATCTTGACGGTCTTGATCACCAACAGCCAAACCCCGAGCCGAGGCCGAGGCCCAAGTCTGCGCCCAAAGGTACGGCGGTGAGGGGAGCGAGTGGACTAGGTCCACTTTCTCTCTCGGTAATCCCGGCAGATCGTTCAGTTCCGTGACTTAAAAAAAGAACGGGTAAAAGAAGCGCCAGTGTCAGAAGGAACCTGAAAAGGACTGGGTGACGCACGAATCTCCAGGGGCGGGTCAAAAAAAGGGGGGCGATGACGCAAAAGTTATTCGGCATCGCGTGTGCTCACATGCCCTGCATGGCCTCCCTCGCGAAGAAGACGCGCCCCTGCCGTTCCCTCTACAGTCATTATACAATAATTGTTATTTACCACCCCCGGCGCGGATTGTTTAGTATTCAGGACTCGAGCAGTGGACGGGGTGGGGTGGGGCGGGGCGGGCGGCTCCCTTTGCCATTCTATTCTGTCCACGGCGGGAAAACAACGCAACGCTTGATTTGGCCGCCCGTCGCTGTCGCTACACTGCTCCCGTCTCGCCCCACCCGGAGTACATCACAGTCGCTCGGGCCTCGTCGCGCGCCGTCCCCCCCCCCCTCTTTTCCCTCTTAAGATGAAGATGACCGCGGTGGCGTATCGCTGTCCCCGTACTGCGTCACTTGGCTTAATTCATCCAGACCTGAGACAAATTCGTCGGGAAAGTGAGTTAGGGTGGCGAGGGGGCGAGAAAGGCGGGGAAGGGGCGGGGGGAGAGTGGGGCAAAGGGGGAGGGGGTGTTGGACTGGCGCCTCACAGGCCGGTGCCGCTGCGCTGCGAAAAGTAACTCGGTTTGGTTCGTTACGCGTTACGCCATGAGGCAGAGGCAGCAGACTGGTTCCGAGAGTCGTTTTCGTCGCTGTCTCTCTCGCACCTATAGGGAACGCCCTATGAGTGCGAGAGAGACATGGGGTGGCCGAGGCGGCCAAGACGCTGCGCGGCCCGCGGTAATGCCCCGGGCGACGCCAGACGCCATCACACCAGCAAGGTGCGGACGAGGTGCCGCGAGGTCATGGAGTCCACCTCTCTGACCAGGGTCACCAGGTTCACCAGGGTCACCATGCGGCGGTAGTCTACAAGTACGTTGCAGTTGAACGATGCCGCGCTGTCCGTACTCCTCGCTCCGTCTCTCTCGCACCCCTACGGCACGGCACAGTCCATGAGTGCGAGAGAGACAGAGCTAGGAGTGCGGGCAGCGGCATCGCTCGACAGGTCACGGTTGGCGCCCTCACGGCCAAACCCTCGATCCCGGTGGAATGAAGCGAGCTCGCCGAATCGATGAAGCGATGACGCCTTGCGTCTTCCCTTCACGTGCCTGTTTGTGTCCACAAGGTTGTGGTGGCCGCCACATGGGCACACTAGGCCACACAGGCACGAGAACGCTACAAACGAGCGGTGCAGAATGCAGAAAGGCCAGGCCTGCAGGCTTGCAGGCATCAGGCTCGCCGGCCATATGAGACAGCGCTTGCTGTGACAATGACAATCCTACTTCTGCCCCTGCTTTAGCGTGCATTTTGTTGTCTTTCTTAAAGGAAGGTTCGTCGAATAACACTGTTGTTTGGTCTCGGACGCCTCAAGGCACGGCCCCAGGGCGGGGCTGGGGCAGGCTGGGGCCTGACGAGGCAAACTTGATAAGGAGGGCTTTTTGAGCACCTCCGCCGGAGCGTGTGTGTGTATGTGGTCCTCCGGGGTACAAAGTCAACACGGGTGTCGCACCTTGTCTTGGCCCCTCCTTCCCTCTCTCCCACTCCCCAGAGTCCAAGGTCTCATTCCAATGCATTCAGCCTTTCAGGGACACCCACAATTCGAACAAGATCCAAGTAGCTTTATTAATAAAATACACTTCATTGTAACTTGGCAATGAGAGATGACTGAACACTAGACGTAAAACCAAACATCATAAAAATGCTAAATATTTTAACAAATGCACACATGTCCAGATTTGACAAAAGCATGATTGTGTTAATGATAGTAATAATTATTATAATATATCAACAGTGGAATTTGTTTCACAAGTACTCATTTTATATGGCACATTCATTGTTTCAAAGTAATAATTATCAGGTGCATCAACTTGCTTTCCCTCTGACTACAATTATTATTCATTGGAAATATCAGTTGGATCTAAGAAGCACAAGGAAAGGATATCAACCGACTGTCTTCGAATAAGTACAGTTATCATTAGTTGCACACGCCGGGCTCAAGGGGCTTTCTTTGAATGAAGGTAAAATCAGTCAAAGCCATGATTGACTACTGACCTTTCCACTCGGGTTACATTTCTGAAATGCCATAGTAGACTAGAAACTGACATTTTAAAAACCAATTCTAAAACCAGATTTCAAAATTTAACAGTGCACAAAATAGCAGTGCACACAAGAAATTTAAAAAAAATTAATAATAAAAATACATATTAAGAAGATTACCCTGTCACACATGACCTCAACATAAAAAGGTTGTGTTACCAATCATTTTATCTAGGATAAAAGGCTCTTGGAAGAAAAGGAAGGTACGTAAGTTAAGCAAAATTTGCACATTAGTTCAACAACAAAAACAATCATCATCTTTAACACAATATAAACACTGGGGGGTATAACTTCAGAACACAATAATTAGTTGCACAAAATACAATTACTTTGTAAATTTGACTAATATAGTTGTACTATGCAAAATACAGAATTAAATATGATAGTTTTCAGAAATATTTGTACTAGTTAAGGACATAAACAAACTGCTATTGCCCATATATCAAAATCAAGAAAACATTTATTGTCACTTGTGACCGATACAACAAAAGTGAAGACCATGAGAAAGGTGATTGCTTCATAACATCACAGTATAACATGTGGCACAGACATTGCATTATGAGAGCATTCATTAACTAGAGTAATTTCATTGTATGAGCAACACAAATTATAATAATAATAATACTAATGAAAGGATCAACTGCTTAAGTTAGGCCTACATTTCTTGAGCAAAATCACCATTCAAAACATTTTTGTTTCTGTGCTGAACTTATGTTCATGCATGACTATTAAGATTTTTATTTGTTGTGTATATTCGTGATTTGATGACACTTTCAGTTGAAGTCTTCTTATCTTACAATCTATAAATGCTGTTTCTTGTCTTTACTAAGACCTAAAAAATATACCTCTTTGCACCTCTTACCTGCTCTCAGAGCCAAAAGGCATTGTAAGTCATTCAGAGGAAGGATAAGTTGAAATGTATTGCGCTCAGAGTATGGTTGACTTGGGACGACCTGCTTTCTGTGCTGCCCCATTTATCTTTTGTCATTGATCAGTTGAATAATATGATGCATGAACTACATCACCACCCACATTAATGAGACATTGACCCTGAAAAATGAGAAAAAAGTTATAATAAATCCAATTGGTAGAGACAAATTCTGCCAGGATATATGTCGGCAAAGAAGCAGTATACCTGGTTTTTATGTGGATTGTGAAGTAAAACATTCTCTGAAATGAAATATGCAACCATTGCATTTCCTCCCAATGCTGTGACATGAGCCCTTACTATGGCAAGAACATCTGCTATGAAGCTATGGATGAACCCACTAAGACCACCACTCTGGAATACCAAAAGGAGATGTTTTACTGTAAAAATTGAACATTATTACACACAAAGAGGCAACATTATTACTCTACCTCACGAATGGCTGTACTTTCTCGAATAAAGAAGAAATTTAAGTTTCCGAGATATCGATCAATTTTTCCACCAGGGATATACGACAAGGGGGTGATGTCAACACCATATCGCTCCCTTGGGGGTTTCTGAAATAGGTTGAAGAAGGTTATCACATGTTGTAATGTTCAATAAAGAAGATTGTAACAAGATAACAACATATTTGAAAGAAAGAAATTTACATGTTGAATCTTTGGAGGATTTTGCAAACGTTGGCTAAGGGTATATGATTGATGAGGTGATTTTGGTCGCATTTTGGATCCCACTGATGATGCAGCAGCAGATGCAGCTGCAGCAACAGCTGTTGCGCCTGTAATGTCTTCTAAAACAACATCTTCTTCTAGGCTAAATATTAAATCATTTTCATCTGTAAGGGAAAGAAAAGATTTGGCAAGATGTTTTGATTTAAAAATAAACTATTGCACCGTCTCTCAGAAAAGTACCTTTTTTGAGGGGCTCTTTGCTTACTGAAGGGGGGACAGTTTTCCTTTTTATTTTGGAATTCTTTTCTGCTTCCCCTAGTCCTAAAGCCATTCCTGAATCAATTGATGAAATATATATTAGTATAAATAAAATGGCAAATACAATACAGTATAAGACGAAGATGTTAACATGTTAACACAGTAACCTTAATATGTTAACAGTAAGGGCCACAAACCTAATAGTGTTAGCTGAAGTTCATCAGGTTCAGGCAATTCCACAAAAAATTGTAATTGGCCGAGGGCACATGGCACCATGCGGCGCAACTTGAAATACACACTTTGTAGCATCCTGTGGAAATGCTTTGAATACACCACTGGCGGCATTGTAGGGGTAACCTTTGCTCGCCAAACTTGGGTAAACATTTGCAGGTTTCTCACTACTTCCATATCCTCCAACCCAGGTACCACCTCGGTATTGACAACAAAAAAGCCATCAGGAGGGTGTGGATCCATGAGCAAGGAAATAACATCAACATCCTCATTATCATCGACCTCCATGACACAAGTGTCTTTGTTTCCTGTAGCTAAGTCTAGGTCGGGAAGATCGTCTTCAGAGTCCTCTGTATCCGACTGATTATTTCTACCATTAGCTGTTTCACCCTCCTAAAAAAAAAGGAAAACAAAAAAAAATCAATGTCAATAAAATGAATGAAGCAGTACATCAGGAATAAGAAAATGGTGTATAATGCTCACAGGTAGAGATTTCAGATGATATATCTCACGGTTTCTTTTGACAGTTTCTGAAAGAGTCTTTTGAACTTCCAGCAATCTACGCTCATCACTCCACGAGTTTCCTGCGGTGATGGTAGGCACTGGAGGGGAAGGTAGAGGAGTGAGGAACATGGCAGTGCCAGTGGCCAAACCGACTAACATTCTCTCTCCTATGGAAACTTGTACCTGAAATAGATCAGCAGGGATATGATTTACCTTAGACTGAAATATTTAATAGGATGCACAAAATAATCTTTCCTTGTAACACATACTTTTAATCCAAAGATGGCGTTCATTCCTTTTACTTTGAGCTTATTCAGAAGCATTCGATGCAACTCATATTCTAAAAATGGCAAACCATCTGAGATTTCTTTAGCATTGAGTTCTCCTTTGGTGTCTCTCTTTGGACGACAGACATAAGCTTGCACTAAGCAGCCTCGACCCGTTACAGGAATTCCCTCTGGTGGCTCCATAGTTGTCAAAAGAACATCCGGAACCTTACCTTTTCTGTGAAGGAAAAATGAAAGGTAATATTTATTAGCACCAGGTGGTTTATTCGCACCATGGTGCGAATGGTCACTTCGTAAATGAAATGGTGAAGAAGGCAAAACAACATGGAACAGGAGATGAAAGGTCCACTTATTTAAATTTGACTGACCTGCACATGGCACATTTCATCATCTTGACTCTAAATGGGACACTTGATTCCGAGTACGGTATATGACACATGAAGCATCCTGGTAGAATCTCCCCATCAGCACCCTCAGACAAATGGCGGACTTTGCCCTGTACACAGATTTCAAAAGACATCTTTAAGTATCAGAAGAAATGAGTCATTGATTAAAACTGATAAACATCAGTACTCACAGGATAAGCGGGTTCACTTTTGCCACCAGAACCCTTTTCAAAGTCTGTCCTGTCTAATGATGAAGTCATAGCAACACGGTCATGACTCTGTTTGGCAGAGTTGGCCTGCTTTTGTGGTTGTAGTCCTTGCACTGCTTGAGATGGAGGCTGTGGGTGAGGGTACTGTAATTGCTGTACTTCAGTAGAAGCCTGTTCTGATTGACTCTGATCCAGCTGAGTGGTCTGAACTAATGGTTGGGCCATTGGTTGTTGTTGGGGTGCCTGTTTCTCAGTTGAAGTTATGTTGACTGTTGTGTTGGCACCCCCACCAGAAGTTATGTTGACTGCTGTGTTAGCACCCCCACCGGAAGTGTCAAGTTCAGATGCACTATACTGAAGACTAATAACAGCAGCTGTCCCAGCAGCACTGAGTACACACACATCATCACTGCAAAACAAAAATAAACAATTCATTGGTTCAGTATTTTAAACAGATCATATGTTTAACAGATCATATGTTTAAATGAAATCAATACCAAATGCTAGTATGTTCTGCATATCCTAGGACAACATTGCACCCAAGAGCTCGAGCATGTGAACGAACTTCCATTCTCAATTCCTTCCACCAGGTGTCACGAGTTTCTGGCTCTTCTAAATTGGTTATCCGTTCCAAGAGTTTGACAGAACGAGAGCTTACTGTTCCACCTGCCATATAAAAGAGAAAAGAGAGTAAAAAAAAGGAGAAGGAAAAAGCTGCACTAACAGTTTTACTTTAGGTGCTTGTTAACAACAACTAAAAATGCATATGAAAAAATAAAATAATTACAACTTAAGGACCATTTACCTATACTTTGAACAAATCCAGGTGGAAATTTGGACACTGTAATGAATGGGTATTCCAACATTTCAAAATTGTCTTGATTCATGACAGGTGGCTGAAGATGCAGCGCGGGCGGCCGCCCTTGCTGTCCGGGACACGACGATCCGCTCCCAGTCAAACTATTTCCTAGAAACAAGACAATCCTCATATTAAACCAAGTCTCATTCAAATTCACATTTTCTTACGGACACTGAGTGTTCATGAAAAGTCCATTGTATGTTGGCCACAGAGGCAAAAAAGAACATGTTTTAGTTACAGTGTATTTTTCACTGCACACATCAAACGACAGTCAAAAAATTTGTCAGAACTTTCAATGACATTAGAACATTCAGACATGACTGAAAAAAGCATGGACTCCACGCAGAAACAAATACTCATAAAGACAATGCAATAAGAGGGTAGAAAGACTGAGACACGAGCTTAAATCAAATGGGAAAAGATTACAAGAGTATTCACAGCACACATATCAAATTATGAGAATTGAAAGAAAGGGAAAGTTCCACATAAAGCATAGAATGTACAGGACAAAACCAAAATGATATGAACTGAAAACTACTATGAAGGTAGCCAATCAAGTCGCAATTCACAATAGCTTAAAACCCATTGACATGGTGTATTAATTAAAATAGATATTGCATGGAGGTTCTAAAATATAACTTGCCCAACTAAGCACAGTGGATAGAATAGGTAGCAATGCAGAAAAGCCTAGAGCACCAAAATGAAACTTAAAACCTCCTCAATTGAAATAGTATAAGATTAAAAGGGAAAAGACAAGATCGTACTTTGCATTTAAGGTGGAAAAGGAAACTAAAGACTTTTCACTTCTGAATGAATGCAAGAAAAAAATTACAAAATAAAATAAAATGTACATTTGAAACATAAGGCTGCATTTGAGCACAGGAGGAAAGACAAGTTATCCCCTAAAGTATTTTAATCAGATGCACAATTTTACCAAACAGAAAACCTCAAAGCAATTTTCTAGAGATAAAACAAAATACAAATATAGTTCTAAGAACAAAAACAAACCACACAAAAACAAACCAGGTTGCAAAGAGAGACAATAGCACACACTGAGGCTGGACACAATTATAAAGACTGACATTAACTACTTACTCTTGCGGTAGCAGCCTATGATTTGATTGACCCAAAACCAAAACAGAACAACAAAAATCAAAAGTTTGTTCATTTTCAATTTTTATAAAATATCCTAGCCCTAAGAGTACTTTCAATTAGATTTAAGTAAAGCACACAGTGCTTGGAGCAGAATATCTTGAGCATGCAAAGACTGACTAGAAATCAAATTGCAAGTTCTCATTTATTTTGAATTTGTAACACTAAACTTGGAGACAAGAAAGTGAAGTACGGAAAAAAATCGAGCACAAAAAGAAAGTGGGGTCGCACACCCCATTTTAGACCAAAGTCACTTATCTTGAGATGTACTAGTAGTACACGATCGAGTAGAGTGGCAATAACCAGTGGTGAGTATTTTTGAGTCTCAAAATGAGGCAATCCAGTCTAAAATAAGGGTGTGCATTTGTCCCCACTCCTCAGTGTTTGATTCCTCCCAACACTGACCTTATGTAATGCATGACTATCCCAACAAATGGTGAAAAAGACTCAAATTTTTTGTAACAATGGGGCAAACAGAGCAATGAACTACTGTACTGTGCAGTTTTGTGCAGCTACCCATCACCCCTCACCAGACATTCACGATGGGGGCCTCCCATTGGAAATGCCAGTTTAAACAAAAGACATTCACCAAGGGCTTGGTTCAACCAGCACTATGAACTCTTGGTTCATCGGGGAACGCCCGTGCCCGGCTTCACCAGACTCGCGGCTCTTGCCATGACACATGTTTATTAAATTTGATTTAACAGATTCAAGGATTAGGTAAAATATCACAAAAAATGATATAAGTGTCGTCATAAGTGCATAGTTCTCTACATACGTAACACATCTTAAACAAAACAAACTACCAGATTATCATTATTATTATTAAACTAGTTTTAGTTACCAAATAGAAAATACTACAGAAATAGTAAGAAGATAATCAACGTTGAGCCAACCGTAGCTTTTTAGAATGCATTAGCATGCATTTACTTAATGTTACTTTAATGTTACTGGGTTTACTGAGTTAAACCAACACCAAGTCACTCTAAACTTTCTGACGTTATTTAACAAAACTAGGGACAAAAAGTCATAAAATAAAAAGACTAAGGATGGAGGCTTTAGAACATTACATAAAACCAGCATTGATACATTAAACTATTTTATTCAGAATACTGGAGATGTTTCAAAAGAGCGGCTCTGAAAAGTGCACAGATCTATGTGCAATGAATACATTAATCCTACAACATGTGAGCACAAACAATGTATTTCAACAATAACTCACCTTTCGGAGTCACGCTTAGATCTGAATCTGATGATCTCCTATGTATTGCTGGAGCGGCAGTGAGCTTAGTTGGAGACTGCGACTGCTTGTGGGCACTTGAAGTCAGCTGAGTTGATGAGGCAGCTCGATCCTCATCATGTGCAACAGTTGTTGCTCCTTCTCGCTCTCCGTCAGTGACAAAGTGCGAGGCTGCTGCAGCTTCATGCCGGCACACTAGGCTAGTGGTACTCCTACTCTTATGGAGTGGGGACAACACATGAGGGATGTCAAGCGTGAGTGAGCACACAGGGTTATCTGACACGCTTTTCTTCCGAGCCACTTCCACAATACTAGTGACACTAGAACTGTCCATGCTTACAGTACTCTGAAGCTCATGTTTATTTGGCTGTGGTGCACTGTTCACCACTAAGTTAGTAACTACATTAGTAGAAATATTCTGCTCTTTCAATTCATCAAGCACAGGGAAACTGAGAGTTGATGAGTTTGTGAGTAATGTTGGATTTCGGTCTACTTGCAAATATTGTTCCCTGTCTTCACCTTTCGAATTAATGTGGTTACAACTTTCTACTGTGCCTGTGTTTTGAATACATGCATGAAAGCTACTAGAGGCTGAAGCAATGGGACTTCCCTAACAACGCAAGAAACACAATCAGACTTGAAGGGAGAAGACACAGGAGGCAAAGGAGAATGAGAGAGAGGAAGAGAGGCAGTATTGGGAGGAGGGCAAGGTTGTGTCGCCTCAAATGGTTGTGGTAAATCCTCAATCTTAACAAAATCAGACGAAGATTTTAATGCGATGGTAGCTGCTGTGAACTCTTGGTCAAATGGGCTCTTACTTTGGACGTAATTTATACTGGCAAGTGCTTTGGAAGAATGACTAGTGCTTGTCTCTTTTCTTGTTGCTTTAGGTATTTTAGGGGAAGAGGCAATCCTTTGCTCTTTACCATGTCCAGTTAGAGAGACTGTGTCTGTCTCAATTTTTGAATGACATGGGCTTGGGCTTGAAGACTGGCTGTTAGAGCAATTGCTTGTGTATCTCTTATTTTTTACAAGAATGGGAGACAAAGATACTCCCTTGCGAAACACATTGTTACGGTCCGTTTTTCCTTTTGGAGACAAAGACCTACTTTTCTTTTTTTCATCGAAAGGTAATATTTCATTACAACCAATAACAAATGTTACTCTCCCCTTTGGGTTCTTGCCTGGGGACACATCGGAAATAATATTCTCTGCGACAGACAACAAAGAAGAATCATCATCCAGCTTATCCTCCTGTGATTCAAATTCATCCACAAGGGAATTCTCTTCATCTTTCAACCCAATAGCTGATGAATCTGTGATTTCATCTCCAGAAGTTGAAGAGGCACAGGAAGATGATGAAGACTCAATAAATGCAATACTTTCTTCATTATCAGAAGATATTTGATGAATAAGTTCCTTGGCTCCACCTAGTTCAAGTTCTGATGAACTTGGAAATAAATTAAGTTTTGGTGTAGCTGGTGCAGAAACTACAGTCTCCTCGCCTTCAGCGACTCGACTTAAACCACCACAGTCCTCTAATTCTCTTCCAGAGTCCATCATAATAGATCTAATGAGAGCAGCCGTCACTGAATCATTTCGCTTTTGTGCCTTGCGCCTTATATCAAAGGAAAGTGATTTTGTTGATGAGCATGACACTGTGTCAAGTTCAGAGTCAGAGTCAGATTGAAGACGTCCCCGTAACGCATTCACCTTCCTAGGAAAATGGCGAATGACCTTCATAAAACGGCTACTTCCTGGAGATCCAGGACTTCGGCGCATATCTTCTTGTTCAAGTAAATGGCGCAGATCAGAAAGATCAGTGACAAGAGACTTGGTGGAATTTTGTCTCTTATATGGTGCATGTTGGGCTAAATCAAAGGGAGCGGAGCATTGACGGCGGTGGGTGAAAGGCCTTTGATTGTTCGACGCAGAGACCACCACAACAGGCTGTTTTTTACCCTTTTTAGTTTTCATCTTGGGAAAGCGGGGTCCCATCACAGGTAACACTCCGTCTTCTCTATTTGAGGTTTGTAAGAGTGGGTTGACACCAGTTGTTGGGGTAGGGGGGATGACACAGAGACGAGGAGAGGAAGGTGCAGCATATAGACAAGGAGCTGTTCTAAAGGGGGAAAGAATCTTTGATCTACAGACACAATTCAAAATACATGCATAAGTGAAAAATCCAAAATTCCATGATTAGAAGCACAAGCAAAAATAAGCAAGCAGATAGTGGTGAGGCAAGATTGAAGTGGAATGGAAGGAAAAGGGAAGGAAAGAAAGAAACCAAAGACCTGTTTTAGTATTTTGTACCCAATAAGGCATTAAGTATAACCAGTTTTCACTTTTCTTGTCAATTGAGAGTCTGGAGCTGAAAAGAATTCAGATGAGATCCTGAAGACAGCAAGAATTTTGTCCCAACAATTAGATGTGAAATTTAGGGATTAATAAAGTTCCAAACATGGTTGAATTCTTGCTGTCCCAAACATAAAAGTTATTAGGATATTGCACTAGAACATAGGCAATAAATATTGGGTTATTTTTGTTTTAAATACATACGTTAAGAAATTGGTACCTAAACTCCATAAACAAACTGAACACAAGGATAGAATATGAAGCACAAGAAAAGGTAAGATATCAAAACAGTAGGTTAGCACACAGAAAAGCATTTCAAAAGAGATTATGCATTCATGCTTAGATTTTGCAGCAGCTGATGGCAATCACAAAAGAATTTAACACATTATACTTTGCTTTCAAACTGGAAGCATCATACCAAATAATGCTGACCTGAATTAAATTTCAAGGCCTAAGTGAGTTCCTAGTCAAAATAGCAGGAGCGTATAATGTTAAGATTAATATCTGCCAAGCAGCCAATTATTGTTTATAGTTTTTTTGGAGAAAGGAAATTGACTAACGGTTGAAAATGCATAGGCACTGTCTGGAGCTTTTGATTTGAATAAAACTTCCAAAGCATACAGAATGGTTGAGTATTCTTGCAGACTATTCAATGTCTACCATTAGCCACACATAATCTATTACCATGAATATCATGGTATTCGAATTCTCACCTGCACACAAATCATTCCCAAAATGCATTACACAGCAGCCAAAGCACACAGGGTCACTTTAAATTTGATTGGAAATGGGTTAGTTCCTAGTCTACAGGAGGGAAGATTTCTAAATAAAAATAAATTTAGACTAAAAATACAGAGAAAGAAAAACACAGAAGACATGAAAAAAGCAAATAAAATAAAAGTAGGTAAAATCAAATTCTAAGTAATTGTTTGGAGACATCACAATAAAAGAATGCAGGAGTGCATGTTTAAGTTGATTTAACAGTGCCCTCCATGAAGAGATGAATAGAAAAGAAAAAAGTGTCCCTATGGTACTAAGAATTATTTGGATGAAAGATGTCTTGTGTGTTATTTCAGTCATTGTTTCCCTCAATGATAATTAATTGCTTACGGATTGCATATTCACAACTAAGCTAATTTGGAGCAACCAACAACTCTTTCAGACACAGCCAAACAGGACAATAGCTTTCAGAATAAATGAGTATTAGTGCAAAAAAGATGCCACATCTAGGACTTGAACAGGTGTCAATGAAATTTGTAGCAGTGGCATTGATACATGGCACAAAGACAATTATCTGTGATAATCTGAAAATCGCACATGAACATTTTAAAGGATTTTTGTTATTAAGGAGAAACTTACTCTTCCTGAGTGGACGTGTTCAGAGCAGCCGGTTCATGTAGGCGAACAATAGAGACAGCTGTTCCAATTCCTCTAGCAACAATGCCTGACTCTCCCTCCAAGTCAAAACACTGACGATATCTGTAAGAAAAGTTTCAAAATCAGATTCATAGTATTCAAAGATAAAGAAAGAGAAAACAATATTCCTATACTCATACCCAATAACTGCATTTCCACCTAAATCAAGTGCTTTCAAGCCAATTTTACGTTGAACTTCTCCTGATAGTTTAAAGAAAAGCGTTTGTCTTGCCTCATTGGACGCTCTTGGAGTTCGGATTTTATCTATCCATTGGTACTCAGGATCATCATTAACAACAAGTTCCTCAACAAAGCCGTGGATAACCTGGGCATAATAGCCTTGGGGTATTGCTGGAGCTAAAAAATTAAGTGGTATGAAAAATTATTCAATAATGTTTCACTTAGTTTTTGATTCTCTCTTGCATGGTCATATACTTACAACAAAAGAAGAGAACACCACAAGAGGACTGTCGAAAACGATTAAAATCTGAAAACAGCTCCACTTTCACAATAACATGAACCTCCCCTCGAATCCCATGCATTGTGTCATATACAGGGATCCAGCCTGACATGACAGAGCCTATCAAACAGGATACAAGATTGGTTTTAACAGTGATGAATCTACATTTTAAAGGGTGAAACTTGCGGCTGAAAATTACCAGAATTTGCAGTGGTGGTAGCACTTCCTTCAGATCGAACATTCTTCACAGGTTTAGGAGGTACAGGTAACAGGAGAGGATTCAAATCCAAATACACTTTGCCAATAGCATCATTTGCCGAATATGTGTCATGATCCATCAGACGCAGTTGCAGTGGCTCATCTTGCAATTCAGAATCATCCACCTAAAATAACAAATGAAAATATTTAAAAGAACAAATAACTTGTATTGTCCTGGAACTTTTCATGTTCATATTACTTCGGTGATGACAACACTACAAGCGATCTGGTATATAGTTGATTTTGGTTAACATCCAAGATTATTCAGACAATCGGGTTACATAGAAACATTTTGAGCGGGATGTACAGAAGTAGAGACGATATGCTTACAAACCTCAAAGCGATACCATTCTGAATTCCATTGAGGATTTAAGGATTTTCGACACACGTCAGTCTTGTAGGTTGTATTTCCAAGTTTTATTTCAACATACGCATCAGTTGTGTCGCTGGACCTATCCATTACAGGCAAATTTCGCCCAGCGACAATTTTTACTTTAACCTTTCCTGGCATGATGTCGCACAAGTAATCTGAAAGGGAATAAAATTTAAGAGGAATCAGAAGTAAGAAAATTACAGACCTGGTCACCTGAATGTGAATAGAGCCATTTGTTCTATATGAGCCACAGTAACTAGTCTCAAACTAGCTTGTACTGACAACAAGCTAAAAATTGTTGGATACAAGATGAAATGACACGTTCAAACAGTGAGGAACGATGAGGAAGGTAAAAGACAACAAACAATAACTCAAAGTATGTCAGATACACAATTACTGGGTCCGGCAAAAACAAAAATAGCTACCAAACCGTCCGTAAGGCTTATCTGTTTCTACGAAAATTTTCTTTTGGGATCAAGAACCACTATATTATCACACGTAGGTTCCACTGTGAACAACTAACCTCATAAAGTTTCTCTTAATCAAACACTCCACGAAGCCATGAGCTAAGATAAGTCTACAATTTATGATCACGCGAGTGCAGGATGCAGGTGTAACTTCTGTTTGTTGAAGGTACGAAAATATCGTCTGCTGCTGCAAGGAGGTGAAAACGAAAGTTATGAGAAAGTTTTGAACCACTTGACGCAATCTGCGAATAAGCTACAGCAAGGAGAATGTAGTGTGAATAACACACCGGTTTCCCTCCCCCGCCCCCGCCCCGCACTTACAGTCAGTCGTCCTGTCAAAACAGTTCCAAACAAAACGCTTATTGTTGCGTAATCTTTTGCTACTCAGTAAAATACATTCATCAAAATGTACGAAGTCCTCACTTCAGACATTCTCAAAGTTTGCGTCTCTACTTCGCTGGACCCAGAAGCCCCATTTGAGAGAAAATTTATGAAAAATATAACAGTTGGTGATTTGAAGGTTAGTGCGGTATCATTTGAACTGGTTGAAAGGCCTGTTCCCTCCTGTTCCTTCGATCACATTAGGCGTGCCTGTTGAAATAACCCATCTGAAACTATTATATTCTGAAATTATCTTAGATAGAATATGTCATTCATTTTTAAAAAAATCTTTTGTCTCCCAGGGCAAACTGGAAATGCTGACAGGGGCAAGTTCTGCGACAATGAAAATTGAAATTTATGAAAAGGATTCCGATAAATTAGTCTGCATGCTAGATAATGAAGATGCTCTTCTTGGTTCATATCCAATAGATGATGGTATGAGGATACATGTGAGTGTGCTTCATTCATTATATAGTTACGGGGATTTTAGTTGTGGTCATATTTCACACCTCTTTTCATTTCAATTTCAGGTTGTAGATACTTTCATATTGCGTAATTCCTTCAACAATCCGGAAGGTGACGCTGATAAGTTTGAATTGACCCCAGAACAATACGCTAAGAAAACAGGTATCATTTCATTTAGAATTCCATCTTGAAGATGAAAACTCATGCAACTATTGTCTAATATAGGATACCTTTCAGGAACTGTGCGAGCATTTCTTGAACGCAACAAGTTAGGCAAGTATAATGAGGAAGAGCAAAGAAAGCTTGCTGAGGCTAAACAGGCTGAAAGAGAAGCTGAAGAAGCAGCAGCAAAATCCATTCACATTGGCAACCGATGTGAGGTCAAAGTACCCACTGCACCAACAAGACGAGCTACTGTCATGTATGTCGGTAAGTTCACCAAGGCAGTTTTACTGTAGAACCAATCGTCTTTCATACTCAATTCTACTTGCATTAAATTTTGTTGTTTACACAGGTGCAATGGAAGGCAAACAGGGGCTGTGGGTTGGTGTGAAGTATGATGAGCCTCTTGGGAAAATGATGGCGCGTAAGTACAGTAAACCGTGAACGATATTCAGAAAGTTTGTTTCTAATTCCAAAGAAGTTCTAACTAAGCAATTTTGTTCCATGACTGCAGAGTGGAGGGAAAGAGGTATTTTGAATGCCCCCCAAAATATGGAGGATTTACCAAAGTTGGCAACATTACCGTTGGAGATTTTCCCGAGGAAGATTTTGAATTGGATGAAATTTGAACTTGCAATGTAAAATGTGATCATCACAACTCACCACGTTTTGTAATTGGATGAAGAAACCATTTTTTCACTCTCTATACCTTTTTTATGCACAATATTCCTAATTTATTCTAATTTTAAAATGTCTTGATCTTCAGAAACTCATGAATCTATTAACACCCATCCGAATAAACGTGTTACACTATGAAATAATTTTAATTCCTAAGATTCTTTGTCATTTACAAATAAAAATTAACAGGAGGTCAAAGTCAAATCCTTTAGTATTTTCTTCGCTTCAAAATTTCAGGGCGCCAGTTGATAGGGTGAGTTTCCTCAGTCTGCAAAATATTAACATCTTAACAATGTACAACAACAATTTGCCATAGAAGGTCAAAGACATAAGATGGACTTACAGCTGTGTCATCTTCTTTGTAAATTTTGATAGTTTTATCAGCTTCGCAGGTAATAAGTCTGCTGCCTGATTGGTCATAGCTCATGGCAAATATTCCAGACTCATTGTCCATTGATCCAGGTTGAACAGGTGCCTAAAAAACAGAAATTATATAAGACACAGGCAGGTAGACAGACACAGACTCCTATGCAGAGTGGTCAAACCTGTAGTCTCTGGAAGTTATATCCTGTTCGCCAATCCCAACAGTGAAGAGTTCCGTTATCACCGCCAGAGACTAGAACTCCCTCAGGATTCACGGCCAAGCAATTTACAATTGCGTTATGTCCAGATAAGTTCTGGATGAACTTTCCTTCAGGACACATCCATTGCTTAATGTTGTCTGGAGACGCAGATGCAAACATATACCTGGGTGAAAAAAAAAAAAACATTCAAAACAATCATGAAAATGAACATTCCAAATGTTGCTTCACCTCTACAGCTTACAAAGTTTACTCACAATGTAGGATGGAATACAACAGAGCGTACACTTTTCTTGTGGTTTGTTAAAGTACATCTTGACTTTCCTGCTGCTAAGTCCCACAACCGAATAGTACAGTCATGACTACCTGTCACAACCTGGAAATTAAAAAATACGCATGTCTTCAGTAGAAGATCAACACACACAAACTTTAAACACAAGTTAAAGTTTCGTACCTGAGGCTCAGCTACTTGGCTGACAACACTGGCTATAGTGTTTGTATGGCCTACTAAAGTGTGGACATTAGCTTTAGTCCTCATATCCCACACTCTTGCTGTGGTATCACGTCCTGCAGTTATCAAAACATCAATTGTTGGATGGAGTGCAAGTGAATAGACTGCACTTAAGTGGCCATGGTATTGACGGATGACCTACATTAATTGTAAACATTTGAATCAAAATGAAAACTTTCAATCAACTGATAATTTTGATTTGATTTTGACAACACATTACCTTGTTGTACTCTAAGTCCCAACATTTCACCATTTTATCTTCTCCACAACTGAACAAATATGGATGTCGTGAGCTGACTGCCAAGCCACGGACATTGCTGATGTGACCAGTCAAAGACACTTTCAAGCGTCCACTTGCCAAGTCCCAAATCTGGAGCAAAGTCAAGACAAAAATGTATGATTCAACTCATGAAAATGTAAGAACAAAAATTGATGCTACCTGCTGGTTGGTTACCTTGATTACTCTGTCATTGGATCCTGTTGCAAACCACTCATTACCTGGTTCAACAGCAACACAACGAACCCAACCCAAGTGCCCAGAAATGACACGATACAGCTTCCATGGAGGGTGCCATTTGGGCTTTGGCATAGTAGGGGCCTTACGGGGAGCGAGAGCTTGTGTACCTGGGCCTCCTGATGGTGTTGAGGATACTGCCAATGTCCCAGGCATAGCTCCAGAGACTGGCATATTGACAATGTCACCAGGAATACTTCCATCTAAAGAACAAGCAAAGACTCATTACACATTTGCTGAAAAAGAATTTTTCACACTAGCAGACAGAAAAATGACAACCTGTGATAGCTAAAGGTTGTTTCTCTGTGGTGCCATTTGTTATCATTGGCGGCTGAGGTTTAAGGGCATTTTGTTTTACTCGGTCCATCACTAGGCCATAGGTATCTCTGGCTTTAACAGCCTTCCGTAAAGTTTCTCTAAAAGTAGACAATAGTAAAGAATTTGTTAAACGACTGGCTAAGTTGTAAAATAAACCTGATAATTGCGACATTCAATTTAAATGAAGAGTTAAACCATTGACATGCGAACTGCGGGTACTTACGCTTTCTCATCAACTGGTGGCAACATGCCTTGGTTGCTGATGAATACATCGTGTGTTCTTTTTAACGAGCGGAAAACTAATGTGTGAACGGAATGCCTCTGGACGTCCTGAATTATAAAAGAAAGAACATGGTAAACAGACAGCAGCAGGAAAACATAACCTATACGTTCACAACATAGAGAATCCCACAATTACTAGTAATGGATCATCATGTAACAATTATGAAATTCTGTTAAAACAGTCGCACTTATTACCTCCATCATTTTAATAGAAGAATTCCGATAGAAAACAACAAATTAGACTTGACGTTTGAACATCGGTGCGTTCTTTCCTTCACCGGCAGCGGCGTCACAACAAACAAAAGGCTGTGGTGTGCCAACAGTGGTACCAACATGAAATACTGAAAAAAACACTGAACTATGCCATTTATTAATATTCGATTAAGTATAAGCATTAGCATTTGCATTCAAAAACAGCACTTTAAAAACATTTACAAGAACGGGTGTCAATAATTAAGCTGGAAACCTGAGAAAGTCCTGGCTTGCTAGTTGCGGCGGTTGCTTCGCAATGGATCCCTTCCGGGAGTCGTCCTTGAAACGGATCGCGGGTTTGACGAGAGGAGTGCGAGAGAGACAGAGCGGTTGTTCTACTGCGAGGGAGGGGGAGTGGCAGTGCATTCGGGGGCTCTAGAGTTGTGCCCATCGGGTCAGTGTAGGTCAGCTGGGAACGAGAGCAGCGAGAGCGGCAAGGAGGGAGCCTAGACGCCACGTTGCCTTCGATCGCAGCCAGGATCTTGACGCGGTTCATGGGGAAGGGCCCTGCTTCTGCTCGCCTCCAGTCCTTCCCAGCTCGACATCCGCGGTAAGGGCGTAAGGGCCGGGCAAGGCCGCCTCGTTTAGTGAGCAGACGCGCGGCCGGCGTCGTCTCGCTTGCCGACTGGTTTACAGTGTTGGCGCGCTTGGTTTTGACGTTTCGCTTTCCTCGGGGTGTTCTTGGCGGTCTTAGGGACTCAAGTTGTGGAGGTGCGTCGCCATGCCATAGGTCCCTGGCGGGCCGGGAAGTTTTTGGTGGAGTGCTTCCTGTTCCTTGGATGTTTTGGGGGAAGTGCGCCCCAACTAAACGGAACCGGCGGGAGTGGCGCGCGTGCGCGGGAATGTCAAGGTCCCGGCCGCCAGCCGCCCGATTTCGAAGGATCTCTCTGTCTCTCTCGCACCCACATGGAACGCCCCTTGAGTGCGACAGAGACAGAGCGAGGAATCGATTCTTCGGAAAGGCAGGGCCCACCCCCTGTCGCCGCCTAGGCTGCCCTGGCTACCCAGGCCGCAAGGTACCTTGGCCGAAATGCGGCCTCCGCACCTACCCGAGTAAATCTTTTCTGTTATTACTTTTATTCTATTTTTTCGTTTTCACTATTCAACCCCGAGCGCATCTATCAAATGAGGCCTTTTGTTGGAAGGTTCGAGGCTTTGAACTGGCTTAGAGATGTTCGCGGGAAAGGACTTAAGGCCGGCGGGTGGGCGTTGTCTCGGGGCTGTTGTTGTCGGCTCAAGTGCATGTGGACCCGCGGTAAATATTGCCCTTCAGGCGTCTTGTTTGTCCCACCCGCCGTCGCACTGCCACACTGCCACGTATCGCGATTGGACGATATCGCACACGATATGGCGGAGGAGAAACTGTCGCAACTTCGCGACGTGCCGTTGCAGTGTTGCCCAGTGTTGCCAACGCACTGTCATCGGTGCGGAAAGGGTTGGTTAGGTAGACTAGCATGATTATTTGTTGGTGACGCGTGAGTCGCTGGAGCGCCAGCTGGAGCGAAACTGTCTCTGTGGTAGTTTCCCCCTCACGGCACGCTCCATATGAGAGCGAGAGAGACAGAGCGCCGCGCTGCCGTTGTGTGTGGCGCTGCCCCGTTTCCGCGATGTGAGTCAGTCCCGGCGATGCGTTGACACCGTTGACACGTTCCTTGCGTTGACGGCCGCCATCCTCATCCTGGTTCTCGTTCGTCTTTGGTCGCAAACAGAACTCTCATTCCGAGAGTCGCGCCGTCTCTCTCGCACTCACGGATCCTCCCCCACAGGTGCGAGAGAGACAGAGCGACGAAGACGACGCGCGGAACCAGTCTGCACCGAGATAAAACGGCCTCGCCTCTCGCGGGGGCCGGGCTTTGAACCCGCGGCTCGGCCGTCTGGACGGCAAGGCAAAGCAGGGCAATTGAGGACGCAGCAAGCAAGCTGCAGAGAGCAGGCGGCCTGCAGGCCGGGGCAGGACTCGCGCCGTCAACTCCAACAGGTGCGGATCCAGGAGTAAGGCAGGGGCTTACTTTTGCCTGCTTCCAGGGACAAAGTAGTGATTTTTGCCTGCCTTTCGGGCGGCCCACCCTGTACTCAATGAGCCCTTCCCAGGATCGGCGCCTGGACTCGCAGCTGCACTGCAAGTGCGCTTGACGACCCTCTGTAAATTCGCAGGTGATGCCGCCCTCGGCGCCGACAGTGTCCAGCATGGCCAGCATGGCCACCTTGACGGGACTGCTGCGACGCAGCCACCGGCACGGCGCCGCCACCACCAGGGCCGCCAGGCGGACAATGACGGTAAGAGCGTCCTTCAGCAGGTCGCGGGTTCGAATACTCGCACTTGGCAATAATCTTTTCTCGCTGCGTAGAGCTATGCGTATCGATCTGAATTTGCGGAAACGCAGCCCCAAGGTCCAGCACGCTATCGCTGTGTGTCGCTATCGCTAACAAAGGCCGCGACGCCAGTACGAGTCGCGGCTACCGGATGAAATGACACTGCAAAATCCCTCGGCAAGTTGCCGAAAATCCTTGATCCCGGAATCCTTGACACACACTTCAAGTCTCCTCACACTGTGAACCAAAAGTGCAGACAAACTTGTGCGAAGCTCATAATTTTCAATCTTGGGGTGATTGCGCAGGGCGCGCAGGGCCTCCACCAGCAGGGCCCGACGACGTGGTCGCGGTGCCGCAGCACGCTGGCCGCGCCCTTGCAGCGCACCGACGTGGACGCGCTGGGCCAGCAGGGCCTGGCCACGGGGCAGGAGCGCGACGCCGACTGGGACTCGGCCAAGCCCTTCGACGAGATCCCCGGGCCGAAGCCGCTGCCCGTGCTGGGCAACATGTGGCGGTTCGTCGTCGGTGAGTGTACCTCTGCACCACTACCTCTGTGTTTCCAAGGGACCGGTATTTTTGTCTAACTTTCGACCTTTGTGACAGGCGACCTGGCCAAGGTGCCGACGTCCGACCTGCAGCGGAGGTTCCTCAATGACTACGGCACCATCATGAAGCTGTGCGGGCTGCCTGGACGCAAGGACCTCGTGTTCGTCTTCGACGCCGAGGCCGCGGAAAAGGTACTTGCTGTGGACGGGGAAAGGGGGGAGGAGGAGCAAAAGTTGCCTACTTGCAGGGGGCAGAGTGCCACCTTTTGCCTTCCACCAGCGAGACAGCTTGGCGCATGAACGATTTTGCACACCCAGGTTCTGCGCAACGAGGGCATCTGGCCCATCCGCATCGGCCTGGAGAGCCTCGGCTACATGCGCAGCCTCACGCCAGAGAAGTTTGAGGACGCCTGGGGACTCGTCAGCACGTAAGCCACTCTTTGCTCTTTGTCTCGTCCTTGTTGGTGAGGGTGGTCTCATTATCCTAAACGTATCCGCAGACAGGGCAAGGAGTGGGCCTCGTTTCGCACCGCGGTGAACCAGACCATGATGCAGCCCCGCAACGCCAAGCTGTACGTGGGGGTCATCGACAAGGTCAGCCAGGAGCTCATCGACAGGTCAGTAGTCCTTAGGCCAGTGGTTCTCAACCTTAGGGTCGCGACCCCAAGCGGGGTCGCGAAATTTTTTTAAGGGGTCGCGGCGATGCTGGGGTCGTGTTTTAGGCCGATTTTAAGCAGCCACTGCGTCTGATCCGAGGCGGGCATTTTGCTCCCTCAACGGGCAATCGGTCTTTGGACCTTCCTTTAGCATGCCTTTGTTACGGAGTGCAATTATCAGTCTTAGTTTGGGAGCAGTATTGTCTCAAAGTTGGCCGAAACGCTCAGAAATGTCTATGAAAAATCGTGTTTTGGGCCGATTTTAAGCAGCCACTGCGTCTGATCCGAGGCGGGCATTTTGCTCCCTCAACGGGCAATTGGTCTTTGGACCTTCCTTTAGCATGCCTTTGTTACGGAGTGCGATTGTCAGTCTTAGTTTGGGAGCAGTATTGTCTCAAAGTCGATCAAACGGTCGCAAGTGTCTTTGAAAAATCGTTGTGACTATTTTGGTCAACTTCGAGACAATACTGCTCCCAAACTAAGACTGATAATCGCACTCCGTAACAAAGGCATGCTAAAGGAAGGTCCAAAGACCAATTGCCCGTTGAGGGAGCAAAATGCCCGCCTCGGATCAGACGCAGTGGCTGCTTAAAATCGACCCAAAACACGATTTTTCATAGACATTTCTGAGCGTTTCGGCCAACTTTGAGACAATACTGCTCTCAAACTAAGACTGATAATTGCACTCCGTAACAAAGGCATGCTAAAGGAAGGTCCAAAGACCAATTGCCCGTTGAGGGAGCAAAATGCCCGCCTCGGATCAGACGCAGTGGCTGCTTAAAGTCGGCCCAAAACACGATTTTTCAAAGACACTGCTGACCGTTTCGGCCAACTTTGAGACAATACTGCTCCCAAACTAAGACTGATAATCGCACTCCGTAACAGAGGCATGCTAAAGTAAGGTCCAAAGACCAACTGCCCGTTGAGGGAGCAAAATGCCCGCCTCGGATCAGACGCTGTGGCTGCTTAAAATCAGCCCAAAACACGATTTTTCATAGACATTTCTGAGCGTTTTGGCCAACTTTGAGACAATACTGCTCCCAAACTAAGACTGATAATTGCACTCCGTAACAAAGGCATGCTAAAGGAAGGTCCAAAGACCAGTTGCCCGTTGAGGGAGCAAAATGCCCGCCTCGGATCAGACACCGTGGCATGTTAAAGGAGGGGTCCCGTGGGGTCGCGAAATTTTTCCTGGGGGTCGCGGAAATTTTTGGCTTCAAATTTGGGGTCGCGAGCCGAGAAAGGTTGAGAACCGCTGTCTTAGGCACGTACCTTGTCCGAATCAACCCCATTTGTCGGAATGAAAATAACGCTAGATTGTCTGCAGTATGTACTCCGAGCAGGACAAGAACTCACTCTCTCCTTGTGTGCATGGATTTTGCAGGATGCGGTTCGTCCGGGACCCTCAGAACGTGATGCCGGACGACTTTTACAACGAGCTCAGCAAATGGGCGCTGGAATGTAAGTGCACTGCGAGCCTCCCCGTCAAACGGAACGTCCGGTGCGTTTGTCTTTTGTTTTTCCACCGTTTCATTTCGCCTTGCCGCAGCCATCACGTACATCGCGCTGGACCGGAGGCTGGGCTGCCTGGACAACAACCTGAAGCCCGACTCGGAGGCCCAGCAGATCATCACGGCCGTGCACACCATCTTCGACTGCCTGTTCTGGCTGGACGTGCAGCCGTCGCTGTGGAAGGTCGTGCGCACGCCCACCTTCTACCGGATGAAGAGGACCATGAACTGGTTCTACGGGTAAGCACCCTCCGACGCGACTACGGGGCGCCGTGGAGATAGGCAACCCAACCGACACGTACAGCACATGTCGTTGCTGGACGGGACGGTCGTGTCAAGTCCAAACGACACGGTGTTCGAACGAGGCGACATTGAGCGAGAGAATGACAGTGATGGGCAACCCCGTGTGCCTTCCGTGCAGAAAGGTGTTCGGCTTCATCGAGGAGGCCATGGACCGCCTCAAGGCCATGACGCCGGAGGAGCGCGAGAGCCACGAGTACAGTGTGCTGGAGAGACTGCTGCTGCGGAACGACAACCCGAGGATCGCCGTCACCATGGCCCTGGACATGGTGACCGCCGGCGTGGACACGGTAACGCTCGTCTGCTGTCTGCACTGGTGAAACTGCAACTCAGTTGTGTCGGCGTCGTCAGTGACCTTGACTCTCCTCCCGCAGACGTCCAACACCTCCGCCACCGTCATGTACGAGCTGGCCAAGAACCCCGACAAGCAGCGGAAGCTGCAGCAGGAGCTGGACCGCGTGCTGCCGGACCCCAGGGAGCCCGTGACGGCCAGCAAGCTGGAGGAGCTGCGCTACCTCCGCGCCTGCATCAAGGAGGCCATGCGCGTGTCCCCCATCATCGTCGGCAACCAGCGCATGGCCGTCAAGGACCTGGTGCTGTGCGGCTACCAGATTCCCAAGGGGGTCAGTACACTCTGTGCACCGAGCTTACCACTCTTAACCCTCACCTAACGCTGGTGCTGCTCCTTTTTTCCAGACGGACGTCCTGTGCGTGCACTCCGAGATGGTGAAGGAGGAGCAGTACTTCCCCCGCGCGCGCGAGTTCATCCCGGAGCGCTGGCTGCCGGAGGGCGACCACCTCAAGGCTCTGCACCCCTTCGCCAGCATGCCGTTCGGCTTCGGGCCGCGCACTTGTGTCGGCCGCCGCTTCGCGCAGCTCGAGATGGAGACCTTCCTGGCCAAGGTGGGGGGACGAGGCGAGGCGAGGCGAGACGAGGCGACTGCACTGGAAACCTGTTATACTTCATTTAAGGCATCTTAGGACAAAGTCGCTGATTCCTTCTGTCCTCTGCTTTCCCACTGTTCACAGGCCTTCCGAAACTTCAACATTGGCTGGAAGGGACCCCCACTGAAGAAAGAATTGAAACTTCTGTACAGCGTCGCATCGCCGCTCAAGTTCGAATGTGTGGATAGAGTATGAGGCCACTATCGACTTTACTGGCTGTCTGGTCATGAAGAAAACTTTTTGAAACCTCATTGGAGGAAATTATTCTGTTGTCAGTGGCTCTTTATCACTGGTGAGAAGCAGCCTCAGAAATATTGTTGTAACTCTCTTTGGCTGCTTTTAGGGGCATGATGTGGCTATGAGGACGTTCTTTCTCATTTTACTGGTGCATGTTAAGCGCTAAATAAGTATTGTGATATTTAATTTAAAAAAAAATTAAATTGTGTTCTGTAATAGATTTTATGAATCTCGTGCGGCACAGAATACCCGTTACCTACCCTGTGAGATGATATTTTTGTATAGAGCATCTATTATTAAGTACTGAACTTTAAATAAACCATTTTGGGGAGAGGAAGAAGGACCTCTCACAAATAAAACTCTGCAAGCCCGATTTTGATTATTGTTAGCTCCTCAAAGACCATTGAAGAAACGGAAGCCCAGCACCCCACCCCTGCTCGGCCACGCCTCCGCATCCCGCACCCTCTGATGTATGCTTCAATCGTCAAAAGAAATGATACTCAGCGCAAGGGACTTCCCTTCAGGAGCTGCAGACGCTGCACAGATGGAAACAAAGAGAGATCGTTCCTAGTAGCTGCATGGATTGATCAAATGGCGTGAAAACAAATTTTTTCCTTGTGATGTCGCCTTTTATTATCCACGCACTGACAATTCGAACACGACAGCACAAAAAGGTTTAAAACGCGCTCCACGACCCTCTTTGCCTTTTGGCGGGCCAGGTTTGAAACTACCAGCAACATAACAACATCAAAAATCATCTAAAGGAAAAAAAACTGGGAGGAGAAAAATAATAATAATAAAAAGGAAACATAAACTGATTTCGATATTTTCAGTTTGGATAAAGCAAAATCCAAAGATACATTTTTTTACTGTCCTCTTGAGTCCATTTTATGTTTGAGAATTGAAGTTAGTGGGTGGTATCACACAATCAACAATAGTGGGTACCCGCTGTTTTCAATTTGAGTCCGAAAGTCTCTTTGCGTTACCCGTTGCTGCCCTTTGTTTTGCCGTTTCAATTTTTATGTCGGTTCAGAGCGTTATTATACATTCAACCAAAGTAAGTAGTCTGCTGTCAACATCGATTTACAGTTAAGTGCGAGACCCTTCAGTAACGGACGTTGTTAGGTTATGTTGATTTCTTGTTTTGGTGGTTTTGTACAGTCAAGCCAATTTTTTAAAATTAGAAACAATGGTGTGGTATTCTGATCGTATGACATCAATTATTACTCATAAGACACATTGTTAACAAACATTGAGGAAAGTCGGTCGCTTATGGTAAATTTCTGTGAAGCCCCAGCAACGCAAATGAGACTAATTTAAAGTTCTTGTTTCAGGTAAATTTTTCCCAGACTTCCATCATGTTAGACTCTGATTCCGATTCTGACGATGGCATTTTACGTCCTAATGGCTACGTCGGTGAGTAGTTTTGTTCCTGGATTGTTTTCAATCATGTTTCATTTTTTTGTTTGCGTCTAAATGTCCTCGGTTCTACCTTTAGATGTGGATGTGGACCTCGTTGATATAAGCTTTGGCGGGAGAGACAGCGGGGGCCCTCCCCCTGCCAAAAAGACCCGTAGGGGTAAAAAGGGCAGAGCTGCTGCCAGGCAGTCACTTGATGACACAGACACTCCTAGTCCATTTGCCGATTCTTCAGCGACATTCGAGGATTCCCCTTCCTTCACCATTCCTGACGATCCGGAACCAAGTCCTTGTCCAGATGACTCAATAGTCATTCAGTGAGTATAATTCTGCGGCAGTACTTCACTCTATGTGGTGGTAAAAATTGTAATTAGGAAAGCACAAGAAGTAACTCTGATTGTATTTTGCCGTCAGGGAGGAAAGGGATGAAGTTTCTCTCGAAGATATTTGCGACAAAGTGAGACGTCAGCATGATAGGAAGATTGCACAAACTTCTAAGCGGGCAACACGAACATCTCGCAGAGCAGCTGCCAGAGGTGGTAGGCCTGTAGAATTGGACAATGAGGAGAGTATAGTAATCTGTCCTGAGGACAGTCCTGAAGATGTATTCGATTTGTCATTGAACCAATCTAGTTTTTGCTCTGATGTGGTAAGTACATTTTCATAATATTTAGTGAACCGTCTCTGTAACCCGCTGCTCTGTTTTCATCCTTGTTATGATGGCTACATGAAATCTCAAAATATTTGCTTGGTTCTAGGATGACAGTACAGCACAGTCTGAGGAACACAATGTGGAAGTCTCTATTCGAGTCGTCTGGAAAGGATCAAATACAAAAAAGTTTTCGTTGCGCAAGGTATGTATGCACTGTATATTCAATCACTTACACTTCACAGCTGCTCAGCTCTGTTAATCATAATGTTTCTCTTTTTTAGTATCAGAAGATCAAAGAAATTTACACTTATTATGCCAATCTAGAAGGAGTTGATGAGGGAAGAATATTATTTACACTGCGTGACAAACCAGTGACACCAAATGACACTCCCATGACTCTTAACATTGGAGTTTCATCTCTGGGTAAGACCTTTGGTACTGTCCTGTATATGACCTATTTCAATCAGAATCAAATGAATTCCTGATTTAAATTTTCCTTTATTTAGAAGGGGGAGTGATCGATGAGGCTGATGTGCCATCTCACGGTGCCCAAAATGCAGACTCTGAAGCCCAAGAAGATCCCAATGCTCTAAGGCTACAAGTTCAGAGGAAAGGAATGAGAGATAAGCATACAGTCTATGTGTATCCTCATGAAAAGATATCTGTACTGATATCTAAATTATCTGAGGATTTGAAAATACCTGTCAGCTCTTTCAAACTCAAGTTCGATGGGGATTTCCTGTCCCCTGATTCTACTCCAAATGATCATGATATGGAGGGAGATGAATGTATTGATCTAATTGAATAATGAATCATTGTGGAAGTTCTATTAAATTGTGGTTCCTTTTTTTTGTGTTGACTTTTAATTCTTAACTTATACGCCAAAGGGGAATGTTTGAGTTGGTTTTAATATTTTTATATGAAGATGTTGTTAAACACTGTTTCATTATTTATAGAAAATTCCTCAATAGTACTATGATTGGCTGTACCGTGTCAATGAAATTTATGTGTTTGTTATCATTCCTGAAATGGTAACTGAGTAAAAGGCTTCAAAAGACAGTCAAAATAAAAATATTAGTAAAGTATTATTGTAATTTTCTTTTACAATTTTAACAATGAATGTATCCTACACAATCATACTCTCTCCTCAAAAAGCTTAAGGCAGTGAACAGCTAATAAGCCCCATGAGTATCATTTCAGACAATACTTTTCAAATCCACAATAGTCAAAAAAATATAATCAGTACAATTTTTAATAAATAATACATACATACATACATTACACACAAAAAAACTCAAACAGTAAATGAGGTAAAATGATGTGAACTGAGTGCAGTAGAAGCAGAATTCATAACAAAAAAAATTAACAAAACAACAACTATATCACAACTGGAGAGTTACCACGATAATTTGGTCTGCATTGACTGGCAATCCCACCCCTACTACACCCATCATCCATCACTCAGAAAATTTGTGTGAATAACTGAAACACAAATTACATTCTTCACAAGCTCACTCACTCAATCACGCATATGTACCTTTGCAACAAGTAAGGACTTGAGAGAATATAGTTAACAAGAACACCTTACTATTCTAAACTGCGAATTCGACCCCGGCTTCCTCACCTTGAGTTATATTATGTATCTTCTTTCTCCACGAGAGGCCGGGGTGCACCCCGTCAAACAGCCATCATGGTCTGCAAATAGAAAAAAGTAAGATTTACTTAAAATAAATATACTGGCTTCCTCTTCCTGAACATGAAATTAATGATAGTTACCTGGCGCATACAATCTGCGACAAATCTCTCGCCTTCAGATTCGGAACAGTGGTCCTGGTCACTAGCATGATGAGCATCAGATTCACCAAGGGACTCTCCCAGGATTTCCATAGCAGATTCACAGAATCTTTTTCCACGTAGTGAGGTCAACACTTCCGCGTCACCTGTGAAACCTAAGTAAATTAATTAATTAATTATTTACTGTCTGAAATTTTAGAACAAATGAAAAAAGAGTGCAGAATATGTTTTCTTTTTTCATTGAAAAAGTACCTTTTGCAGTCATCATGCTAGGAGGTATCCTGAGGGTAACATCTTCAATAACACCTTTAACCACTTCCAATGAGATGGCCACTTCTTCTGCAGCTCCATTTGAAGGTGCCTCAGACTGGCGAGCCAGAACACCAGGCACAGGAAAGGATCGCGTCACGGTGAACTTTGGAGTCTTGCCAAACCGCCAAGCCCAGCTCACAAATTCTTCACGAATCTTGTCCAGACCTAGATTCAAATCAACCATTACTTTCAAGAACTTTGATAGTGAAGGGCAAAAAAAGCAAGACAAGAACCAAAGGATATGAGTGAGCCTTACCTGGGAACCAGTCTTCAGTAGGGTTGACAAGCTGGAAACCTCCTTGCTTTGATGCATAGTCCATTCCACCATCTTGTAAGCTCAGAGGAGAAGAGCGAAGGAACTCCCAGCCCAAAGAGCTAAGCATTTTTTCAACAGTCACATGGGGATTCACATCTTGCAAGTTCACTGTGGGGGACGGGACGCTCACTGTGGCATTAGTTTCAATCCCTTTCTGCAATGGAGAAAAATTTCACACCTTTCAGAAACAGTATTCTCATACACAGGCCAGGTAAATTTTGAAGATATTGGAGTTCAAGAATAAAAACAATCTCAAAAGGGAATTTTGAGGCCAACTAATGTTTTTGTTTCGGCCAGCAATATCGTGATTTTGAGAAAATAAAGAAACAGCAGCTTGGGCTATGTAATTATCCAGAACTGCAAGTACATCCAAGTATTTAAGACACTCAAAGTCAAGGAAAATTATCTCTGAGCGTCTTATGATGAGATTTCATTCTATTTGAATGCTGTCTACTGCATAAATCAGCATCAAACAAAATGTTCCCATTTTTTCATGAAAACTCACATCATGTTTGCAAAGGGTATCATGCAGAATTGACTTGTCCACATTGACGAGAATAGTACAGTGATGATAAGCGTTTGGGTTGCCCAACTTAGATGCAGTACCAGATATCTGAAAAAACAAACAAATTGAAAATTAGGATGGTGTACAAACATAAAGGCAATGCGAATGAAATATATATTAGGAAAGTCACTATGAAAATATAGCAAACTCGAAAGGGAGCAATAAATACGAGGTTACTATTTACTAACCTTGTTTCCATTGATGACAATATCTTCACGGGCGTTGACTTGACTGCGCAAGTTGAATTCTCTGAACAATGCTCTTGTCACAAGGTCCAGATTGCGGCGACGATTGTAGACATCTCGAGATGTGAAGAAAGTCAAGTTCAGGTTGCCACTGTCATGATAGACTGTGCCACCACCAGAGTTCCGTCTTGCAACTTCAACTCCTTTATCAGCAAGCACCTGAGGGTTGGCCTCAAGCCAAGGATTCTGGTGCCGACCAACAACTACAGTGGGTGAGTTCTGCCAAAGCATCAGAATGTGATGCTTGGTAAGGTCCATGTTACGATACACCCAATCTTCAAGAGCAAGGTTACTGAACACATCTCTGGACTGGGAGATGAAAACAGACTTCTTGATTTCCCCTTCAGGTGCTGTCTGCCCTGCTTTCTTGCTAGATGCCACCGAGTAATGTGCAGAAGGGTTGCGACTGGCAACAACAACCCTGAGGGATGCAAAGCGGCTTGCAGCGTTCTTCATCACTAAGGCCATTTTCACTTAATTTATGAATCAGAGTCCACACAAAATACTAGGGAGGTAATATAAACGTTCAGTAAACAAGAAATACGAGTCACAATGATAAAACAACTAGGTTATGAACAAATGTTATGGTGGTGCAGATGGGAATTAGTTATTAAAACTAGAGCTAGGAGTCTCTATCAGCACTGATGCTTCGCAGGGGTGGTCAGGGCAACCATATACTCGTGAACTGGGGGTGTCTGGTGCAGCCACTTCCAAGTCTGGTGCAGCTGACAGGTGCGGGAACGAATCACCAGGCTATCACAGTCTTTTCGCATTCCTCCTACTGATGGACCAGAGGTGTAGAGCACAAGCCGTTAGGCAGGGTGGAGGGGGCGGAGCGCCGGCGGCTTAAAGGTCTCCACTTTCGGGCCGTGTGGGATTCAAACGGCAAGGCGGCACTCGGTCTGGCGTCGGGGAAGAAGATCCGCCGTCGACAGAAGAATGGAAGTCGATGTCCGGGTGTCCGGGTGGCGCGAAGAGGCGAAAGCGCACGTCGTGGAGACGGCGGGGGCGGTCTTGCAGCAGCGGGGCACAGTGCTCAGAGCAGACTGGGGCTTCGGCGCCGGGACCCGGCGTTTTGTTGGCGGGGCGCGCCGGCTCGCCGCATCGCGGAAAACGAAAAAAAGCAATCGAAATGCGGCGGCAGGGCGTTGGGGTGGGGGTGACCAGCTGATAGACGGACTGCGTTCGCGCTGCCGCGCTGCCGTCCCCGGCGTGGCCGGGTGGCCGGGCCACGCGCCGTGTGCCTGCGACCCGGTGGAGGGCGTGGAGGGCAATTCGGAGGCGCCCCGTGGATCCGCGACGCCGCGCCGGGTGCCGATGGCAGCCGATGGCGGCGACCGGGCCTGTCGCGGGCCTGTCGGACACGACGTGACGTGTCACGTGTGCCCAGCTGAACAAACACACCACGGCACGTCTCCGTCTGTCTGCTGGTGGCGGCCATGTGGCGGCCAGCACGGACACGGAACGGCCAAGGTAGGCTGCCGTGACATGCACCCGCCCCCTTTTTCCCATTTCGCCGCAACATTGGGACAAGAGGCGAAAAACGTCGCGTTGCACCGGTTGCACCGTGAAACACGCACACTCACAGCTGGTGCCGGCCACCCTGTTTGTCCCCGCATATCGCCGGACGACTAGTCGGCTATTCAAATCGCTTGGTTAGACTTTGCCTATTCAGTAGCCGAGAATAGAATGGCCTCCTACTCGGTTTGGACGCACTGCAACGTCATGACCCGGATCCGAGATTCCGAGACCCGCAACCGGTTCCGAGACGGCACCGAGACGGTTCCGAGTAGGCAAAGTTTTGTGCCTAAAGAGAGCGATGCTTGGAACGCGCGCTGCTTTGTCAGTTTCGGGCCTTCGTCGGGCCTTTCAGGGACGCAGAGAGGGTCGGTTCAAACGGTGTCACGGTTTCTGGTTTCTGCGTCGCAGTACGCGTCGGATGGGCGGCGGATAGCAGACGCTGCAGGCGGGCGGCCAGGCAGACGAAAAGAAGAGCGACGGCGCTCGTGCGAATCTGGATTATAATAAGCTAATGGGTGTATCAGCCGCGAGTGACCTCGACTCAAGCGTCACGTGGCCGGCGTGGCCAATGGCGCGGCTTCGGCGTCGGCGTCCTTGTGCGCCGTGTATTTACAACGAGCCTCGAAAAGGCAGTGGAAGGCCCGTTTAAAATTAGACGGGCCGCCGAGTGTGCGTGGCGTGGCTGAAAACGGGCCTCACTCGTTCACTCACACCACACACCACGCATGCGATCTCTCCCCCTCTCCCCGCCCCTCTCTCCCTCTCTCTCCCTTCACCTAGGTGCGTCACCTGTTCAATATTCATACGACAATCGTAAAGACGAAATGAAGAAACCGTGAAGGGACTTATGCATCTTGAGGATCCACGGGGTATGCAATGCTCCCAATACCACAAGATAATGTAATCCTGTCCCTGCCCCGATTCTCTGCGCAGGCGCGTCGGAGGTGGAGGATAGAGGCTCCCCCGTGTCATTTCAAGTTAAACAGCCCCGGGCCACTAACCTGCGCTCGCCTGCGCTATCTCGTCCTTGCAACGGCCATGACCTTATTTTTCCAATCCGTATCGACAATTTACTATCGCCCCTATCTCAAACTGGCCGCGTTGTAAGATATTTTTCTCGGGCGACGGTGTATTTTCGTCTCGGGAAGGGCGAAGGGCTTTGCGAAGGGCCTTTCCTACAATCCTGTGCATCATCGGCTGTTTCTTCAGAGCGCGCCACCGTGCGTGGAGATCTCCAGACACCCGGCAGCTCGCCCGGCAGTGATGAGTGAAGTGCAAGTGGTACCGTAGGCCAGTGGCGGTTAGCTCGGCGGGCTGGGCCAGGACGTTACGGACGGAGGGAATGGAGCAAACTAGGGTCTTTGAAAGTCATAAGGGATGCATGAATTTGTCACGGGATTACTGTTGAGGGTTTGATGGTTGGATTAAAGGAGGCCAGAAGCTTGATGCAGTGCCATCCTCCTCAAAGACAGACTGATGGTAGTTACATTGGTTAGGTGAATTAGGGTGAATAAGGTAACAGTGTAGGTAACATGACAACAGTCACTAACTCTGGGATCCCCCTTCCCCTTCTCAGAAGGACTGATTGACGTCTGCCCAGATAATTCCAAGCATGAGGTGCAGGCGTGCTTGAAAATAAATACCCACACCGCAGAAGGCGCGACTAGCTTCGCGGCTGGGCCAGGCTGGGCCGGGCTGGGCGTTTCGGGCTTCGGGGACAGCCATAATCAGTCACGGAAATGGGAATAGAGGGCGCAAACAAGGCACCAGACGGCCAGGCCGGGCCAGGCCGCCAGCACTCGCACCAGCGGGCTCATAGAATTGCGTTGTTGTGATTGAATACATTGGTCACAAGATCTTTGGCAAGTTGAACAAAATTTCGTTTCGGGGTCAAATACCAAGGGTGAAACTGAGAGCGCACTGTATGCGGCCACTTAATCTCTCCGCGCCGCCACCGCCGCGTGCACACGTATCCGATTGAAGCGATGAGCAGGGTCTTTATTCAAAATAAAAAGGAACAAGGCGACTGTTTTTGCGTCTCTCCCTCGCGAGTAAACAGAACTGTTTTTCAAAGTGACAAAAAAAGTGGACGGCTTATTTTCGAGCTCGAGCGCCGAGGGGTGAGTCTAATAATTATGTAACGTTATGGTAGCGCGTTCTAGAAAGGATGAGGACGAATCAGGTGCGGATCCAGGATTTGTCTCAGGAGGGGAATGTTCCTGCCAAAACTTGTGACTCGGGCTGTGCCCAGCTGTGCCGCCAGACAGAAGCGCTCGATATTAATTGACTACAATGGGAGCGCGGTGTTGTTTACCGTCTGGTCTAGCGCGACTCGAGGCGGGGCGGGGCGAGGCGGCTAGGCTCTACCGCCGCCATGCCGCGGAGGCCGCGGTGCAGCAGGGCTTTGCCCTTTTGCACTTTGCCTCCTGGTCGGGCTGGTCGGGCCCCTGGCCGTGCTGCAGACTGATTCCGAGAGTCGTTTTCGTCGCTCTGTCTGCCTCGCACCTGTACGGGACGCCCCGTGAGTGCGAGAGAGACGCAGCGACTAAACAAGACTCTGGGAGTCAGTCTGCTGCCTCGCATTACCGCCAACAAGGCCAGGACAGCCAACCTTGGTCCGCCGAGTCCGGCCGAGTCCGTGAGTTCGCAGCCACGTGGTCTCGTACCTACACTTTAAATATCGTACGGTAAATACAAAGTGTACCTAGTGGAGGACGCTAAAAAAAAAATTCAACAAAATATCTTATAAAGTCGTAAAACGAATTTTCGAAGGTAACTGAGAAAGTCAGCTGGAGAATCTCACACAATACGCGACCGCTCCCGGGATTGGGGCACAAGGGCCTACGCAGCACACTGCTGTAGTTCTGAAGTGGACATTAGACAAAAGGTTACGTGAACAAGAGTGGAAAAGTAAATTATCCTAGCTCCCAGTAAAAATGTCTTATTTTTTTGTGGGTGCTCTGGTGGTCGCCGCGCTGTGCCGTGACACTGATAGCCTGGCTTGGGCTTCCGCCTGAGACATTAGAGGCTGCTTTGTTATGCACCCGGGCGGAGTTCTCGTTCTCTGTGGGTGTGTTCGTGTGTTCGGGGTTCGGCAAGTGGAGTGGCGCAGGCGATGGCCTCCGAGAGAGGTGTCGTTTTCATGGTCAATCTCGTGGCTCCGACGACTCGCGCCCTGAACCTTTTCCACTGTCCTTTCCAACTTTTGTATTAAAAATGTAATCCGCACTGACTCTGTGCAACGTGCTTGCTTGTGGAGACACCGAGAAAACGGCGTGTTTCGGCGGCCACCGAGAACACCGCGAACACGCGTTGGATTGTGCAGCAGAGTGCCGAAATCGGATGGCATCCGATTTGACCGCAGCCACCGCCACTGCCTCGTCTCGCTCGTCTCGTAGGTGGGAGGGGCGGGGGCGTGGTGTTGCGTGGGCGGGGCGTGGCGGGTGATACGTGGTAAGGGCGTGGCGGCAGCGGGCCGCAGCGTGGCGGGGCGGGGGCGGGCGGGAGTCAAGGCCCGCAGACATGTCCCCCCCCCCCCCCCGCCACGCTCTGGGGTCAGCATCGGCGCATTACCACGCTCCAGTGGGTGAGCATGCCCAGTGCACTGTGCAGTGCATGCAATGCCCGCTGCACCGCTGCACTAATCGCAATCGCCATGTCCGGCTAAAGGCCCCTTCGACTTTCTCTCGTCGGGCTCAATGGCTCGCTGCAATGGCTCGATGCGACGTACACTGCGCCTTGCATCGCCCGCCCCGTATCGCAGTGTACTTCTTCACCACGCTGCCCGTCCATCTGTCCGTGCGGCCACGCCGCGACCGCCGCGCGGGTTCGAGTACGGCCGCCGGCGGGTTTTGTTTTTCGGTTCGCGGATTCCGGTTTATCACGACCACGGGCTGGGGCTGCTGAAGCACGAGAACGGCAGGTCACTGGTCACGGCGGCAGAGCCCATGGGCCATGGATGGCAGTGCGGTCGTCCCGGTCGTCCCGGCTGTCGCCGTCGTCGTGGCAACCGGCCGGCCGTCCAGCACGCGGCATGGCGGCGTGGCGGCGTGGCGGCACGGCGCGGCGCTGCCGGCGAGGTCATTCACTCCATCCCGTTCGGACGATGACCTTTAGGCCAGCCTTTAGGTCCGGCTGGCCGCGCTATGCACGCCATGCCGCCATGGGCAGTCGCGATGACGTGGATCTAGTGGCGGACGGAACGCGCAGTGGTTGCAGTTGTCAGGCGCGGATACAGAGGGTGGGAAAGGGGTCTCTGCTCCCAACCTCCCCAAGTTTCCACCACAAAAAGTGCCACGGGCATTCGGGATCAACGCGCCCCGCGAGGTGCAGCAGCCTGGAGCGCCTGGAGGCAGGCCGAGCGCTGGGCAGGCGCGTGTCGCGGGCTGGCCTACCCTCGACTTCACAGGCGCTCTGTCGGAGCGTGCCTGGACAAAGGGATTGACATTGTGCCGGGGAAGTCGGCAAAACGGAGTCCAAACTTTGCACCCGCAGCCACCAAGATGAATTGGGGTTAGGGTTGGGGTTGAGTCACCCCCGGTGCCCGAGTGAACCCCCGGGAGTGAGTCAGCGTGTCGCCACTCGTCGGGGCGCTCTGGCGGCCGCGTGGGACTCGACGTGGCGGGGCGTGGCGGGGCGTGCACCGCCATCTCCCCGACGGGTGACTCGCGCTTCTCCATCGTTTTTTGACGCCGTTTCCCCTTGCAAAGAGGTCAGCAGACGGCGTGCCAAAACGTGTCGCAGACTTTGCAGCGTCGCTGTCGCCGGGACCGGGACCCGGGACAGGGACCCGGGAGGCGGCAGGGCAGCGCGTCCCCGTGACTCTTGACCGGACGGCGGCGACGTGGTGCCGGGGGCCGTCCGGGAGATGTGCCTACACTGTGAAAGCAGCGCCACACTTGAAACGCGGAGGTGTTGAATTTGCAGTCTCCGCACTTGGAAGTGCAGAGGGCGCCAGAAGGAAGGGAGGACAGTGTCAACCGCCGCCGCCAGGCTCCGCGTCCCGGCCGAGGAGGTAATGTGGCCCGGGGCGCAGACCGCGGCCAGACGAGGTGGCCGACGGTCACTCGAGCAGAGTACACGCCGAGGCACCTGCCGCTTGTCGCGCTCATTCACGCACCGAGACGGACAAACAGCCAGCGCGGCCAGAACCACCGACAAGTCGTCGGCGACGCTAAATCAAGCGCTGTGTTCCACATGGCTCTCACTTTCCCACGGACTCCTTGCCCCCTCTTCCCCCGCGGGGCGGGTGCGCTCCCTAGAGCTCCCGGACGGACTATGCCGCGCTGCGTCCAGCCGGTAAAACGATAACGTAAGTCGCGACGGACTTTACCGCTCTGCATCCACGCGGGGAAACGCATCGAAGGCTGAGCATATTATTAACCGAAAACTTTCGGCGCGACAGAAATAGACGCGCAATTTTATCCTTTTATCGCGGCATTTGAGAGACCTCGGGGCTCGTCCGGGTGGCCGGTGCAAAGTCTGCGCGCCGACGTCGCTGGCACACTGCCGCACAGCCGCGCATGCGCAGAAAGCCTCTGCTGCGCCCGCAGCGTCACCGACTCAAATTTGGACTCTTTCGCCGACTTATTTGAGTTTGGGTAGGTCTGCGCCGCGTCAGAACGAGTTCGGCCGACCACGGCGTCACGCCATGCCGAAAGAGAGAGAGGGGAGAGAGGCGGGGCGCGGCGGTTTTTCGGGGACGGTTTTAAGCCGGGGCTGAGGGATTGGGCGGATTGGGAGGCTTGGAGACAGGGTGAACCCCGATAACCCCAACCTCGGTGCTGATAGGGGCCGCTGCATGGACATGTGCCGACGTATCGGTGTCCATCGCCGACCGCTCCGGCCGCTCTGACATCCGCCCTTCGAGAGCCCTTCGAAAGCCCTTCGAGAGTTGGAATCGATGCACGTTTGCAATTAGCGTTTGTATCATGTTACGGGATAGGTAGGAAGATTATAAATGGAGCTCTGTTTGAAATTTCTAATTAAGATCAAGGTATCCCCATGAAGAACTTTACTAGCGGGTTGCGCGATTCATGATATATTTTCTCCATAATACAAAAGAAATTCAACAAAATATCTATAAGGTAGAGTGAATTTTCAGAGGTAAATGAACCACTCTAATTTAGAGAGAATTTTCACCATAATTTGCACGGCAAACGCAGTGCTTGGGATTCCCAAGGTCCAACCTGGAAAGGGGAATCTATTTTCCAGGAGCCGCCTCTAATTCCAGGCAACTACTTTTGCCGTGTGGATAATCTTCACCATAGGACTTTTAGAGTGCAGTCGGGGTTCTTACGGACGGACCGACGGACGAGGGAGCAGGGGCGAGAGAGGGGGAGAAGGGATATGCACGCGGGGCGGGTAGGGGGCGAGGGGGTGTGAATGGGGGTCCCGATAAGGCGTCACAAACAGCTCCGGCGATACGAAACGGATCGCCCTGTATCAGCACGGCTGGCACGCCAGGCACCGCCTTCCCTCCCCGGCGGGGCCGCGTGCCCTGGCGTGCCCTGGCGCACCCGCACGCCGCATTCCGTTTTGCCCTTTGAGCGAATCGCGAAAAATACGTGGGCTGGCGGAAGATTTCCGTTCCTGGTTCGGGTTCGCGGTTCCTTTCCGTTTGGCGCGGCTGCGTTGCTAGGCGACCTCTAGCGGCTCGCGGGGGGTCTGGCTGCTGTCTGGGTCCGCTGCGGTCCGGCGGCGCGCCGCGCGCTGACCGGGCTCCTCTGTGGGCGTGCCACGCCGTGCCACGCCGTGCCCCTAGCGTCGCCACGCAAGGGAGCATGGGCCTGTCGCGCTGTCTCCGTGCAGTCAGCAGGCTAGAAGGTCGTAAGGGAAAATCCGTTACCCGACCGGGCCGGACCGACCGGCGGAGAAACTTCGCGCAACTTTTCGCTCTGACCGCGCCGGAGAGTGGAGGCTGCCTGTCTCAAGGTGCCCAATGCGAGACCAACGCAACGCTACGAATGGTGCGATGCAGCGAGACATAGCGCCCAATGTGTGCTTATCGTGTACTCGTACAGAAGTGTACCACGCGCACTTTGGATCTTGTGGTGTTGTCAGATCGTCCACTACCGCATTTCGAATAGGTAGAGAGGCGTGAAGGCGGAGGGGGCGAGGATGAGACCGCGATGCGAGTCCGGGGTGGAGGCTAGGGTGCAGGGCGTCATGGTGGTCACCCCCGACCCGCCCCTTTGAAACGAGACGCTCTCGGTAGCGCCTGCCCGTCGCGCTGGGTCTGTCGGGTCGCGGAGAGGTGACGCCGGTTATGCAAGGCGCGGTGGACGCCACGGACACGGACACGTGACCCACCGGCCCAGCGCGCCGCTCAGCATTTTTGCCGCTCCGGGGCATCTTCTCAGCACACAGTGTAGGGGAGAGACAGAGCGGCAATGTGACGGTTCGGCTTTGCCAGCATCGCAGCCGCGGGACGATGTACATCATCAGGCAATGACTCGACTCTGCTCTAGAAGACGGGAATGGGAACGGGAACTGGGTCAAAGAAAGAAGCGCGAAGCAGAGCGCGAAGTAACGAAGTAACGCGGACTGTGCTGTCTACTGTTCACGTGCAGATTCCCCCCTTTCATTGTCTCGAGTGCTATCGAGATCGTGATCTGATGCAGGGCGTGCAGGCCGGAGGCGCCGGGTGACGGCCTGGCGGGCCACGGCGGCGTGCGTCTCTCCGACACCCACACAGCACACTGATTCAGAGTCGTTTTTATCGCTCTCTCTCGCACCCCCTTTCTTAATGGGGGATGCCCATGGAATCCTCGTGTGACCCACGCTGTTGAAGGGTGACACCCCACATGATGATGCGCTGATTTGTACAGTGTGGGAAGTGAATGAAGAGTAAGTAATCGAAACATGCGCAAAACTATTTATTTGGAAAACGATGCATCATATGAGATGGGGTACATCTGAGGTTTACTCAGAAGCAGCGTCTATCAGATTTTTGGTCTCCATCCAACTATTGTCACTTATTGTAACAACTGTGGTTGTGTTAATTCCACACAGTTTTCCAGCATCCACATTTTAAATTTAATTTCTCATAGTTGAAAAAAAAATTATGGAATGATTTATAAAATTCAAACAGCACACCTTTGAGATCACAGACATGATAGAGATTACAGCATTCAGTCAAATGGGACATTATCCCCACATTGTTTAAGCCTTGAGTTTTGCCAAAATCTGACCTTAACAACCAAGGAAAACTTTATAAAACCAATTAATACATCACTGTGTGAAGCAATGGGAAACGCATTCATCACACAAAGTTAAAAAACGATTCTTACATCATAGATATTTAAGGTTGCTAGGAAACAGCACAGAAATGAGCAAAGAGGTCTTATAGACAGGCAAGACACAAACACATGCGTCCGATAGCATTGCAGAAAATGACACCTTCTTCTGGTAACACGACACAACACAACAACCAATAGAAAATCAAAAAGCAACGCTAAGAACTGCATCTGCCAGCATTTCACACCTAAACAAACTGTAAAGCAGGTTTCTTTCTGTTATAAAGAACTTCTTATGTTTAAATAAATTATAAAACAGCACTCAGTCTTAAACCCTAAGCATAGGTGAGTGTTATAATAAATGACCAGGATTGTTTTCTATTATCTTTACAAGGCAAATAAAATCCCAGACACAAAAACTGTTACAATCAGAGTAAAACGAGTGGTAAGAATAAGATCACAGTAAGGGAATATTTCCCACCTCTGTCCATTTAATGGATTAGGTTTACAGAAACAGTATCTATAGGAAACAAATACTTTTGCACCTATATCATGAGAGTACCTTAAAAGGCCACACACATCACAAACAATTTATATTCAAGCAAATACCCTAATGGCATTACATAGCACAACAATACCATCCATGAACACAATCAATATGCCATAGTAATGTGAACCATACAAAGTGAAACATGACAGTAAGCAAAAATAAATACATTGAGAATAACAACAAACTGCATGCCAAGCATTGTACAGGCGTTGAAGGCATAGGTGTCATTCAAGGAAAACAAATCCAGGTGGTACTACAGAACACCTTGGACAGCTATGAAAGCACCTCTTCGCACAACGTCCACACAATAAGTGACTTAGGCCACACTAATTTCAATCTCCTCGGCCAGGCCAAGATGATTGAGATCAGTTTGGCCCAAGGGAGTGAGTGACAGACTGTTCCAGACAAAACTTCGGGTCCGGAAACCAACTTAATAAATTATTTAAATAGCAGACCATTATAATAAATAAAAGAATTATACAAACTAGTATGAGGTTCAAGATGACCCATCAATACATGTGAATATTGTGCAGTGCTTACTGATAAAAGAAACCATCAAACAAGCCAGCATTTTTATTTCCATATGGTAAATGACAACCCAGAAATAGTAATCCACCCAAACGTTTTGAAAATGGTTTTAATAGCACATGCTGAGTGTGGAAGTACAGAAAGCTGACATTCATTAATATCACTTTTCTTCAAGGACAATATCTTCATCACTCAGCTGAATTTCACAATTCACATCTTTTTCATCATCACTGTTATCTGATTCAGCAGTACTACCTATCTGTACATCTACACCATCAGAGTCCTTTTCTTCTTCAAAGTCATCATTAAGATAATCTTCCTCATCGGTAAGTAAACCCCCACAACTAAGGTTGCCCTCTAAAGAATTACCCTCTATGTGGCTCAGAATTCTCCCAGAAAAGTCATCCAAAAGATTCTGAGCAAGAGAATCATTTTCTCTGCGGTTCATTGACACAGTCATTGAGGATGAAGATCTTTCAAATGATGATTCAGACGAAGATTCAACAATTGATATTGAAGAGCTGGACTTTGTGTGTACCTCTGAAGGATCGGATCCGACGTATTCGGTGGTCTGCACAGCTGAATTGATGGGAGAAGTAGATGACTTATTCTTTAAAGGGGTGGATGATGCCAAACCTTCACTAAGATCAGATACTATGGGATTAATCTTCTTTAAATCAGGAATATCTGTTGACAGAACATTGGAAGAGATATTGTGAATGTCTTACAAAAGTGCATTCTGGAAAACAAAAAAAAACCCTTAAAAACTCACCAGAGGAGCATGGGGGGAATGTTCGACCGTCGACCTCATCAACAGGAGTAAGGCTGGTCAAAGAATTTGATGTGGCCAAGTCAGTCCTGTCTTCATCCTCATCACAACAACCAGTCATAGGAGGCATGAGAAGGCCGTGTGACCTTGATGCTGGACGACTGTGATGATAGTCAGCATAGAAAGCCGGTGGATCATATTCGTGAGGCACTGTGAACAGAGTTAATCGTCAATTTCATCACAGACTTCACAAGCATGGTGCACTTCTAATAAAACTTACAGCAGTTCACAACATCTCGGAAGTTGTAAGTGGTTGGGTCAACTGGCTGGTTAATCCAAGCATGGTTGACGAGATTTTGCATGGTGTTGCGCATGACTGGATCCCTCTCCAGCATAGAGTGCAATAGCCCCAATAGTTGGGGGCTGGCAGTGCCAGGAGGTCGAAGTTCTGCCCGTAGTGTTTCCTCTACATCAAAGAATGGGTTCTCTCCAAATGTTAAAACATACAAAGTCACTCCAAGGGACCATACTTCCAATTCAGGTCCCTCATATCTGAAATTAAAAATTTATTTAATAATAATAATGCCTAATATATGGTTCAAAGAACAGCAACAGAAAATTACCCACTTGTTGCCTGCCAAAACCTCTGGGCTACAGTACTCAACCGTTCCATAAAATGTAGAAAAAAGACGATCGGCACTTCTGAAGGTGGCAGAGCCAAAGTCAATGAGTTTTGCATGAAAGTGCTGATCAATAATAACATTTTCATCTTTGATATCACGATGCAATATTTGGAGAGAGTGCAGGTAATGAACAGCAGCCACAATCTAAAACAGTTATTATTTATGTAAACCCATGTTTCACATTAATCACACAGTGTAAGATGTTTTGTACAGTAGTTCAGAAATAATTAATCACCTGGCGAAAAATATAGCTGATCAATGGCTCATCTAGCTTGGGCCTGCGGTCTACAAACTCAAACAAATCCATGCCTGCTCCATGTTTCTCCATCACCATTTGGAAGAATGATTCGTTTTCAAACACATCCAAAACTCTGACCTGTGCGGAAAAATAACACCAAGGATACAATTAAATTTTTGAAGCCAGGAGAGATGTATGTGGTTATATGAAGTAAAGGATTCTTACCACATTTGGATGTTTAATGGTAGTGAGGAGACTGACTTCAAGAGGGACTCTTTTCCCCAGAATTGGATCTTCCACCCAGGATTGTTCATGAACTTTCTTCTTTTGAATGAATTTTGTAATAACCTTCAAAGAGGAATCATTTTAAAAAATCCAATGATATGAGTTGAGTCAAAAATATGATATAGCACTAAGGTTACTAAATATTTCACTTACAAGAGCATTATCTTCATTTCGATAAGCCATCTTCACAAAACCATAGGCACCCTTCCCTATTTGTTGAAGGGTGGTGTAGCGTTCTCCGTATGCCCCCATTACTAACTCATCCTCACATTGAGTCATGATAGATACTGAGCCAGGACGGCTAGCATTTTGGGCCCGTGTTTGAATTTCCTGTTTCAAGAAACAAATTTTTTTTAAACATTAAAAATACAATTAAATATAAAAACAATCCTAAAAATCTGACAAACCTGTCCAAATGATGGTTCAATAGCACTGCTGTCTAAGCTAGAAGTGAAAGTCAAGTTTCCATACTGAGGATCTTCCTCTTCAGAATCACGAGAAATCCACACACAGTAAAGCTGACGTCCACATCGAAGTTGTACAAGCCTCACTTGATACACCAATTCTGTATAAATTAAAACATGTTAAACAGCAACTGACAAAGTTGTAAAGAAAGCAAGATACTGTGCTTTTTGTACTTACCAATATTTGAACCATCTCTGTGTTTCCCAAAACCAAGAAAATGACCTTCAGGGAATGCCTGGCCCTGCGGATCCAATGGAGTAACAGGTGAAGGGGCTGGCGGTTTGACATTACTGTGGCTTACGGTTGAGACGCTTATAGTGTTGTCATCAACATCGGAATGAGTAAACCGGCTAGGATGACTAGTGCAAGTGCACATGCTGCACATGCTAGATGAGGTGACACCCACACATGAGCTAAGCTCTACACTCACAGCAGGGCTGTGACTGTTCTGTTTTGCCTGAAAATATTTTGGAAAAATGAGAAGAAGAAAAAGGTAACCAGGGAAAATTAAAATAAATGGTAATGTAAAGGTCTTACTGGTTTCTGACTGACTTCTTCGTTTCCATTTAATGTGTCATCCTCACTGCGGCTAAATTCTTCACATGTAGTATTGTCAGCAGTGACCAAAGGATCTGATCCCTCATCAGGAGGGTTGTTTTCCTTTTGTTTATCAGACATTGCATTGGAAGCAGAAGAGAACATTTTATAATTCTTAGTTGATGAGATGTCATTTTGAAGAGTCAAACCAGCACTGGGAACATAAATAGAGAACAAAATGAGACTAAGAAAGAAACAAAAGTACTTCAGAACAAAATAAACAGCAGACAAACCTAGTTGTGTCATCATCATTGAGGGTAATCTTATTAGTCAAGTCACTCAATTGGGATACTGATTCAATGAGCCTTACACAGTCTGTACGGATCGAATTGTCCACTGAAAACATATTTGTGGACTGACTATCAGTGTCCAGTCGATTGGTGGATTGGCTATCAGTATCATTGTTTGACCTAAAGCATAGAAAGAAACATGAGTCAGTACGAAGTGCAAAACATTTGAATCAATTGTAAACAAAGGCAGCCTACTTCCAAGCTCGTGGTGTTGTGGATTCTGTGTTCAACGCGTTTTCTGCTAGCTCATCTCCCAGTTGAAATGGAGGAAGGATTGAATCATCTCCATTACATACAGAGTCATGAGCAAAATTCGGAATGACTGTGGTAATGTGCTGAAAAGGAGAGAAGACACAGGGTTTAAAAAGTGAATGCGCAAATATTTGAAATGAGTGATTTGCAATTTTAGCATTTTCTTACTTTTCCAGCTAATTGAGCTTGAGTGTAGCCAAACATAATGTGAGTAAAGTGATGATTGCATTGTTCAACGGTCCCATCAGGATTTAAGACCAGCAGGCCACTCATATTAGAAAATACCCATACTATAACAGAATATGACACAACAGCCACAGAGGAGTCCCCACTTCCTTCATCAAGTTCTTCACTTAGGCGCAAGCACAGGGGGAAAGAAGAGCCATATTTAGTCCGTCCAGTAGCTTTCTGCTTTCGAACTTCCTAAAATTAACAAAAGGAGATGTCAGAATCAATGGGGAAAAGAGGCCTTACAGGGGGAAAGGGAATTATAATTGTTACTACCTTAGGCAGACTGTCTGGATGTGATGGCATAAGGAAGGCAGGTATTAAGAGTTTAATGTCTTCTCCTTCCACTTCTTCAATAGTATACTGAAAGAGCTGAGAAGCATCAGGGTCCATCCACAGTATTCGGCCATATGCATCAACTTCCAGCTATAGCCAAAACGAAAACTTTATCAGAATTTTCTTCTTAACTTTATAAAAATTAGGTATTGCACCAGTGAGAATACTTTACCCTGGCAACACGACGCTCAACAGGTTCAGCCACAGCAAGACACCGGTCATCCATTTGAAGACGGCGCAACCACAATGAAACGGGAATGACACCCCCATCCTTGCTTATCATTTCAACCTGGCACAAAAAAGTGTTATTGGAATTAGATTTTTACATTTTACTATGCTGTGAAGAAGAAGAGTAAAGAAGAAAAGTAAAGCAATAGGAAAAGATAATACTTACAACTTTACCACTAACACCCAGGGTTGTTCCATGATTTGTATCCAAGTGCTCTTCAGAGAGTGCATAAGGTGTATGAGCATGCTGTCTATTAAGTAACTGCACCAGTGTAAGGCCACACAGCTCTTCAGGAGAAAAGCCCAACAAGCGGCATGCCATTTGATTGACAACAAGAATCTAAGGGAGTAAAATTTTACTAGAAGACACATTCAAAATAATATTTAATAGTTTAAGAAAGTCTAATAGTTACCTTCATGGATTTGAAATCAAAAGTAAAAACAGCTTTGTTGGGATTTAGCATCACTGTTTTGTGATAGCCTGGTGGTTGGGAAATGCTAGCAGTTGGACAGATAGTAGCACTTACTGTCAAACTAGCTTCACTTGCGGGAAAATGGTCTACACTTCCTGCCAGACCATCAGGGAGTGGCTTCAGAGAAGAAAATGAGCATCGTCTCCTGCCTGCTGAAAAGCGACAGGAGTTGAGGCCATCACCTAGACAACAACAGAGAGAGGGGATTATTCGTTTTTAAAAACTTCAAAGGAAGGTACCACCTGGAATTAATCAATGCGGGTACGGTGCAACTTGGTCAAATATTTCAATTAGCTCTACAAAAAAATCCTACCTCTGATTTTTTCCATTGTAACTTGAGGAGAAATGAAGCCAAGGTAGTTCTTCCGAGGCTGGGAAGGCTTCAATAATGGGAAACTTTGATTATGTTCGAATGAAAGGTCTTTACATGCTGAATGGAATGCATCACTTTTGAGTAGCTTTCCAAATCTGTGGCACAACAGTAAGCATAAGTACTTGTAGAGGCAGGAATCATCACCATCTGCACTATAAAGTCATTTCCAGACTTACTTTAAAGGACTTTTGAGAGGAAGGGAGATATCATCTTTAACTAACTGGCGGCGGGTAGTGCGTTTAATAGGAGAAATCTGAGGAACAAAATGCATCCATTAGTTTTTAGAAATCAATCAAAACAACTCAAATCAATTCATAAGAAAAGATCAAACACAAACCCCATTGATGAGATTAAGAGCTGAGGTCTTCTGGTTGAAATGAGCATCAGAGAGCACAGCTCTACAAGAAGAAAAGATTATACCACTTATTAAACATGTCGAGAAATGGTTAACAGAATCTACGAATAACAGAGGTTAACATAGGAAATTCCTGAAATGTAAATTTTAATACCTCCCAATAAATTTCTCAAGAAGAGAACGTCAATGTGCGCATAACAAAGGCCATACAAAAGTAAATAATTTACAATAAACAGAGAGACACATAGCCAAGCAGAAAATTAGACGGATGGCAGCCAAGAGGTGCAACCAGCTGTTAATGATGATGATTCTTGACCATAACCCTCCCCCAGGAGTCCAAAATACTACAATCCCATCTGGAAAGTAAGTTGGTACAAGGGAAAGCGCGATGCATATTGAAGGTTAGAGCAAAGTCGTCTCAAAATAATCAATACTGGCTGGAGAAGGGGGCCCTTCTGGGCTGGAGGCCCCTCCGACACCTGTTGAACGTTTTGCGGTGCGCCCAGGCTGAGAGAAAAGTTACCCAGAACCTCGGTGAGGTGATCCAGATTATGCTGTCGACACCAAAACGAGTGGACGAACCTACTAATCAGTTCTTAACTAAAATAACTAACCAACTAGCGAGCTTACCTCTTCGTTAGGTCAGACATTTCGCGCTCAACCACAAAATTTGAAACCCACAGCCTGTTCTTCGTAACGTTCTGTAAAGTTTCTGAGAAATGCGGAAGGCAGTGTCAAAACAAGTGAACATCTGTGTTAGGGATCCTAACCTCAAAAAAAGTACTTAACCGTCAAGTCTATTTTATAGTGAAATGTCGTTTTTTAAAAAGCCAAAGAAAAATATCCGACGAAGACCTTTTGGAAGTAATGAGAATGACGAAAGTGCGGAAGAAAACGGTAGTCACATGGATGTGGACGACGAGGAACAAAGTATGGCTCAAATCAGAGAGAAAATTGCTAAAGCCAAGAAGAAGGAACAACGTAAACAAACGTTATTAAGTTTCGAGGAAGATTTCAATGAAGGTGAGGTTTTGAATGGCACTGATTCAGTTCAGGGTTGTGACCATCAATCACTTATTTGTAGTGCCACATGAGATTGTTGTTTCGGTCGTTAAGGTTATGCCGATTGGATCAATACGTCGATTCTACGTTACGGTCCTTGACATATGTCCCTTTAATGTCCATTTATCAGTAGGCGAAGCTTCATTTTTCTGCTCTTGAATTGTTTTTTATCCACTTCTTAATTGAGTATTGGATTCGTTGTTTAATTTTACTTGCTTGATGTTAGGCACTGGGCAGTACTCTTGTCTTGCCTTAATTCCTCAAAAGTATCGGAAGACATTTTTTTTTTTAATTTTTTAAGATTTATTTTAAAAATACATTTTTTTGAAACTACAGCTGATGATGGAGAAGTCTTTCAAGTTAAAAAATCATCTCAGAGTAAAAAGATGATGAAGCTTCTTGACAAGGAGAGGAAAAAGAAAAAAGAAGTGAAACCAGAAAAGATGGAGATAGAAGAAGATTTACCGAAGAAAGATAAGGAAATAGTTACGGGTGATCTTGTGGTGAGTGTTCTCTGAGTTTTATGCGTATTGAATATCATTCATAGTCCCCTTTTAATACTTTATCTAATTCCTTTGAAGATGGTTGTGAAGCAGACAGAGCCTGTCCGTCCAGTTGTACCTATTCTCAATGGGCGACAGGCTGAATTAGCTGATCCAGATTATCAAAGTGAAGATGAGGAGGAGGAAGATGACAAAAGCAAATTGAAAAAACCCTCTCAACATAAATTTTCTCAGCCAGACAACATGAAACTAATATTAGAAAGTAAGTGCAAAGAAGCCTCCGAAAATATTTTCATGTTGTCAATCATTGTAGTGAAAAATATTCCACTGAGATTTTTGATGGAGTCTAAGCTTTTATTCCTAACTTCAGCCAATACCACTTTAACTTATTGAAAATGTTCTGTAGGTGGCAGGATTCCGGATGCAGCCATGATCCATGCTGCCAGAAAACGGCGCCAGAAAGCCAGAGAAATGGGAGGCGAGTTTATACCGGTAGAGGACACTCAAAAGTAAGTAAAATGTCCATACGTTTTTCACGTACTTCCTCTCTTAGGTTTGTTTAACTAAATATTGTTATCTCTGCAGATACAATACTTCTTCATCAAAGTCTCGGCTTGTTCGTGAAGATGATAACGATAACAGTGATGATGAGGAAGAACCTGTGCAGATGGCTGTACCATCAGCAGCAAGAGATCGTGACAGAAAGCGTGAAGCCTTTATGTCTGTTCAAAATGACGATGAAGACCAGGAAAGTGACAAGGGTGAGGAGGAAGAGTGGGAGTCACAGCAGATTCGGAAAGGTGTTACCGGAGCACAGGTGAGTATTCAATTTCATTGTGAAAGTACATTGAAAACTTCGTTGCTTACATTGTTTGTATCTTTCTCCCTATTTAGTTGGCTGCTGTTCAGCAAGAAACTTTGTATCAGCAACAGTACACAATACCAATAGTACCACTTGCTAGTTTGGAAGCTGGTGTCTCCATGGACATGTCACCTTCTGTTCCTGTTTTATCAGAAACTATGACTACAGAAACAATACCTATCGTTGACAAAAGATTTGGTGGTCTCAAAGCGGAGAATGGTACCGGAACAACCCCTCAGAATATCTCAGCCAAACTCAAAGAGAGGTAATATTTCCGAAACTCCTCACCTTTTGCTCCTTTGCTGTAATCTTTTCTCCTTTCAACATAAATTTATTGAATTCTGTTTTGTTTTTTCATACTTAGATTAAAAGATTTGCAAGAAGTTCATAGAAGACACTGTCTTGATCGTGATCAAGTCACTGATGATTTGGTTGCAACACAAAGCGAGGTCCAGCGCCTAGAGGCAGAAACACCGAAGCTGGCAGAGCGTTTTCGCTTTTACCAAGAGTTGCGTGGGTATGTCACAGACTTGGTAGAATGTCTTGACGAGAAGGTGGGTTTCTAATCTGAGCATCTAATTTATCAGGGACATTTTGCTTGGAGCTAGAGCAGGCATTTGACAAGTGCATTTGCAAATTACATTAATTTTAGAAGCTCATTGTATTACTTCATTAGTGCTTTAAATTTAACCTGGAAAGTATTTATGGTCATTGATCATGTATAAAAATAGATGATTAATTCTTAACTTGTCAAATGATGCCGCTCTCTCATAGGGCAACCAAATCCTCTTTTGTTAATGAAGTGTGCCAAGTCCGCTTCATGTTTACTCTGCTACTTTTGATCATTTTTCTTTCTTCCTGTCTTATCTTTGTTCTTGTGATCATCAACAAATCAAAGTAATCTTATTCTATCTTATCTTTAATTTTATGTGGCTTTTCCCAGTACAGACCAATTTCCGTTTCTATCTCTTTTCAAATGAGAGGAAAAAAAAAAACTCTACCCTTTCTTTTGTTTGTCATACTCTTGCTCCTTTCACTATTTTTCATTCAGTCGATAATTGTTTTGTGTAGTTTGCAAACTTTGTGAATAACAAAGTGTCCTCTTTCTGTACTTTTTATTTCAATGTTATTTTGTTAATTGAATGTGGTGAGTATACATGACAGTCGTAAATCTTCAAGCATTACTAATGCAGTTTGTTAATGTTTGTGTGCTCAGATGCCGATCCTTATGAATTTGGAGCAACGTGTGTTGTCGTTATGGCGTAAGCGAGCAGAGGAATTAATTGCAAGGCGAAGACAAGATGTTTTAGACCAAGCGAATGAAAACGCACCCTGTAAGTAAACCTTTTCAAAAGTTAAATATTTTTTTAAATGACAATTGAGAAAATTCTAAACCTAATTTTCACCTTGCAGCTAATGCAAAGCGTAATAAAGAAGAAGACGATGCCCGAACACGTCGTGCTGCTGAAAGAGAGGGTCGACGTATTCGCCGCAGCAGAGCACGGGAATCAAAAAAATTGGCCAACATCAATGCATCAAAGCATCTTGATGGAATGTCAAGTGACGAAGAAATGACTGAGCTGGAACTGGCATCTTTCCGCACTCAAAGCGGTAAGGGCCTAGTTTGATATGACTAAAAACATTTAAATTTCCTGTTGTGTTAAGTTTTCTTGCTTTGCTTTTTGTTTGCAGAAAATATAGAGGCAGATGCGCATCTTGTGTTTGAAGATGTAGTTGACGAATTCTGCACTGTGAAGTCTGTACTACGACACTTTGAAAAGTGGCGCTCAACAGATTGGGAATCGTACACAGAGGCTTATGTTAGTCTGTGCATACCGAAAGTGTTGTCTCCACTTCTGAGAGTACAAATGTTGATGTGGAACCCATTATTGGTGAGTGCATTGGTGTACTTCTGATGTTTATTGAAATGTAAAGCAATGTTCAGAAATTAATCATCTTGAGTTTCTTTTCCAGAATGATCAAAGTAGAATAGAAAGAATGAAGTGGTATGATAATTTGCTATTTTATGGTTTGGAACCAAATGAAACTGAAGATGATCTGCGAAGTGATCCAGATCTTAAACTTATTCCTCTTGTAATAGAGAAGGTTGTGTTACCTAAACTTAACAGTAAGTATCAAACACAATCTTGAACCTGATCATTTAATGAAATTCATTGTATTTAAATTTCTTTTTCCTCCACTTTTACTTTCTACCAGATGTTGTTAATGCTACTTGGGACCCTCTGTCTACATCCCAAACACAACGATTAGTATCTCTCTTAAGTCACCTTCTTCAGGAATACCCTTCCTTAGTGAGTTCTAGCAAGCCTTTAAACAACCTTCTGTCAACAATTGTTGAAAAAATGAAGGCTGTTGTGGAAAACGATGTATTCATCCCCATTTATCCCAGACAGTAAGTGCATTTCCAACAAATTTTTTGCATTGGTTGTTTTTTAAACGCTTAAAGAGTTATCTACATTTTAAATGTACAATTATCCTTTCAGGTTGGATGCAAAGTCTGGACAAGCTACCAATGTTGCTCCTGGAATGCCAGCATTTTTTCAGAGACAGACAGTCAGTGCTATAAAGTTGTTGCGAAACCTGCTTTGTTGGCAAGGTGTTGTAAGTGATCTTGTTTTGCAAGAAGTTGCTCTTGGCGCACTGTTGAATCGCTATCTCATGGTCGCATTGCGCACTTCCGAACCAGTCGACGCTGCTGCGAAATGCCACATGGTAGGTTGTGTTCTTAAGACTAAATCAGCATAAGATATTTTGTGTATGTTGGGCTAAATTAATTTTTCTTTGCAGATTGCAAGTACATTCCCAAAGTGGTGGTTCCAGAGTGAGACCAAACTTCCACAGCTTCAAATGTTTGCAAACCAGTGTAAACACATTATTACTCTCTTAGATGTGACCACTCCTGCTGGAAGGTAAAACCAAATTTGAACAGCTGTAATTTCATGTTTATGAGTTAAGATCATGTTTTAATTTGCTAAATTGTATCTCCTGTTTACAGACAAGGCCTGGAGCGCATCAGTGTCATTCTTAAAACTTTATCTCCAGTCATAACACCCGTGTGACAACAATTTTCTTCTGATTTTGACTTTACTCGACTCTAGATATCTTGTTCAGAAAGTTATGCACTTGCATATAACAATTGCCTTTAATTTTTTTTACTCTTTTAATTTTGCCTTGAATCTTCACAATCAGTACTCCAGTGCAAATTAATGTTCAATGATGCAAATTGGGTCATGTAATACCTATAAGTGTAGATGTTTTACCTATGTAAATAACACATTGCTGAAAACCCGCGTTCAAAGTACCCACTTTTTTCTGTTAATTCTTTGGTTGAAAACCGTTACATCACTGCCTTCACTTTGGACTGTATTTCAAAACTTTTATATTAGGTATTCAGTCCTTACAACTGATAAAAAATTTTCATTCTGTATTCACCTGATCGCAGCTGAACTCAATTGTAGCAAATATTGTGTCATTTCAGATACTAAGTGATTGTACAGTAAATGTATTTTTCTATATTTTTTGTCTTTTGCTGTAAGTGTTTTGCATATAGGCTGTGAAATTTAGTAATGTGGCCAAGAAAGTTGTTCGTTAGTGTATGGTTGTGTGAGCAGTGACAGTGCTGAAGGCTTTATACCCTCCTCAAAAAGTACACCTGATTCACACCAGTACAGCACATTTGAAGAGATTTTAGAAAATTTTTAATGTTCTAGGATGTGGTTACAATACTCTCCCAATTGAAATTTCCGTATTTTATCTTACTAATTTTATAATATAAATTCATTGGAAATTTTCTTTGAGGAATATTTTCTTACCCTTCCTTAAAATGCGTCTTCACTAATTTTGTACTCAATTGTAGAAAACCAATTTGATAATCTTTATTATCTGTAGCGTTTTTGAAAATTGTGAGTCCTGCTTGCCTCTTTATAAAGTCAAACCTGCAACCTGTAGCTGGTCCAGCATTTTTTTAGAATGAGGTAGTTCACAACAAGACTCGAAGCTTCAGGGTAAGACTTTGCTATCTTGAACTGAGCCTCCTGTAGAAACTGAGTTCCCCGAAACAACTGTCTTGATTTTCTAGCTTGTCTTAAATTATCCCGAGCTTGGCTACGTCTTTGTGAGCCTTGTACAATTTTTGAACGCCTTGTCTCAAAGAATTAGGTTTAAGATGAGTATTGTGACTCAAATTAATTTGTGTTTATCTTGCTAACTTTTCTTGGACCCTTTGGTCCCTGACATTGTGATTTTATTAAACTTTAAATAGAGTGGTAGTAATATATCAGCTCTATTGCTCAAGGGTTGTTGATGCAAATCTTGAAAGCTTTGAGTCTGAATACTTAAAGTCAGCAGTAGCCACAGCAAGTACAAGCCACAGTATTGTAAATTGAATGGTAAAGAAATTATACAAATGGTTTTGTATTATATTAACTAATGTGAAGAAATGTTTTGCATTTTTTGAAGAATGATAAAACTGAATACTCCTTTAGTAGTTGTTTCATTTGTACACCCACTTTACACCCGTTAAAAAAAAACAAGATGCCTTTCTTTGACAAAAATAGCAGACCACCTCAAATTTGTCTGGAATTGATATGCAACAGTACGAGTTGAAGAAGCTGTGGACTTGATTCTAAAATGTTTGTTGCTAAGTGGGGAAAAAGGAACGGCTATTGAATATTTGAAGAAGCAAAGCATTTGTTTTACTAATACAATAACTGACTTCCTTTGGTATAAGCACTTATGTAGTACAACATAACAATTAACAAAGAAAAAAACTCAAAAAAACCTCTGCTACCTTTACGACCATTTAGCAGTATCAAAATAGTAAGATAACTTATTTACTTCCAACTACCGTCTGAGAGAACTGTACAAAATATTACATTATAAAACAATATGTAACTATCAGTTGACACTTAAAATATTGCACACAGCCCATTAACCTGCATGGCATGCATGTTACATACAAATTCTTATGGCACTGCTGTATGAATTAAATAACATGTCCAAGCTATACACACATTTGACTCACGTTAACACAATAAAGGACAGTTTTCTGAAGTATGAAAATCACGGGACCAGCTAGATCTCTCTATCAATCTGATGTGACATGGATACTGGCTTTTCTAATTGGAAAATAAAAATAACTCACTACCATGATCAGCCTGGGAAAAGGCATGTTCAAACCATTACATCAAAATTAACTGACACACTAAAGATACAAGGTATGATAACTGCAGATGTAGAGTTAATGAGTGCTGACCAGAGGACTGTTACTTTAAAATTTCCATGACGTCAGCACTCATTATGCGTAGAGTGAACATACTTAAAAGATTTCGTGTTATGTTTGTTCTAATGTTGGCCACAAGGCCGAGGGGAAACGTACTCACATCATGTGACTGATAATTTTTTTAAAGGGGGAGGGGGAATGTTTCCGGATGTTTCAAAATATCACCCGGGATAAGGTCATATGGGTCAGGGATTTCGAGTGGTATTTTGAGAAACCCGGTCCCCCTAAGGCCATATGATCTTTAGTTCACATGACCTCAGGGGGAGAGGGGGGTCGTCAAAAAACCACGTTAGGTCACATGGGGTGAGTCTCTTAAAGTAGCCTAAAACCTATTATGTCGTGGTGTGGATCCAAGTTACTGGTGTTGACCGTTTATCGGCCCGTCAGTCATGCTTTGATGTGGTCACTTTAGCTGTGACTGTGACACCACTCCAAACGGATCACAGGACACACACGACGGACACTTGCAATCTGGAATGTGGTCGTATTACAGGTCCCTGCTCATCACGGCAGATTTCCTACACACTGGTTAGAGAGGGGGAGGGTCGACGGAGAGGGGAGTCACTGTCACACGTTCAAGTCACTCCTCTTCCCCAGGAGCGGCACCGTCTTGGGGTCCACCTTGGAGTCCTTGCTGAAGATGTCCTCGCAGTCGTCGTCGTCCGCGTCGTCCGCGAACTTGATGTCGTCGTCGTCCTCCGCGTCCTGGAGGTCCTGGTGCAGGCGGTACAGCAGCCGCTGGTCGCTGGGCGACTTGACGACGGACGTCTCCTTCTCGGTGTCCCCGGCGTCGCGCGCGTCGAGGGGCTGTTGCCAGCCCTGCCTGCCGGCCAGGCGGCGCGGCGAGGCTGTCAGCTGCTGCAGTGCCAGCGGTGCGGCTAGTGACCCCGGCGCGACCGCGGGGTCCATCTTGGCCTCTGTCTCCTTGACGGTGAGCTCGGTGACGCGCGCCGTGTGGATGAGTGCGCGCTGCTCGCTCTGGTGCGTGCCCTGCACGAAGTGCGTCCGCGGCGGCTTGGCGGGCGGCGACGTGGCGGGCTGTGCGTGCGGAGACCGCAACTCCTGCAACTCCGTGCCCTCGTCCATGTCCGCGGGGGTGGCCCCGCCGTGCTGCTGCAGGTGCACGTTGTCCGAGGCCTCGCTGGACACGTCGCCGTCGAACAGCGGGCCGTCCTCGCCGTCCTCCTGCGCAACAACAAGCTCAGTGTCACCATGGGTGTGGCTTTCGGCAGCAAATGCATTTACCCAGAAGCGCGCGCTTCGCTAGCTTCGCTTACCTCCCACGAGCCGGCCGAGCCCGGCGTGTACGGCGGTATCCACATGAGGTAGGCGGGGTCCATGCCGAGCAGCGAGCCGGGCGCGGCGCACGCGTTGTGCACGTTGTAGTCGTAGTAGTCCATCTCCATCTCCGTGTCCGGCCCCAGCGAGAAGTCGGAGCCGCCCGTGGAGCCGGCGGCCCGCAGCAGGCGCTCCCGGTTGCGCCGGTCCTTGCTCTCCTTGGGGTTGAGCGGCAGGGGCCGGTGCAGGGGCCCCGGCACCGCCACCATGCCGGGCGGCGGGCTGCGGGCGTTGGTGGGGGTGGCGGTGCGCGAGCTGCTGGCCGTGCTGGCCGTGCTCGTGCTGGCACAGCTGGCGCGGCTCCAGCTGCGCACCGAGGACGCCGGCGACCCCGGCACCACGCCCTCCTGCAGGCAACGCAAGCAGCGCAAGCGGACAGGTCAAAACAACGGCAAAACGGAATCATGAGTCAGAACGGGAAGAGGAGGCGGGCGCTTGAGGGGGTTCAGGGGGAGTAAGACTACCAACAAAAGCAGACATCAAATTCACTTCTAGCGGTGTGACAAACATGACGGGGAGGTGACACTGTGCGGCGAGACGGGACTGCTCGGACAAGCCACGCAGTGCCGTGCATACGCAATGGCCGGGGGACTCTGGGCTGCCCTGCAGGGACTCCGAACAGCGCTCTGTCTCTCTCGCACACTGCGCTGCGGGCGCGAGGGAGTGCGAGGGAGGTAGACGACGACGCCATTCGGACTCAGCCAGCAGGCTGCAACACGTGTGCGTCACGAGGTCGCGAGCATGGAGTGTGTCCGGGCGGCGAGGGCTGCGCGGACACTGCACTGGTGCCACCAGTGTGCTGCACGTGCAGCGCAGACACGGCAGGTGGTCTCGTCCATCATGTGGCCGACGACGACCTTTCGTCGCGCTGTCTCGGGGCGTCCCATGAGTGCGAGAGAGACAGCGCGACACGACTGCAGACGCACCGCACCACTAGGCCCCAGCCGTGCCGAGACCCGCCACCGTGATGCGAGCAGACAGCCCATTATACGCGAAAAATCGACCATCCGGATGAGTCCAGTCGCCAGTCGGACTGGCGCGCCGAGCTGACATGTCAGACTGGCGTGTCAGAATGACGTGTCAAATCGGCGCGGCGCGGTCTCCGCTGCTCCATGCCCGATGGCGTCGTTGGCCTGGCAACCGGGCTGGCTGGGTACCGGGCGGGGGACTCGGGAGCGAAAGGGGAGGAGGAATCGACTGCCGTCGCCGTCACCCTGCGTCACCCGCTCGTCGGGCCGTCTCTCCTGACTCAGCCAGGATCACCGGCCAATTACTTTCATTTCGCGGCCAAAAAAAAAAAAAAAAAAACACACACACACGAGAGTGCGGCCGAGTCCAAGCGCCTGCGACGCGCCGGGTAGGCAACACAGCGCTCAGCTGGCGAGCGCGTTGCCTACTTGCCGGTCTGCAGGCGCTCCTCACCATCACAAGAGACGGAGCACAAAGGTCCTTGTTCCGAAATGGAGTAGTTGACAAAAAAAATGGGGTGGTTTGTCGGCTGGGTCCACTTCCACTGGCTCGGGCGAGCCGCCCTTAACACCGAAAGCCGAGCCGAGTCGCAGTGGGCGGGGTGGCTGGGGGAAATCTCTGCCTTCCGTGACATATTGACAGGGGCGTGCTTTGGGGCTGGCGGCACTGCGCGGCACTGCGGGGTGCGACTCTCTGCGGTGGACCTGGATGTGGGCAGGTGCGAATGGGGAGGGGGAGGGTAGAGGTGGCGCAGGTTATCGGGGCTCTTTCCATCTCACGGCAGGTTCCGGAAATGACATTTGAGGCGGGGTGGGGCGGGGCGGCGCGCCTTCCGAGGTTTCCCGCCTCTCTCCCGATTTGAATTAGTCAGAGGCTTGGCTGCGCCACGGCGCGAGGCGAGGCGCCCTCAGAGCAAAGCGGGGCAGAGCGGGGCGGAGCGAGGCGGCGCGGCCCATTCTCATGGAGATAAACTGGAATTGGGTGATGCGCGGCCGGGCCGCCAGCTCGGCCGCCAGGCGGCGCGGCAGTCGTCAATCTGCCCCACCTGTCACTCAGCGCGCTCGGCGCGTGGAAAGGGGAAAGCCGTGGAAAGCGGAAAAGCGAACAGGTGGCCGACATCCGTTTGCATGCCAATGACATTCCCATCCAACATGTATGCTCTTCAAAGGGAAACCGCGCGGGATTTTCGGCACGCGCGTCGCGCACTGGGAGGGGAAAAACCTAGACGCTCCAAATGAAAGCACGGCACATTTCAGTCCCTGTGCTGTGTTCCAGATCTCAGGTGCGGGCTGACCTATCTTTGCCATGAGCAAAGTGCGGCTTTTTCCAGAGTGTCGGCGTGCTGGATGGGCCGCTGGGCCGCAGTTTGGTGTGCGGACTGCTCTTTGCGGCGTCGCGCGGGAGGAAGGACGGGTGCATCCATATGGATGGCATCCCGATACTCACGTTGACGAGGGTGGATGTGGAGGAGGCGTTCGAGGACACCCCCCTGGCCAGCCGCCGGGGCATGCCGGCCATGCTGGGCATGGGGCGCCACTTGGACGCCGCCGCCGCCCGCCGCCCCCGGGCCGCCGCGCCCCGCCGCCGCCAGCTCCGAGCCGCCCTGGGGCTGGGGCCCGCGGGCGCCGCCGTCGGACGCCCCGGACTGGTCCTCCTCGCGCACCGGGCTCACCGGCCCGCCTTTCAACCTGCAACATGAGAAACAGGATTTTGGAAAAATGCAATGATTTCGCATACAGAACCAAACCCTGTGGGCTTGACATTCAGACGCATATAGACGTAGGCGCGCTCATATACACACCCACAGACACACACACTCACTCTCTGTTGCTGCGATAGTTTGGCGGTGACCTTGTTTTTGCGGCCGAGGGGAGAGGGGGCAGGGGCGAGGGTCGGTGCGAGTGCGGGCCTGCAGTAGTAGTTAGTTAGGTCGTGCTGACGAAGTATCAAACAAGGGTCCCATTTGTCGCCCGTCCCCTCCAGCCTCCGGCCCCACTCACGGGTTAACCGCATGTACACACGCGTTTGGGAACACTTTCCACACCCCACCCCTCCCCTTCCCCGGTCCTCTCTGACCTGGCCCCACCGCAACGGCTCTGTTCACCCGCTGCCTTGCTTGACAATAAACCACACACACGTGGCCCACGTGGCGTGGCGTGGCGGGACGGCCGCGGCTCCACGTGGTGGCGCAGCAGCACATTCCGAGAGCCGTTTTCGTCCGCTCTGTCTCCCTCACGCTCATGGGGCGCTCCGTATACGTGCGAGAGAGACAGAGCGACGAAAACGGCACCCGGAATCAGTCTGCAGTGGTCCCCGTTCCGCACTTACACACAGCCCTGCGCCCCCGTCCCACGCCACTTGGAGAAGAACAAAACATCCTCATTGCTTTGGCCAAAGTGGAGTGGAGGGCTTTTCCAGTGGTGCGGGCACTGCGGGCGATTGGTGCGCAATGCACGTCCACCTCGACCACCTCGGGCCTCACAGTGCACACACAGCCTGGCTATTTGTCGTCTGCCACACTGCCGGCCGCACCTACTCGGAGACCTCCTCGGAGACCGGCTCGGCCCCGGCAGGCTCCAAACGGCCAGAAAGACCGCACCAGGCACCCCGCCCCCGCCCCGCCCCGCCTTGACGACTCAACTTTGGCGATTTGTCGCGCCCGGCAGGTAGACAGCACACGTTACGCCGCGACGGGCCAATCAGCGGGGTCCCATCTGTGTGTGTGTGTGTGTGTGTGTGTGTGTGTGTGCGTGAAATTCCTCTCGCAGCGCCAACCTGGCCTCGCCACAGAAGTAAAGACTTCACCAAAGCCCCGCTACGCCCTCCCCTCGCTTGCCACCGCAGTGAAACGGAAAAAAGTTTCGCAACGACGTTTGATCAAGAATGTGTGTGTGAGAGAGAGCGTGGGTGTGTGGTGGTGGTGGTGTAGTAGCAAAGTGCCAAGGACCACACCTGACAGCAGTGTCGACTTGTGTCGAGGAACTCTCAAGGTGAGTGAGGCCCGCCCGCCCGCCCCCCAACTTCCGCTTTGGCCCGGAGTGGGGAGAGAGAGAGGGAGTGGGGAGAGAGACGGAGGAAGGTAGCTGTAGCCGTCCCCACCGATGCTACAAATCACCCTCCACGACTTGGCTGGCAGAGACAGTCCGCGCCAAGAGGGCCAGGCATGGGGCCAGGCATGGGGCCAGGCATTAGCGCCGGCGAGGTAGGCAAGCCACTGCGGCGGAGCGCACGTCTGTGCGACGGCACTGCCTGCCTCGCAGGGGCCGTGCCTTGTCTGCCCGCGTGCCCGCGACCATCTGCTTGGCCTTGCACACGTTCAGAACACCTCACAGTGGGCCTGCGTGCCGACTCACCTGGGCGCTGGCCCGATGCGCACGCTGCTGGGTCGCTGCCGGCGCTGCGCCGTGGCGTCGGGTCGCTCGCAGCTGCCCGAGCGACGCATGCCCAAGCCGGGGCCGGGCGAGGCCTGCGGGGAGGTCTGCGGCTGCGGGGAGTTGGGCAGCGAGGCCGTGGTGTCCAGGGGCGGGCCGAGGCCGCGCCGAGCCGTGCCGCTGTCCGTGCTCAGGCCGGCCGACTCGGGCGAGCCCACCGACACCGTCACCGAGCCCGACACGGAGTCCGCCGAGCCGCCCAGGACGCTCTCCTCCTCGCTGCGAACGACAGTCACCCTTCATCATTCCACACCCATTATTTAAACACTGTTAAAAGTGGTTTAAAAAAAGTGCAAGAAAAAGGTCACTTCGTCACCTTGACGGCAACCGCGGCGCGGCAGGCTCATGCCGACCAGTGCTTCGTCGCTCTGTCTCTCTCGCGCCCCTTCCAGCACACCCCAGAGCGCGAGAGAGACAGCGACGAAAAGCACTGTCGGAAATCAGCCCGCAGTCTCCTCGTTCGCCATTATCATCTCGAGATTACTCACGTCGCAACTCTCTCCGGCTCCTGGGTCGTCTTGAAGCCCTTGAGGGACACCACTTCCGACACGAGCGTCGCCGAGGAGGCGGCGCGAACCAAAACTCCAGTTTCTGAAAAAAAAAAAAAAAACACTTTGAACTTGCGATTTGGTGATGAGCAGCACCCGAAACCGCTTTAATTTCGGAGCGTGCCCCGCGGGCTGGTGCAGGCTGGGCTGGGCTGTACACTCATTCCGAGAGTCGTTTGCGTCGCGCTGTCTCCCTCGCGCTTACAGGGGATGCGCTGTGAGTGCGAGAGAGACACAACGAGCAGACTTTCGGAATGAGTTCGGCGGCCCGCGGCCCGCAGCCGCAGCCGCGCCGCGTTTTCCTGTTCTCTCGCCGTGCCCTTGCCTTCCGCCAAATCCATCTGATGGAGGAGCGGGCCGGCCAACCAGAAAAATCCACACACGGACCGCTCGCGCCCCGGAAGGGAGAGAGCGAGAGAGCTATTTCGCCCAGCGCGTGAAACGATACCTTTCAGGCCTGGACCCCCTCCCCCGCACGGAGCGGCGGCGCGGCGACCACAGCCACGCCGCTACACTCCGGAACCCCACGCACCACCACACACACCCGTCAATATCGTTCGCCATTCTCTCCGAAATCCAATTTGGAATTTGCGGGGGCCGAACAACCTGGAGATGGGAACTAGCGGCGCTGGAGGTGGAGCGGAGGCGAGAGCAGAAGGGGGTTCGGAGAGGGGCATTGGGCCCGTTCGCCCCGCCCCGCCCCGCCCCGCCCCGCCCCGCCTCGGACACGCGTCACAGAACGCCCCGCCCCGCCCGCCGCGCCCCCATCATCGCGCAGACATCAAAGGGCCACCTGATGCTGCCGGGAGGTATTCCGGCCTGGTCGGGCCTGGTCGTCTGGCCGCGGAACACCGCGGAGCCAACCCATTCCGAGGGACGTGGCGTCGACGTGGCGTCCCCGATCGCCAGAGCCAGCAGGAAATAACGTCCCATTTCGGCTCAGTTTCGCGACGCCGCGCCGCCGCTCTGAGAAGAGCGTCTACAAGCACAGTGACGTCTTTGTTTTACCAGTGAAGTGGTGGGTGAGGGCAGTCTCTCTCTCTCCGTTGTTTGCGAATCTCCTTCCTCTTGGTTACCCTGGCAATGCCCCCTCCCCCTTTTTCTCCACCTCGAGCGACTCCGGCAACCCATCATGCGGGGTATTGTGCCGACTAATTCAGACTACTTAGCAGTGGTGCGGACCAGGCCATGCCACGCCGCCGCGACGCCTATCTGAGGAATGCTTGACCATTACGGCGCCCCCTTCCCCTTCCAACCGCCACAAACGCGGACAGTACACTACAACGACCCGCTGCTTCGCTGCTTTGTTCGCGCCGTGTCATGCAGATGCTGCTATAATGCTTCACACCCTCGCCGGGAATCTCCCTCGAGCCGCCCCTCCCCGCCATGAACCCCGCCCTTTACTACCGCGGTGCCGCCACTCAGCACCACCCTCCCGCCCTTCACGCAGTGGGCCAGACGACCGGTGGAGTCCAGCGCCGTCCCCCTCCTCGACGCAGCGCGACGCACCTTCGTTGTCGGTGAGCGACAGCGTCTCCTGGTCCTCCTTGGCGGCGGTGAGCTGGTACTTGCGGTAGCGGTGGCCGTACTGCGCGCAGAGGCAGGCCGACAGCAGCACGACGCCGCCCAGGAAGGCGACGGCCGCGGCGTGGACGACGGTGAGGCGCAGCGCGCCGCCGTAGGACCACCAGCCGGCCTCGTCCAGGAGGCCCGCGCCGACGCCCGCCCCGGCCACGGCCAGCGGGTAGCCCACCAGGGTCTCGTTGGGGGGCACTGCAAGCACAGACAGTCGGTTAGGTTAGGTTAAGGACGCCCCGAGCGCGAGAGAGACAGCCTTCAACTCACCGGCCTGCTGCGCGTGCGCCAGGAAGCCGGCGGCGCACTCTTCCAGCGCGGCCACGGCCTCGTCCGAGTAGAACTCGACCAGCATGGTGTTGGACGACGACACGGCCTCGGTGGCCACGGCGTGGTGGTGCAGCAGGCCGACCGGCGCGCCCGACGGCGTCGAGTCCGAGTCCAGGGACAGCAGCAGGCGGCCGGCCAGCGAGTCGCCGTCCCGCACCCGCAGCCACTGCGCGCCGCAAGACAGGCGCTGCTGCTGCACCCACAGCCGCACCACGTGGTTGGCGTCGGCCTGGAACATGGCGATGACACACTACAAAGTCAGCTTCTGCACTGGAAAATTGAAAGTATGAAGAGGTCACACGCAGAGCACCACCCGGAGCGTGGATTGGCCAACGGAAAGGGAAGTAACCGACTGCGACTCGTCATGGCCGAGTGGCTCTGCATGCAGATAAAAGTAAAAACAGAAGGCAACAACAGTGACAGGGAAAAAAAAAAAGAATTCAATTGCGATGTGCCCTGCCCGGGCCGGCCGCATGCGCAAGCGTGCGCGCGCGACCACTTGGAGCTTAAAGCGGCCACCGCGAGCGAAAAAGGTGGGGTTGGCTTGATGGGGCTACTGACCTCTGCCCCACCGCCGGGCCGGCACAGCAGACTGGTTCCGAGAGTCGTTCTCGTCGCGCTGTCTCTCTCGCACTCATGGGACGCCCCGCAAGGGTGCGAGGCAGACAGAGCCACGAGGAGGCGTTGTCGGAGTCAGTCCACTGCCGGACCTCGGCCACGGCGCCACGGCCTCGCCGCCATGCCGCCACCGCCAACGGCTTAATGCACGCAACGCGCAATGCGCGCTCCGCTCCGCCCTTAACGACACCGTGCCCAAGGACCCGTGCCGGGCTTGGCTTGGCTTTGGCTGGGCAGCCGCAGAGCGCGTCCAAGCCGTCATGTGCATCGCATCGCGTTCGGCCCGCACGTGCAAGGCCCAGCCCCCCCCCCCTCGCTCTTCGGGCGTGTATTGGCCGGCCAGGCCGCGGCTTGGCACCGACCGCATTGCCGCTGTGCCCCTTCGAATTACAGCACAGTGTGCCATTTGTAGGCCTACGCGCGGTCCGGTACGAGAGGGGGTGGGGGGTAAGCACCATGTGGCCCAGGATGCAGCCCCGGGTAAAGCCCCGCCAACCGGAATGCACCCCATGCGTTCCGCGAGCAAATCGCCCCGACGGAATCCGCATTCAACGCGATCGATCCTCGACCGATTATTTCGTGGATTTCGATCCATTGACGTCTCATCAACGACTTTCATTCAGCCACTTTCGTCGATACCCTTAAAAAAAAAAATTCAAATTGCGGCATTTGAAACGAACGTGAACTTTTTTTTACTCCACAACATTGTTGCCGCACTCGCGCAAAGTTTTTACCTGGCGCGCGCTTTGGAATGCCAGTCCGCGGTTCGCCTCCCCACGCCGCCTTTTCTTCTCTCCCCCGCATTTTGCATTTTGCCAAGTGCCGCCCAGAGAGATAGTCTCGCGGCGTCAAAAGAGGCGCGACACAATTTTAGCGACGCTAGCGGAGCTCCGGCCGAGAGGGGAGGGGGAGGGGGGAAGATGTGCCGTTCGGAATTTGTGTTCTGCCGCAGCACTTATCCCACTTAGAGCGGGAAAAATGGAAGGAGGCGGTGAGGCGAGCACTTTTACATCCATCATAATCAGTCAGGAAAGCTTTCGCGGAGCGGAGAGTCCGCTAAAAAGACCACCCCCTCCCCCAAAGCCGCCGCCGGCTCCTCCTCGCAAGGAAATGATTATTTTTTATTGGCCGATCGGCGCGAAACAGCGCGGGTTTGTCCGGACATCTGAGCGAAGAAGTTTCTCGCTGTTCGGACAAGGCAAGCCCGACCCGCGCGAATACAGACGAGGTGCGGTCCTGTTTGATTGAATCCACGGCAAAAAAAGTCTCGTCGAAACGGCTAAAACTGTTAGTTTTGTAGTGACGTTCACTTCTGTGTGGAAACTCAAGTCGGTCTAACAACATCAAAGAAATCAATTAAATTTAAGTCGACGTGGTTCCATTGTTTTTGGCAGTGTCCTCGGTGGAAATTTAACGGAGGCGGCAAAATCAACTGCCGCGACGCCGAGACTCTGGATCCATCATCATACGTACCCCCGCCCCTCTGGAAGCTTCGCTAGCACGCCGGCCCGTGCAAGTGGCAATAAGTTACAGTACGTTTGCTGACGGAATTATGCTATTAGCGTACGGTATGTGAGGGGAAACTTTGCGGATGCCAGACGGGGAAAACCACTGGCGAGACTTGGGCCCCCTTCCCCCCTCCCCCTCCCGGGCAAACTTACCCCTTTCTCTACCTCGCGCCCATTCTCCGTAATACTCCGCGCCCCTCAGCCTGACGGCAAGCCGCGGCAAGCACCCTGGCTGGCCTGGCCACGCTATTCATGAGCGCCAAGTCTATCGGGCTGCGTGCGAGAGAGACAGAGCGCGTAGCGCGAGTACATCCGGCGAGCCTCGTCGCACTTGCAGTGGGGGCGACGAAGAGGGACGGCCCTTTCGGACGCGGACCGTCCCTGCAAGGTCCGGGGCCGCGTCGGCCGCGTCCACTCTCCGCCCGTAATGCGGCCAACTTCCGGGTGCCGTCTCACTCCCACACACTCAGCAACTCCCACTCCGTCTCTCTCACACGCCCCCGCGCCCCGCGCACGCGCGCACAGGGCAGCACAATATACAAAACTCGCACAATAAATTCTCAAGGGGCCCATCGTCACATTAGGCAAAGTTTTTCCGTTTTTTTCCCGCACTTTTTCACTTTTTTTCCCCTTCCACTTCCTCCGCGTCCCCTGGCTCATCCGTTCCCCTATTCGTCCGTTCGGCCCACTTCCACCTGTTGGCAAGCCGATTCCAAAATGGGCGGCGCGCGCCTCCGCCGGATGCCGTCGTCACGCCTCTCTGTCTCTCTCGCACCCCTGCGGCACGCCCGTGAGTGCGAGAGAGACAGAGCGACGAAAGCACGCACCGTTCGCCATCAGCCGGCACCACCCTTATCGCGTCCTGAGTATTACGGCCCGGAAATCTGGCTGCCTTCATCCCTCAAGTCGCCTCAAGGCCACTCCACTTTACTCATTTCCACCCCGTCCCCCCTCTCCTCCCGGCCCTCTCCCTCTCTGCCCGAGAGCAGCGCACTTTACGACGCGAGAACAACAATTGCTTCCTATTTCGGTCGCTCAACGGACAAAATTAGCGATTCAACTTCCGCCAGTCGAGGGCACTAAACGCGACGCACCGCGCGCGCCCCGCACGCTCGCGCAGTTACCCCCTCCTTTTTTTGTGTTTCTGGCCGCACCCCTGCAGCAGACCGATTCCGAGAGTCGTCGCTCTGTCTCTCTCGCACTCGCGGGGCGTCCCGTGCAGGTGCGAGGGAGACGGAGCGACGAAAGCGACTCTCGGAATCGGTCTGCTGCAGGGGCCCTGCCCCCGTCGCTCTTTTTAATCTCGACCGGAAACAAAGTTACTGGCACGGAGACGAGAAGCCGGGCGACCTCGGGTCACGCGAAGCTTGCGAAGCGACAGGAAACGCCCGGGAAGAAAAAAAAGAGGGGGGGGGGGAGAGAGAGAGAGAGAGGAGGGAGGGTTGACCGCCGCGCCGCCACGACCTGGCCGCCAGTCGCTTTACATATTCCGAGTTTACACGACACCGCGTCTCGGCCTCCCAAACCGGGGGACCACTTTACACCCCTATTTGGGGGGCCGTTTGGAGTGATGTGCGTGCCGGACTTGGTTATACCTACGATTAGGCGTGTCAATGCTATGGCGGCAAACAGCAGCAACAACAACAACAACAAAAACAAAAAAGACCAGGGCAAAAAGTAGTACTTTGGCTGTGTGAGTAGGCATCTTTTGCTACATCCCCGCGGATGTGCCCAATGCCTTAGGTTCAAGGAGTCCTTCGTACGAGTCCTGCGGCACAGGCTTGGCCGGCCTTACCTGGACGAGCCAGAAGGAGCGGCCGGGGCAGGACTTGGAGGAGGACGCCAGGAGCGTGGCGGGCTTGGTGGTGCCGAGGTGCACGACGCAGCCACACCTGCAGCCCGAGCTGACGGCCGGCCCGCCGGCCCCGTGGGGGGCCCCGTTGGGGGTCAGCGCGTTCGAGGGCCCGGGGGGCAGCGCGTTGGGGGGCGGCAGGTCGGCGCTCGCCCCCTCGGGGGCGCAGTCCCACTCGTTGTCCGGGCCGCAGCGCTGCGTCTCCAGCGAGGAACCCTGCGAGAAGAGGATACAAACAATCAAACGAAATGAAGGGGCCGGCCATTGCAAATGCTTAGCCAACTTCCTTAAAGAAATTCCGAATTTTTTTTTTTGGAATTTTAGCTTCCAGCAAGCAGTAATGCCGCCTCTTGCCGAGGTATGGGACGCCGAAAAGGAGCCGGAATCTAGTTAAGGCCACGCACCCCAAGGCCCGACTGGCCCTGGCCACGACACTGTGTTGTGGCGCCCGGCCGAGGGAAGGCCGGACCTTCTTCCTCCGTGACAACGGGCACCGGCGGGCACGGCCACCGTAAAAACGGAACGAAAGGCAGCAAGAAAATGGAGGAAAAACACGGCGGAGGGGAAATATGAGGCGGCGAGCATTTCGTGACGGAGCGGCAAGTTCCTAGTTCCTGCAGGGAGGGCTGCGGGGGGGCAGAGTTAGGCCGGCCCGCCACGCACGGTGCGTCGGGGCCCACTAGGCCGCGCCAGGCGCGGGTCCAGAAAGGGGGAGAAGAGGACAACAGCCCCCTCACCTTAGACAGTCTAGACACCCTAAAAGTAGACAAAAAGCCACCTTTTGCCTCTGACGTAATAAACTGCTCAAAATATTTTTTTTACCAAATCAGTGTCGTCAAGGTTTTAGTTTTTGGCGTGTACACACAGTGAGGGCGTAGAGACGACGCGGCGCTCCATTTGATACTCATCTGGCGCCATAGAGGTGGGCCTCCTAATGCCACCTGTTACCCGACACCTGTGTGTGTCAGTGTGTGTGTGTGTGTGTGTGTCTGTGTGTGTGTGGATCACGTGACTAGGGCGCGCTTCACTGCCTACAGTGCCCTAGCCATGCCCCGGGCGGCGAGGCCCCCACCACCACATACACACACTTGGACGAAGAAGCACGCTCTCACAATACTCACTCGCACACAAGAAAATGGAGACGAATGACTGACAGGCCCGTCCTGTGATCAAGCATGTATAAAATTTTTACGTTCCAAAGGAAAATTACGGAATTCGTGCTCAGGTTTCCCTTTGTCCCTTCAATCAAAATTAAGGACTGCGAAGTCTACTCCCAGGAAAAAAAAAGGTTTCATTTCTATTTACTCGTTTTTTTAACTCGATCAAGAAGTAACTTTTGTGGGTGCATTCGAGGCGCCGTGATAGCGTAGTGTAGACAGGACTCACCTCGCAGAACTTGGCGCCGTAGCGCGGCGGCGGGCTGTCGCAGAAGCGGTACCGGTTCCTGGTGCCGCCGCCGCACGTCGAGGTGCACGCCGACCACGCGCTCCACGCGCCCCAGGACCCGGAGTCGGCGTCTGCCAACAAACAAACACAGTCAGACCACTGCTAAAAAAAAATCAGAATGGAGATAGTACAGAAAAAATCACAAGTCAGCGACCAAACACACGCACACTGCCAAAGCAATCAGAATGGAAATTGTACAAAAAATGGAAACACAACAGAACTCAAAATAACCCTGGATCGCGCTCCTATTAAAACCGGAGCTATTGGCGGTTCAGTCCCTAGAAACTCTCTCGGAATGGGTCTGCAGCCGTCCTCGCTGACCAGCAAGTGGTCGGGTCGGCAGCCATCGGCGGCCACTCCTGCAATCAGGCGGCGCCTCTTTCAAGCCCCGCAATCGATTTCACCGTTCCGCCGGTCTTCCTTTTTCCCCGGCAAATGCGAGCAAATGCTCCGGCCAGTCAGACAGGGCATGGAATAAAACGAAGCCGGCCGAATAAGAGTCGCTGCGTCCGTCTCTCTCGCGGGGCGCACCGTGAGGGTGCGAGAGAGACAGAGCGACTCGTCTCGGAATAGCTCGGCAGGCTGAGCAAACCAGTCTGCACCGCGCGGCACCGCTTTCAAGTGTGAGCTTGTTAGTGGGGCAAAGACGGGGCGGGGGCGGGGCGGGGCGGGGCCCCAGAGGGGGTCGTGTGGACGGGCCGGCCTTAGTGGCTTTGAGGGGGAAAAGATGTGGGCACCGACCGACCCTTCCCTTCTACCCGTATGGCCGCGCGCGTCGTGGAAAAGGAGGGGGTGGGGGAAGGGGATGCTGTGTGTGTGTGTGTGTGTGCCGGACCGCAGGGCTGCAGCGGCACGACGGGGCGACGCAAAGGCAAAACGAAACAGCATGTAAACGAGCGTCCCGACTCCGCTCCGCGCTCCACCCTCCGCTGTCCCCCCCCCCCCGCGCCACCTCCCCACTTATCGCTCTCTATCCGCATGCAGGCCAAGCAGGCCACGCGGGCCGAGAGGGTCGCCGCCTCGGTCGGCGCGCGGACGGCGCCTCGGGGATCGGCCGGCGACGCCGCCCTTGCGTCGTCGTCGCCCCGGACCCCGGACCCGGGCGAGCCGCGCGGCAAGGGAAGAGAAAATGAATAAAAAAAATCCACGCCGGAGCCGGAAAGGCGGAGCGGAAAAGGAACCCGCGCGGATTCGATTTGAAAACGCCTGTTTCGTGTTTGTTGGACGTTTCGACCCGCGGCTGGTATCACTTGCGCGCACCCTTTCTCTCTCTCTCTCTCTCTCGCGCGCGCACACACACACACACACACACACACACACACACACACGCCATAATTAGTGTTATTACGGGCAGCCGGCGACATTAACACACGCCGCGATTCCCATTGGCAGCGTGCATCGCCATCACGGCCATCACCATGTTGGGCCTGCGGGGCTGCGGGGCATTCCGACTCCAAACATTGCCGCGCCGCCCGTCGCTCTGTCTCTCTCGCACCGCCGCACGAGAGCGAGAGAGACAGGGCGGCGAGAGCGCGCGGTTGGGAATGAGCCTGCTGGTGGTGACCGGGGCGCTCGGCACAGCGGCCTCCATCAACCGCGTGTGACAGTCAACGGGCCGCCCCGCCCCGCCCCGCCCGCCAGCTTGAAACAGACCGCCCGCCCCGCCCCGCCCCGCCCCACCCCGCCACGCCCCGCGGGGGGTAAGGGCGTTATCAGTAACGCGTTAGTGCGCACGCTGCATGGGGCGATAGGCGGGCTGTCCGGGTGGGCAGCCTCGGACACTGGGAGGCGAGGCGGCCAGGCGAGGCCAGGGGATGACGGGCTGACGGCTGAGCCGCGCCACTGGACAGTAATAAATACCTGCGCCAAGTTGATAAAGCTGGGGAAGGAGGGGGGAGGGGGAGGAGGGGGTCGCCTCACATTGTTGTGGACTCCCCCTGCGCCCTGCACTGCTGCGCGCTAGACTGAAGGAACTATGCGGCAAACTGCGGGCAAACTTGAAACTAAATACGAACGAGGGAAAATAGTGCAGGTTGGCGACATCGGCGAGGTCCAGGACCGGGTTGCTTTCTGGCCATGCGTGGGTCCGGGGAAGGGGCCTGGACGGCAGGCGAAACGTCTCACGTTGCTCCTGTAAGCAGGTAACTTTTGCTACGCTCCCCGAGCCCGTTCCTGGATCCGCCCTTCGCAGTGCAGGTTCTTTCGGGCTGGAGGCGACTGCAGAGCACACATCACATCACACCCGGTGAGTCCTGCATGCAGGAGGGATTACACAGTGCTCCCCCCTCCTCCTCCCCCAAGCCGCAGCCTTACGCCGAAAGCCTTATGAATACGCTCTAATCAACGCGTTCACATTCGAGGCTGGGAGTGGAGCCCAGCGTTGCACTCATCAGCAAGTCAGCCCTCCCCCCCCATAGGCCCGCAATGCCCGGCACGCCGCACCGCCTCCCCGGCCTCGCCGCAGAGCGCCCCAGCCACCACACACCAATGCAAAAAAAGTAAAAAAAAAATAAATGAAAAAAATTTCCGCACTTGAGGTAGGGCAGGGAAAAGCAGCCCTTACAGAGCAGCAGCAGACCTTGCAACGTTATTTCTGGTTTTGGACCGAAAGCATAAGGTATATGAACGACCGTTTCTTCCAAAGAATTTCTATCGACATTATTTTTTACAAACGAAACTTGACATTTTCGAATGCCTCTTTTTCTCGAACTTCGCAGGTTTTCCGGGCTGCTGCGAACAGTGAGCAGAACACAGGGGCGATGCAAATCGGGCGGAGCGCAAAGGAGTCGGATACGAGCAGGGCTCGGATTGAATTGCAGTCCGCAGTCCGCCCCGCGGGGAGGAGAGAGACAGCGAGAGAGAAAGGTCCGGACGGACAAAATATCGAAAAGAAAAAGAAGCTAAATGCCACTTTCTCAAGTAGAAATAAGAAAAGAAATCCGCGACTGAGTGAGAGGGAAGAGGAGGACGAAGAAGGTGAGAGAAGGGCAAGGACCAAAGGACCAAGGCCAAGGGCCTCCAGATTGGAAGGGAAGGGAGCCAAAGCAGATTACTGCCCTGGATGGTAATAATTGACATTTAATTGGAACTATATAGCTCCGCTCGGCAGTGGCGACGCTGCCAACAACTCGAAACTTGAACTTGCGAGCCCCGCTGCCCGAACGTCCAGCCCGGTCCAGCCCGACGAGACGGGTACTGCGCTCCCCTTCCCCGCTACACTGCGGACTTTCTTTTTGTTGCGAGCCACGACAGGCAAAGGCGTGTGCAGAACAAAGGACAAAGGGCCGGTATGCACACGTACCCACAGCCGAGTTTAGTTCTGGCACGCAGACGCCACATCAAGTTGCGATACATTATTTCCAAATGTCATCTAATATGGTATTTTTCGAACGGTTTGTATCGTCCTGACGCTCGGCCTGGTTGTCTTTCTCGCTAGGCTCGAACTTGTGGCAGTCAGAGGCATCGTCCTAGGCCCAGTAGTGCCTGACCTAGCGTCTGGTACTCGTCCAGGCGTTCGTGCTGGGCCTGCCCCCGTGCTGGTCCAGGCGTCCACACTGGGTCTTAGGCTCACCCTGCTGCCCCTCTATGCCGTCGGCTCGGCGTCCCCGCCGGGGCACTTAAGCCCGTCTTTGAGTAATGTCGCTGCTGGGCCGTTATCGCCCATAGTTATCGCGGCGTGGTTATCTCGTCGCCCCGCCAATCCATAACGGGCTCGTCCCTCGCTCATCCCGGAGAGGAGTCTCTCGGCGGAACGATTCCGCGTCGCTCTCCGTCTCTCTCGCACTCAGGGCCCCTCCGCACAGGTGCGAGCGAGACAGCGCCACGGCATAACACTTTGCGGAATCAGCGTGACGGCCGCCTCGTTGACTACACGAACGAAGCGAGAACTGGAGCGCCGTTTGCGTTCCGCGGGTACAAAGGAGCGGCACAGCGATAACACGTGTCGCTACAACAACAAACAAGAACAACAAACGAGAACCACAACGAAAAGGCGTTGCCGTTTTGTCGGAGGAGAGCCGCCCGCCCACCGCGGCGCCGTTAAGAGCGATGCGGCGCTAAATACTCCGCGGAGAGCCATCGGCGAAGCCTTCGGCTCCTTCGGCGGCCGGGCCGTCGGCACGGCGGTCCACAGCCCGATGGGCGGCGCGGCACGGCACGGCGCGGCCCATTCGCCCGATGAGGACGACACCCGAGGGGAGCCGAGGGAAGAGTGCGGAGCGCTGCGCGACCAGTCGGGCCGTTCGGTTCCACTCGATGTGATTCCAGATAGAGGCCCTGCCTCCGTCTCTCTCGCACTCACGGGGCGTCCCGGTGCGGGGCGGCGGTGCGAGAGAGACGGAGCACGGCAGGCCGAGGAGGCCCGAGGAAGGGTGCCTATCCGGGCCGAGTTAGGGGAGGTCAGTCGTGAGAGGGCGATCCGATGCGCGCCGCGCGCCGCAGTTTTCAAAACGGCGCTGGCGACGTCGCGCTGTGCCGAAGTTTACGATAAGCGGAGGTCGCGGAACTCGACGACTGAATTTGAATCCGTTGGGTTGGGTGGGAGGGGCGCGGGCGATTTTAGGAGCAAGAGCAAGAGTCCCGTTTCAATTCAAGAAACGCTGTATTTCTGTTAACTGCACAAGACAGCTGAGTCACTTTAGTTGCCTGTAGCGACTTATTGAAGCTAGTGGCAGGGTTGTTTAGTCTGTCACCATGCTGAATCAAACTGTCAAAAATAACTAACTTTTTGACGTCGCTGTTGGTGCTAGCCTTCACCCAAAGCATCGTGGCGACGGCCCACTGCCAAACGTCCGGCCCGGCTTTCACGCGAGCGTTGCCCGTCGCACCCTGCAGGGATTCACCGCACCGGCCTTCCGGCTTTAGGACCGCGGCGTGGCGTCGGGTCGGGATGATGCATTGTCATGTCAGGCCGTGCCGTGCCGTGCCACGCCGCCATCAGCCACATGCCGGCCAGCCCGGCCAGCAGGCCGATTCCGAGGGTCGTTTTCGTCGCTCTGTCTCTCTCGCACTCACGCGGCGTCGTGTCCAGGTGCGAGAGAGACAGCGCGACGAGAACGACCCTCGGCATCAG